GGTGTGGGTGGTAACATATGTCCTCTTATCTTATCCTTCTTAGATGCCGCAGTTGTAATAACACTGACCCCCCCCCCCCCCCCCCCCCCCCCGGTCACCGTGTCCCGCATTTCTCTATCAGGAAGGTGGTCACCCTACCCATGAGCTGCGGGTTAACAGTTTTAACACAACCCACTTCGACAGAACTACGGTTTTTTTGGTCAATCTATCTATACAAACAAAAACATAGGTGCAGGTGTGAAGTTCGGGGCTTATAAAAAAACGTTCAGAATTGATCTCCCGCAGGGAACGTGGGCGAAGCTGTCTGAAATGTTTCAGAGGCGGTGAGCATAGTTTGTGAAATCCTGGATCAGTGGCGTCACTAGGGTCAGCGCCCCTAGTGAATACGGGGCGCTGACGAGTGGGCCAGGTGGGTTAACGCGAATGTTAACCCACGTGGCCCACCCGTACACAACGTTTCGCGGCGGTTAAATTCACTAAAGCGTCTTGCGATGAACAATTCGGGGCGGGGGGGATTTCGGCTGCTAAATCGTCTTCGACCAACTGAGTGCCACCCTTTCAAGGTAGACCGCAAGAGAGTGTAATTTTTGAAGGGGCCATATAAAGTACCTGGACGTTTTTCTCTCCGATTTTCCAGACTACCTGGGAACACCCTAACCACTTCTGTCAGCTGGCCATGTGAGGGTCCAACGTCCTCCACAAACGCAGCCTGTAGAGTCGTGACAGGTTCTTAATAACTGGGGAGGTGTGGAAGGAGGTGATTGTAGCGGGGCTGACTTTCGCCAACGCGACTGTGTGCGTCCTTGGTGACAAGCTAGACGTCACGGAGTGACAACGACGTGAGGTGGGTCGGCAGGCACTGGGGCTGTCATGGGAGCGTTGCCAACGAGGCCGTCCAGACGGACATGGGATGGTCTCGAAGTCCGAAAGGCTTCCAGCAGGCTCGGGTACGACGGACGACTAATCGGTGCCGGTGGGTCAGGAGGCTATTCGACTACACCCATACAAGTGGACTACAGACATGGTGCCACAGGCGTCTCTACCACCTTGAGAGCAAGTACCACTTCTTCGCAGAGCCCGTGGAGGCAAAAACAGCGCAGAAGTGGGAAGCTAAGTTCGAAGAAGAATATGTGAGAGTGGCTCAAAGCGGCTCAAGGAAAATCAACCTTATGATCATACAGGGAAAATAAACAAGCGATAGCGGCAGAAACCAAACTGTATGACAACAGTTTGGGCAGCCGACTGATTTTCGAGGCGAGGGCAAGGCGAGGGCAACACTGGACTACCGGAAACAATTAGACTCCAAGGTAGAATCTACACTGTGTGTCGGGCGTGCGGGGATTGTGCTGGGACGGTAGAGCATTTGGTGCTTTCCTGTGAGTGCCTTTTACCACCTGTGATGGACCATCATAATCCTCACCCCGATATGACCTTAACGGATGCTCTGGGGTTCACTTTGTCTCCAGGTGCCAACAATACAGAAAAGGGGGAAGTAGGTGGAGCCAGTGTTGCCACAGCAAACACTGCGATAGAAAATAATTGTTTTATGTGTCCTTTTTTTTTTCACTATTTATTTTGGCTATGGCACGAAATGTTTTTCGAGCTCGCCCGCTGCAAAGGGAAAAGTCGCAGAAACATCGTCATCCTCTATAATTGTGTGCTTCACAATTATTGTATACACCTTTTCCACAAGGGTCCAGCCATCAAGAATTTTGGCACTTCTGGTATATGTCAAAACATTGTTCCGATATCTCCACGCCGCTGGAAGGTGTTCACGAAAATGCGTGATTGTCACACACTCTTGTGGTGCCTCACCTATATTTCCTCGCATATTCCAGGTTGAAACGCTTTATTTTTTTTTTTCGTCCCGCATACCAGTCATAAACAAGGACCCACGGAAGCATGCGGTACCTGGCGTCGAACAGTATGCTTATAGGCTTTTTTTTTTCCCCTCTCGTTCTCGGTTACGTGGGTTGCCCACGTAACCAAGAACGAGAAGGAAAAAAAAAAGCCTATAAGCATACTGTTCGACGCCAGGTACCGCATGCTTCCGTGGGTCCTTGTTTATGACTGCAATAAACAAAATAAATTAAAAAATCCATCTTGGCCCTGTTCTTGCGAACCATGAGCTAAGTAGGCATCATCTTTGACAGCTCATCGCTTCCTCCGTTGCTCTCCGCCAGTCAAGAGCTATCTGTCATATCGAGTTCAATGAATTGCGTTTCGTCATCGAGCATCTTGTTTCGATCATCACGGGCTCTCGTATTGACAATGACACGTCTCTGTCTCATCACCGACTGACTGTGCAGTTCTTGAAAGTGCCGCCTACCATGTTCATGATGGCTGTCACATCAATTCATTTCGAATTAAAACGAAAGGTACACCCTCATTTAAATGCTTAGGCATCGAGTTCTTGGAATACTCTCGAAAGGACTAATTTGCACCGCTGTCTCAACTTAAAAATCTGCGTTGACATCTTTTTTTTTTTTTTTTTTAGCACTACGGGTGTTTAAAACCAGTAAGCGTGATGACAATGTGCGTCTATTCTTTTTTTTTTTTTTTTTTTCAGCAATGCAAGGTGGAAGCATCGGAAATGTTCAAGATGTGCTCGAAAATTAAGGTTGTCTGGATTACAAGCATTTTAGACGTAGATTCTACTTTTCGTTTTCCTTTAAGCATCACCTCAGGCTGTAAATACAGAGAAAGGGAGAATGTTATCTGATCGATCCGTGGCAAGTGTAAAACGTGCGCTTAATATTATTGAAGAGCAAGTCAACGACCGAGATAATATCCACCGCTCCAGTTTGCCTATCTGTTCACGCTTAGACTCCGCGAAGTGTCAGGTGTTCACATCCACGAACGTCTGCTCGTTGTTACCCCCTCTTATCGCGCCAGGCCAGACCTGCCGACGCCGACAGAACTCGCTTGCAATCCGCCTGTTTGTTTGTGTTCCGCAGTCCTTTTCGGATGACTTCAGCGACACCACCTGCGAAGCCTGTTTACACAAGCGATGACGTCACGAGCCCGATCCCCCGTCGGAGCTCGACGCGACGGAAGAAAGTATATTCACTCGGTCCTTGGTCACGGTCGATTTGGTCGCGTAACGAGCCAGCTGAAAAACAGGCCGCGGCGGGTGAGCCGTTTCGTAAGGCTGGTAAGGCACGCATGCCCTTTTATTTACGTAATGAACCGAGAGCGCCCCGACGCCGTTCTCCGTTCGAACCTCGGAGGGCTCGGGCCGGAGCAAGCGACCTCTTCCCAAAGCCGACAAACAAGTTTGCAATCGTAGATTGGCTATAAAACGCACGACGCAGCTCCAACAACCAAGCAACTAAAAAAGAGACGAAAAAGCGGATGCGAACACTTTCGCTGCAACCTCTCTCTCCCCCGTGACCTCCTTCCTTTTCTCTTTGGGGCAGAGTTCTTTGTGCGCGTGCGACGGATCGGCGACTCGCATTCTAATAAAAAAGCGTTAATGAACACCTCGGCACACAGCCAAACAATGCTCACCTGTTGACAGCTAAAGTCCGGGACATCGGGGCCATTGCTCGGGTGCGATCACAACAACGCCGTTCGCAGCCTCGGCGGCGGAGCCGAGGACAGGCGTCGAAGCACGTTCGGTGCGATTTCACGGCACAGACGTCGCGCTAAGTCCGCAAACCGAAGTATTTACGACGCACTCGAACACCACGGGAGCCGTCGGTCGGCGTCGCCCACATGTCCGCATGGCCTACGCTGTTCTGCCAGAGACCACCGACGCTGCTCTCCGAACACGAACTCCTAGGTGCAGGCGTCAGCTGTTGGCCGATGCACGGTCGTTTTGACGCTTCGTAACGTACGCACGCGGCAAGAATTAGGTTCGCGACGCTGAAAAGCAAAGACGGCCAGTGAGCGCAAGCGACAGCAGCACGGTCTCTCCGTTTAGTCAGTCATCCGCACACAGTTCTTTCGTGCTCCTGGCTGCCCCTGAAAACTGAATGCCTGAATGGCGCGCGCGCTGCATCTTGGGTCTTGGGTAAGTGCTCTTCTCTCTTTCCTGAAGAGCTAGCTCCTTGGAAGTGGGTGGCGACTTGCGCCACCTGGCCACGGTGGAAGACTGACACACCCACCCTGTCGCTCTTCAAGCAACGCTACATCAATAGCTTTCAGCAAAAAAAAAAAGAATAGCTTATTGCATACTTTCGAATGCGCCAAGAAGCTGAGGGAGCGTGTTCATTTTCGTACAAAAAGTACTTGTCACGTCTCGTTAATATAGACCCCGTTATATGGATACCCTGCAATATGGACGAAACTTTTTGCCACCGGCAAGTCGCCATGCAATCCTGGTGCGTTAATATAAAAACCTGCAGTCTGGAATATGGATAGCTACTTCAGGAACGAACTGGGAAAATACACGAGTTTTTGTCTCGTGATTATGAACACCAGCTTTCAAAAAGAGGCATCAAAACGTAAAATATATTACTGAATACAAGAAGTCACGGTGTACACCCCATTGGTTGCCGGTCTCCAGACAAGACCCTGCACGCCTTACAAAATCCTAAACCTTGCGAATTTGTCGCTATATAAAGTGTGATGCTCTCGAAACCTGAGCTTGCTAAACAATATTTCTGGTTTTGACCTTGATTCATTTTTATGTACGACAATTCTGAGGACCGGAGGCGTTCATGTTAACAAGACACGACCTTACAAGAAAAACACTCGACATTTTATGCCAAAGGGCAATATTTGGTAGAGAGAAGTCAAACACTGCTTCCCCGCTTCGATGAGAGGTGCCTTCTGCAACGTACAGGATCATGCAGACTGACCATTCAACAATCTTCAGGAACTAAATAATTACCACAGCTAGAAACCAACATGCAGTACAGGATCATGCAGACTGACCATTCAACAATCTTCAGGAACTAAATAATTACCACTGGTTGAAACCAACATGCAGCTCTAATCAATCTCGTGCACACACTGCAGCCTGCAGAAAGACCCACGACCATGCACGGAATGAATCCGTAGCTGGGCATACACAAAATTTTATTCTCGAGGAAAGGTACAGCCACAACAGCAGACGGTTATAAATAAACATTTGTCGGAACACGAAAAATGGCGGCACAGTGCTGGTCAAACGGGGTCTCGGCTCCCGCAGAAACTCTCGAGACGTGACCAACCACAAATGTTCCCAGTTATGAGAAATGAAATCTGCATGGGTAACTTTGTACAAATGGATGGTTTTCTTTTGTCTGGAACTTGCACGAAACACTAAGATTGCTTGGCAAAAAACATTCGCGACAAACCTACAGAATGCTACGCTTCGGCTAGCATCCTTCACGACGAGAAGGGACGGGCCCGTACAAGCCATTGCACCGAACGGCTTCCCGCAAAACCAGGCCTCCAACACAGTTCCTCTCAAGAAGCTTACATCATTTGATGATTCCAGAATGAGGTGTGGCCTGGCGAGATTTTACGTCAAGGAGGGAAAACAAGTGAGCTAAGAAGTGGGAAAGTCTCGCATGTTTTCACAAGGATGTTCGGCGAAGATTGACGGCCCCTGCGACGCGCGAGCGCCCTGGAACTAAGTCACGGGTCTGGAGCGGCCTTTGCACGCCGTTCAACTTGTCGTATAGCACAGCCGGTGTCGGTCACGCCGAGCACAAGTCACGCAAAGTACGGCTTGCAACGTTGCCGCGTCAATCCGAGTGTCGCCCGCGGGAAACACAAGCGGCTGCCACGCCGCGCGACGAGATGTTCAATCTACACGGTTCGACGATTTGCTCTAGCGGACGAGCGTCATCGTGACGCGACACAGTCCTCCCTCCTCAGGTACAGTGGAGGGCAGCGTGGCGGTGCGTCTGGCGAGGTGGCCGCACCCACCGCACTTGACGTCGCCTCACAGGAGCACGATGTCGTCTGTGTGGTAGCGGGCGGTGCCGACACGCTTGCGACGACCTTCCACCGGCAGCTCTTTGAACAGGTCCGTGTGCTGTCCTTCGGTTGCCGAAGACTGTAGCCCAGAGGGAAAAGAAAGGGACGCCCGATGACATCTCGGCCACGCCTGCAAGCGCTCATCTCCACACAGGTGCGAGGGCAGGCAAGCAGCCCCGAGTGCTAGGCTTAAGAAATAGAGGCCCCCGCAAGAAAACGAGAGTTGACCTACATCACAGTAAACACATTGCCCGTGTTTCCCTACAACCGCCTTTTAAACTGCAATACCACAATGATCGCAAGCGGGCACGAGCTTCGACCTCCAAAATCCGCCGCGGGAGAGAGGCAGGAGACGCCCCCCACGTGGGCTCCCCTCCGTGCCAGGACCCGGGAAAGAAGAGGGGGCCAACGGGGCGCTAGGGGGCCTGCCCGGGGGGTCGCCGGTGGGGGGGGCCTCGTTCACAGTACGTACCAACCTAGACTTGACTCGCTTGGGCAGCTCCTCCCCCTCCGCGTAGATGGCCTCCCGCTTGGAGTTGCGCTCCGACTCGTCCTCAAAGACTACCTGCGTCCAGAGCACATCCCCGATCGACGGTCGTCGAGCCAGTTGCTCGAGCGGGTGGTTGCAGGGTTCGAAACTCGTCTCCGACCGGCGTCCTCAAAAATGGTCCTTCAATCTCTCCCCGATAACGTCGCACAGGTCTCGCGTTGCTGCCCGCCACTTCTCCGACCCCCCCGCAAAGGGCACCACAATCAACGGCATAACAGACCGGCTCGTGCGACGTCATTTGTTGCCGATGAGCGGGACGTTAAACATGCCGGTCGGAGACGCGTTCCCGGCACCATGGTTGCGCGCTCCTTCCGGAGTAGTCGGGCGACATTCGTATGGACATGGCGTGAGTGGAGGTCCGAGACACCCACCGTGTACAAGGTGGTCGAGGTGCAGCTCTTGAAGATCGATTGGTACAGCTTGCCGTCGGTCCAGCGCACGGACACCAGCTCTCCCGGGCTGGGGGGACCCAGCAGCACGCAGTCCCGGCTCTGCGCACCATCGCAAGCGGTCGGAAAATGCGGCGCCGAAACCGCACCTCACGAAATCATTCAGAAACGTTTTACGTCCATGGCAGACTGGGAACGACCGGCTCCGTGGAAATCGAAGATGCCGAGACTCCTAGTTTCGAGGTAGCGAAGGCCGCAACACCCAGGCTTGAGTCTAATGGTGAATTCCACTAGCACATTTGGAGTGTACAAAAGGTGCCCCTTTTAGGGCGTGCATCTTCCGCTGGCAGATCGGGCTCAAGGTACTCATCTTCGATTCGCGGATTAATGGCAGTGCCAGCTCCGTGGCGCACTTCCGACTGCGCCACGGTTAGGCATGATTGTTTTGTCGCAACTAATTGTTTACCTTTATACACTGCACGCTGCTGCTGTTTGTAAGTATGTTGGCATTTACTGCCCTCGCGCATGCAGCAACCGCTGGTGATTGCTGCACGTGCCCTGCCATTCCGGGGAGGCCGAAATGTATGAGAAGGTGGAAAAGGTGGACCTACTCCTTTGTATCTGTGACATGGACTCCATTTTTGGAATAATAGAGAGCTTTAGGAAACCGCTTTTGCACATCCGATAGGGTACGACGGGCCCTCCGGTAAGAACTGCGCATGTGCAAGTCTACTGCATTAGCACATGTGCAGTTCGTACTGGAGAGCCCATTGTAGCATATCGAACGTGCAAAATCAGTTCCCTAAAACTCTCCAATGTGCTCGACCTGTGTCAAGTCTTTCTTCTACTAGTGGACAGAGGCAGTACCGACTGGTCGTCACAAATTTCATTTCAAACTCAAGCTCGGGCAGGTTCGACCAATGACCATTTTGAACGACAGGCTGTCTCCGGCAAGTCGCTCCAAAAATGTGAGTCCATCTTCCGTTTGTCGATTTGGAGCGGAAGCCACGGAGCGGTTTTGCCCCTCCCTCGAGGATTTGAGATACCGATCCGAACCTACCGGTGGAATTCGCCAGAAGATTCCCCACGGAAAAACTCACGACAGGCACTGAGGTGTCTACGCACACCTAGAGAGTCAATTGCTGGCATCCACTGGCACTTTACCAGCCCCTCCTCACAAAAAAAACTTCTGGTCAAGCAAGCTAGCACAGAGTATTATAGCCACTGATCAAAACAGTGGAGGGGAGCTTCAGTTATCGTTTCCTACCTTCAAAAACGCTTGAATGTCTCGTGCAGCCAAGGCAAGGCGGAAAGTGCTGGATGTCGGGCGTTCCAGACATGCCCTGTGATTCTCAGCAGGCTCGTTCGATTCCTTTTGCACTTCCTGCACCAGCGCTGAGTGCAGGGCAGTGTACTTGCGGCCGTATCTCAATAGGCACATCCAAAGTACACTGCCCCACACTTTTCCGCACAGCTGCAGGAGGTGCGGGCGAATCGAACGAGCCCACTGACGATACACCTCGCAGAACACTGCCGCATTTCAATCCAGAGTTGTGCGCAACCGGCTCCGACTAACGTTCTCGCTTGCAAGCGGTGCTCGGCACGACGCGAGATCTCAAAGTCCCTCCCACGCTCGGGAGCCGGAGCAGCCGGTCGCGGTGGCCGCGGGAGCACTTCCGACGGCCTCTGGGGGCGGTTTCCCAGAAAGGGTGAGCGAGAGAGACAGCACAGAGACTCACAACAATGTCCTCGGGCAGCAGGTTGTTGCTGGACGAGTGATCCTCGAAGTCCACCGAGTACAGGTCCTGCGAGTGGGTGCTGCGCACCCGGCCCCAGTAGTAGCGGCCGTTCTTGTGCTTGGCCACCACCCGAGAGCCCACCGCCACGGGGGGCAGCTCCCCCGCCAGATCCCGCTGCGCAGGTAAAGGGTCGCCCCTGACGCAACGCGGTCCGTCGGACGATCCCCTTTCGTTCGACCAAAACAGCTCTTGCACGATTGTGGGTACGGCCACGCTTGCTCGGCCTTCAGGCCTAAGCTATCGTTCGGGCGGCGTGTGGACGATGCCTGTTACAGCACGACCGAGTTTGTGAGTGCAGCGCCGGTGTTCCGTACCAGCCATATCTGCCCGCACGGTGGCCAAGATCACACACGACTCGCAAGCAAAGCTACGATAAGGCGAGACAAAGGCGACGCACGGATGCTTGGCGGCCAAGAACCAAGCCATGAGGTAGCCAAAGACATGTTTCACTTCGTTAGTGTCTAAATGAATGTTGCTTCCCATTCTCGAAACCATTATCTAACGCACTGCTCCACCGGGTTGGGTATGCAGCGAGCCAAACTGAATGCAAGTTCCACTTAAAACAAGCTTAAAGTAGGGGCAAAAAACGTCTCGGTGGTTCAGGACTTGCTCTCTACAAGCTGAGACTGGCAATAGCCTCCTCACATAATACTAGATCTCAATAAAATTGAAATAAAAAATATCAGTAGCTCAATTGCCCACATGAGAATAAAAGCTTTGCCCGTGTCTGCACCAGTCCAAAGAAAGCTAGCAATGGCCAACCGAGGTAACTCAAATGATCGATATATTTTTCCTCCATGTTGCCCCAAAGACCAGAGACAAAGTGCAGGCATAGGCCGAAGGGAGAGCTTGCCTTTTGGTTGGGCGAGTTGGCGTGCTTGGTGCAGGTCACAAAGATGGGCAGGGGCCAGTCGTAGGTCTCAAAAGAGACACCTGCAGCATGGGCGCACGTTACGTGGAACGCCGTGGTGCAGCGGCCAAAGGTGCACTGGATGCAGGCGCCCGTCTCCGAGGGACGCCCCAGCAGGTCGCGCAGCTTGTGGCAGTACCAGCAGCGCTGGGAGGTGAACACACACACCTCACTCCCATCCATCATATCGGCCCAAAGCTACCGCCCTATCGAGGCAATCGAGGTACCGGAGTGCAACCTTCTCGTGGAGCACGCTTTACCCCGCAGCTCTCGCTGGCTCCCGTGAGCCCTAGCATTCACCCTTTGTCAAGTTATGCCAAAACCAAACACAGTCGCCGACCGATTTTTCAGACGCCTATTATCCGGACAATTACACCAAACCGTAACTCACCCCATAAAGTTAATATGTAACACTGACCAAAATTTCGGATACCATAAAGCTTACTGCTCGATATTTCGGACATACTTTGCACGATTTCCTCAGTTAATAGCCACAAGACAACTGCCGCAAAAGCGCCGCGAGCTTAGTCGCTGCCATTTTGGTTGCTTTGGTTTTGTCCTGTAGCATCGATACCATATCCTACGCGATAAACAAGCTGGGTTGAGTCTATAGTCAGGTTTTCCGGTTCCACTATAGCCAAGATGGCTGCCGTCTGCAGATTCTTATGGTTCTTCCAGTTCTTCCTGTGGTCTACGTTTTTCGAGTGCGACTGCGTGAACAGCAGCTGTCTGCCGTTCTTGTGGTCTGTGAGCGTGAAAAACTCTTGCCGGCAGGCTTATTGAAGAGAGCTTGGTGGACTAATTGTTGTCTCCAAATAGTCCCGAATGGCGCCAATTTCAACTTCGCTGTTTGTGCCAACGAAGGTGCTGACAAAGTGCAGCACCGTGATCAAACAGATCAACAAACAAGTGAAAAGTGAACAATATAAAGCAGAAGTTGCCCGAGAACTTAATATTGGCATCAAGCAAGTGGAAAGTGGCCAATATGCAGCGGAATATGTGCAGAAATTATACGTTTAGGCCAAAATCTATTCTTCAGACCACTTTTTTATTCTGACAATATCTGAGTCCCATCCGAGTGTGAACAATCGGTCGGCGACTGTATAGACCAATCTCCACGGTCAAAATGCAGGAAACCCCAAAAAATGGCGCGGCAACTGGCACAGCCCAGAACTCTATTTGTGAAACAGAAGGGGACTAAATACGCATCACAAGAGCTGCAAATCGCGACAAAGGTAAAAGAGGTTGGTGGGTGCCACCCGTCGCGGGTAGACCGTCTCTCGTCAGAGACGTACGGAACGGACCCTGGTCCTCTGGGGTCAGACCAAACTCGATGGGTTCGCTTCCCGAGTTGTGCGCATGGGGGCCGCGACCGAGACGGAGACCACCTCGAGGTCGAGCGACCCCTACGATTCGGCCTTTGGTCATCACTCCCCGACACTCCGGAAACCCGAAAAAGGACTTCCGCACATTGCCGGTTCTTACGCTTCTCGCAACCACTGCATCCAACCCTGATGAAACGAGAATCCCCCACTCCTCCACCATGTTGGAACTACAGTCTATAGGGCATTGGAGTTGCAAAACAATTAGCGAAAGGTTACTAACGCAATCGAAGCTCCGCTTTCGGCACGAGCTTTCCACTTTCGATTGCGACTCGTCGTCGCGGGAGCGTGCGCAGCCAGAGCACGACTCCAAGCGAACAGCACGTGCTATAGCTGGAGCTTTTACCGCGTTCTACTCCGGCCACCTAGCCACGCGAACGCCAGTTAGACGACGCTGTGGAGATCCGACGGCGAGCGGGGAAACGGCACTGACCAGGCGTGCCCTCTGTGGGGTGATGTGTCGCACGTCCACGGGGGACCGCGTGGGGCCCTCCCCCACGTGCACCTCGGGCACCAGCAGGGCACACAGCAGGTGCGCCCAGCGTCCTTCTACCGTCTGCTTCAGTGCCCCGCCTCGCAGGGTGCACAGGCAGCAGTCCTGCGGGAAACAAAATTCAGCCTCTCCAGACAGTGCTTAGGCCCCACGACTGGGAGCAACTGCGGCAGCCTGTCCCGCAACTTCTCCAAACCGAGACTTATCCCCTTTGTTCGAATCTGAAAGCACCTGATTCCACATCAATGTTGTTCATGCCACACACTTTTATGGGCTAGAGTTTGCAAATCCAAACAGGACGCGAGACTTCCCACATTATGGAGTTGCACAATAAAGTATGCATTTTTAGTGCATGCTAGCGCTAAATTTTGCGATTGCTATATCTCTCTACAACCAGAGTAACATTTTAGATTCGTTTAGTATAAATCTGAGAATGCGACGCAAGTAGTCAACTGGTTGTGTCCGCTTGCATCGCCGCCTCGGCAAGAGAGGCCTCGTGCACTGACCTTCGCACACGTACCCGACGCACGTTTGCCAAAAAATGTTTGCGCGTCGCAAACGGCAAGTTGCCAGTAATTGTTGCCCACCTCGCTGGGTCTTCCAAAATGTGTCTGTGACATGCATCTCCCGTGGAAGTGCAATGTCGTCCTGTACTGAAAATTGCACTACCAAGGATCCCGACGACAACTTACTCGCTACGACCATGAAACCGCAGTCCTGAAAGACATTGTTTTCTAACTGTGCTCGTCTTGGCTTTAGACAACTTCTCACGCATCGTGAATCCTCCTTGGAAAAGTACAAAGACTGTGTAGGCGTGCAAATTCGGAAAAATAGCGTACGCTAAAATAGCGCATCCAAAGTGAAAAACGTGGTTAGCTTTCTCGGCGCATGCGCAGTGGCAATGACGCTATCTAACAATTCCTATTGTACAAGTGCTGGATCTCACCAAAAGTGCCGAACCATGTACAAACAAACCGTTAGCCGGTTCTGTTTTGCTGGACTACACTGCTTCACAAATACCAGTTCCCCATAAATATTATTGATTTCGTCACTTATGAGACAGCGAATAAAATGCAGAGGAAAGAAAGTCACGGCAAGTACACATGCAAGTGGGTGTATGCAACACACACGAGATCTGAAACTTAAGAAAAAATTTAGCAGTCCCGTGTCAATCCACACTAGCCACAGTGATAGCTGCAAAACATCACTCTGAAGTCAATGGGCATCGGTGATCATGCACAAAAGGAGTTGGAACAGAAATAGACATCCGACAATTTCATACCCAACGCTCGCTTCTGTTTGTTTCGGGACGTGCAGAACCGCGTCTCCTATCACAAGCTCTTGGCACTGATAGTGCTCCGATGGAATTTTGTTATCGGGCATTTTCTTTTCCAGAGAGTGTGGGCATTTGGTACTTGAAATATCTTAAGCATAGGGTGGGTTGTTAACGCTGTTGCGTGGCTCAGTGGCAACGCCTCCGCTTTGCAAGCAGCGGACCCAGGTTTGATCCCTGCGTGCTATCTCTTTCAAGTATCTGGCATCAGCGACGATGGACGCCCTACAACACCAACCACTACATCAACAACGGACAACACTTCCGGTGGTGGGAAGGGCCTATAACAGCTATCGCTGTGAAAACCAAAGAGGTGGATCGGGTACCTGCATTGATCCCTGCTATCATTTCTAGCCCAACCAAACCCTTTTCAAGTTTCTCAGGACTAAGGATAATTCATTAGTGGCAGGAATTACCCATATGGCCTCTTGCACTCCCAAAGGGTACAGTCGAATCTTGTCAATTCAAACTTGCAGATAATTCACAAACAAACGTGCAGTCTTTATGGGAGGAAACTCCCGGTAATTCAAATGAATTCTCGGTCCCCCTAGAGTTTGAATTAACGAGATTCGACTACAAGCATGCTCGAGCCCGACACGGGGTCTTCTTCCCCACTGGACCCCGTTTTAGAGAGAGATGGGCTCACCACGCTGGCGGCCTGCTGGGCACAGCGGTCACACTTCCAGGGCTCCGTGGTGGACACCGGCTGTTCGACGCCGTAGCAATCTGCAACGACCAGGATTGCACCTAGGGCGCTCAAATAATGCGTGCAACAGGCTCGCAGCTGCACCGATTGCAGGTTGCCCTTGCAAAGCGGCTCACTCTTTCACGACGACAAACTACCAGAGTGTGCACATTCTCGTGAACTGTGTCCACGAAGCTGCGAGGTCTGGACCAAAGCACGCTAAAAGCACCTCGAAATGCCGGAGAAAAAGCTTTCTGGGAACTGCACGCAGGGTGTACAGTGCGCAACAGAAATAGCTCCGCTGCAACGTTAGCCGTTTACATTTTGCTCGAATTAAATGCGACCAAACGTGGCATTATGCTCCAATCCAAAGGTTTACGAAAAAAGAGGGACCATGTATGGTAGCGTTTTTCGTAAATAAAAACGGCAATACACGCCCAATTTAGGCAACAGTGTAGTACCACCGCAAGTTTGCGATTTTTAACGCGCATCATGCAGTATTGACTGCACGTTGGTACGATGCACGTCCAGAGGAAAACGGGCGGGTAAGCGCACCGAGCTGCAGTGCGTCGACACGCTCGGCCACCGATTAAGAGAAAATATTGCCCGCTCGTGCGCTTCACACCAGAGCCGCGTATAGAGAGTTTAGTCAATGGAGACGCGGAGGTCGGAGGCGCAGGCAGAGCCAGGACGTGCGCCCGGCGCAGAAAGAGGGCTTGACACGCACTCTTGGCCACCCAGAAGCCGAAAAGAATCCCTTAGCGGTGGAAGCGAAAAACAGTTTTAAAGATAGGTAGTATATGGTTTTAATAAGCGCATAAGAGTTAAATGTAGTAACTCTTCCTGGTGGAAATTAGGGTGCACGGGATGTTTTGATCGTGATCATGCAGAAAAAAATAAACGAATGTGCCGCTCGAATTCTGTTTTGCTAGTACAGAGCGTGACCGCTCAGACGGAAAATTCACGGCCCTTGGCGCCTGGCGCACGGATTGCGTCGATCGTTCTGCTAGTCGCGCTCTTCCACAATGATCTTGGATGACCCTATTGAAACATCACGCACACCATATTTTCAGTCGCCGAAAGTTACTCTGACACACTTATTAGTATTGTTTCTCACAACCACCTCCAGCGTATTATTTCTGGCTCCTGGTTGGCCACATTTGAATTTTTGAAGACACCTTGGAACACGCCCAGCCCACTCTCGGCCAATGGGGCCTCCTCATTTGTCTCCTATACTTCCCAATTAATGGCCAAGCTCTCTACATATACGGCTTGGATGACACCTAAATGGACAAGCCGGTTTCACTCGTGTCCCTCGAGGGCTCCATGCCCAACAACGCCCTCTCTCCTTGTCGCGTTGCACCTCTTCGGCGCTCCCCACCGACGGGAACTCCCCGACGCGGACCGAGTAATGCCGGTGCTGGTACGGTGCCCGAAATGCATCCCCTACCGATGTGTTTAGCGTCCCATTCCACCCATGCATTCAAAGTGGTCACTGAGTGGCAACGACCTACGTCCCAGGAAATGGCATGTCATGCTGTCAGATGTCACAATCCCGCGAGCTGGTGCTAGAAGCTCCAAAAAGAGCGAGAGAAAACGCAAGTGCCACCATCCTCGCCTAGGGAGTGACCGAACACTCCGTAGGCCGTCGGGCTGCGGAGTGACCAGCAGTAGGATGGGCATTTGCCAAAATTAGCGCCGCGACGTCGTTGTAGCGGATATCGAGATTTAGAAAGCAGCAGGGTGCGGGCGACACTCACGTGCGTGGACGCAGACGGAACACTCTGAGCAGACGAGCAGGGGGCTGGAAGCCACCTCCGACATCTCGGGCAGCCCCCGGGGGTTCCCCGGGTCCACGGCCCCGTTGGCCAGGCACAGGGCGGGCATCCATACCGCGCTGGACTCCGGCACCTGGGGGGGCTCCCTTGGGGCACTTTCCAGCGAGTACTGCGTCCCAACACGCACCCTCTTGCCAGTTCCGTCTCCAACACGCCCACCGTACTGGGACGCAGTCCGGCAAACCACAATTTAAGTGGCGAGATAGAACACAAATGTCAAACTGCAGTAACAAACGGGACGAGCGGGGAGGAGTTTCAGTAGTGCACGCATTTTCCATGTCCTCTGCACCTCGAGCGTTTATGCGCAGCCGGGGTGACTCCCCCACGTTCTGCCCTGCACTCCAGCCGCACCTCTCACTACTGCCGCGTCACACCCAACCAAACGGGCATCAATTTTCTACGAGGATCTCCGTGGCATGGGTCGGTTCCCATGCGACCGTCCAGAATAAAGCACTCGCACGTACGATCCTCCTTTATAGTCCATTGCAACTCAAGAACGTAAGGCAAGGGTAAGATGGGCCAGGGAGGAGGAGGCAGATGGAACGCTAAAGAAAAAAGGAGGTTTCCCTTTCTCTTCTTCTGTGTGGAAACGAAGAAAGCTAGAAAGGATCTAGCTTTCTTCGTTTCCCCTTTTGTTACTGTAATCGTCCAGACACCCCTTTCACCCCCCGACGGATGGAGTATCTTGAAGCATCAGTGGCCGAGAGCTAGCGGACTATAGCGCCACCGCTTAAAACTCCCCCGGGGAAAGTTGTGCCTCACCTTGAGGGGTCGGAAAAGGATGCAGAGGGCGCAGTGGGGCTCCAGGGTGGAGCAGTAGCGGTTGAACTGGCGCTCCGCATACAGGCTGGTGGGCCGAAAGCTCCACAGGTCCATGTAGGGGGACGCCCAGGCCGCCACCCCGGGCTCTCTCGCCCCGAGCCCTGGGGGGGGGCCACGCAAGTCAGCTTGCTGCGCTATCCTTTCGCTCCAGATGCTTCACAAGTGCTCGTTGTCATCTACTTCCTTTCCTATGTACATTGCATCATACTTCCTATCTGCACAAAACTTCACCTTGCCTCTTTGATGGTATGAGCCAACGCACACCAGTTTCCCTATTGGACGTACTACCATCAAATACCACACAAGTGGACACGTAAAACCGCAAGATTAATCCACCAGCTTTGCAATGGAAGAAACGCCGCTACAGCTCATTTGTACGTACTCAGCATAGGAAAAAACATTTACCCATTGACAGTCGAGTCGTTTTCCCTAAAGATGTTTCCCAGTGGTCAAGTTTTCCAAAGGAATGGTACAAGGAAAGAGTTGATGCGCATGCTTTTTCATAATTATGCGACGGGAGCACGCACAGTGCTCGGACGGCAAGCTCTCATTTTGATTTCCATTTCGAGAGGCGTTAAAAGCCTGAATCGAAAGAGCTGGTGCTCCAATTGCCGCTAGTGGGCACTTTCAAATGTGAGGTCGTCCCTGTAAATGTGCGGTGACAACCAAATAAATGTTAATGAGTGCAAAAAGAAAACGAAACACAGGTTTGACCATGCTGACAAAATCCAGGAAGCATAAAATGTGTTTCGGACAAACCACACTCCATGTGTCGTTTTGAAAGATTTTTTCATCTTTTTGGATCAATTTTTGTATCTATTTTTGCTCTATTATCCTATTTTTTATTCTATTTATTATTGATTTTGACCCAGGTTCAAACTTTATATACAATCTTAAGGGGGGACACTGGCTAGAGGTTGAACTTTTGAACTACTCAAGTGATCGGAATGAAATTAGCAGAGGAGATTTAACTTCAGATGTAGGTGTACTGTGCAAACTTTCAGCTCTCTACGACAACTTTACATACCTGCATAATAAGATGTGTCACTCCTCGTTAAGAAATCTATGATATGCAAAGGAAGCTATTTGGCACCATTTTAAGTGCTTGAGTATAAAGTGGAAGATGTGGGACTTTGGGCTATCTAGTTTTTATAACTTAAATGTAGATATTTCAGGAAGAGTGATTACCTCAAAATATGAGATGCATATCTGTCCTATGTCAATTTTTGAAAACATAGTTTTTTCTTAATGAGGGCTTTAATGTAAAACAGAATAAAGTAGATAGCCCGATTCCCCAGTAAATTTCAGTTCAGAAACATCTTGATTGTAGTATCAAAATAATTTTACCTTCAAACAAAAGATTCCTTAGTATGAAATTTGCAGCAAAAAGTGGAACTGAGAAAAATGCATTCAAACATTGAACTCCTTTACTTTGTTAGTGCCTCACAATGTGTTGAAAATATTTTATATCAATGTAACTATTTGGTGCATGGTTATGAAATTTAGTGTAAGGGTGTATTATTAGTTTCTAAAACTGAAAACCTCAAAATTGAAAAATGAATTTTTTCAAAAAATTTTGAAGCTCAGACCCATGTCCCCCCTTAATGTGCGTAACGCTTGTTCGGGACAACATAAAGAAAGCCAACCAAGCTGGAGCAGGTGCAAGCATTAAGGGGGGACATGGGCCTAAATTTAAAATTTTTTTGAAAAAATTCATTTTTTAATTTTGAGGTTTTCAGTTTTACACCAAATTTGATAACCATATGCCAAATAGTTACGTTGATATAAAATATTTTCAACACATTGTGAGGCAGTAACAAAGTAAAGGAGTTCAATGTTTGAATGCATTTTTCTCAGTTCCATTTTTTGCTGCAAATTTCATACGAAGGAATCTTTTGTTTAAAGGTGAAAGCATTCTGATACCACAATCAAGATGTTTCTGAACTGAGATTTACTCAGGATTCGGGCTATCTACTTTATTTTGTTTTAAGTTGAAGTCCTCAGTGATAAAAAACTAAGTTTTCAAAAATTGACAGAGGACAGATATGCATATCTCATAGTTTGAGGTAACAACTCTTCCTGAAATATTCACATTTAAGTTATTAAAACTAGATAGCCCGAGGGTCCATATCCCCTACTTTATATTCAAGCAGTCAAAATGATGCTTAACAGCTTGATTTGCATATCATAGATTTCTTAATGAAAAGTGACACATCATCTTATGCAAGTATGCAAATTTGTCCTAGAGAGCTGAAAGTTTGCACAGTACACCTACATCTGAAGCTCAATCTCCCCTGCAAATTTCATTCCGATCACTTGAGTAGTTCAAAAGTTTGACCTCTAGCCAGTGTCCCCCCTTAAGGTATGTAGGTTGTTGCAGGGCGCACTCACCGTCGTCGCTGTCTGCTCCGCTGCCCGTCTGGGGGGCCCTGGGACGTTTGGGGGCCGGGTGCAAGGGCTGGCGACGCACCGCCGTCCCCATGCACAGCCGACGCCCTACATTCACCTGCCGAGCACGGGGACGCAAATCCCATACACCACCAGAGACACCAAACAAGAGCTCCAACCCATCAAAGACGCTTTTACTACTCCCAATTTACCAAAATAAAAACCATCTGGCGATCTATCCATTGCACATCCGAATGTGGTAGGATAGAGGTACTTTCTCAAACAAATATCAACTTTGAAATTCTATCACAGTCAGTTGTTACCTTCGAATACCGGAAAACGGGTTGGAAGGACATCCCAAACGTGTGCAGAGACATGGCGTCAATGGACAAAAAGCCATTGCAGGAAACATCGGCACGATACAAAACAATGCACGAAGGCAGCTGGTCCAAAAGATGCGAGAATAAGCATGCCGGAAGACCCTCGAATAACGGCCATAGTTTTTCACGGATGAAGCCGTCCAATGAAACGTCAGTATCCGGGGGATCCCAGAGGCTGTTCAGACTCCTAGAAAAAGGAACGTGCCGCGGTGGACCACATACTATGCCAGTCCGAATTTCAGAGGGGCATCATCCAATTGAAAAAGCGTCGACCACGTGTTGCACTAATCGCGTAGCGCGGTAACGGTGACCAAAGTTGGGAACAACTACTCTGACCTTGCACACCCCCATCCCAGTTTCATAAACACCCTACGGCAACCGGGCTACGGTAGGGAAGACAGGCTCGACTGAAGATGCTCTAAAGGATAGTCCCAGTGATGTTAGCTGTCCTTGGGCATAACCCAAGGTGTGAATCAAAGGTGAGTCTCACCTCCGTGGGAAGCACCTCCTTCTCCTCCTTGGGGGTCTCTTGGAGGAGAGTCCTTGCCGGGGCAGACAGGTTCAGGGGACACTCCAGGGGGGTCTCCAGGGCCCAGGGCTGCCCGACCAGAACCTTGGTGGGGCTCTCCAGCGTCCAGGGCTCCCCGACCGACTTGACCGGGCTCACGGGAACCCAGGGCTCCCCGACCGACTTGACCGGGCTTTCGGGAGCCCAGGGCTCCTCCTTCGGCTTGGGGGGGCTCGGGCTCTGCGCAGATGGCCACGTTGCTTTTTTCCCAGCTCCCGTTTGAGGCCGCACAACGCTGCACCTCAAACGACTCCGCTCAAGGTCCACCTCAGGGTGCTTCCAAGAGCTAGTCAAAAATTCTTAAAAATAAACCGCTCACCCTAGTGCAATGAAACTTTTAGCAAGGCTGTCGCTTGAGATGGTGGATTTACCATGCTCAAAAGGCGTAAATGGGGTTTTCAAAAAAACAAAACTTTAAGCCAAAATTTCTTTATGCACGGAGAGGAAAACGGTAAAAACCGTCTGGTCGACGGTGCCACTCACACACGGCTCGGCATAAAGCAAAAACATGAAAGCTTCTTTAACCCAGACACCCAATGACAGATTCGGCAGATCCAAGCGCGTGTGCGGTACCATCTGCAAGTTCATCGAGACAGTTTTGAGCATTTTCTTTCCCGTGTTTTGAGGCTTAAATCTCTTTCCAGAAACCCACGCTCGTGAAATTTGATGCCAGATGCCTAAAAAGACCTGTGCAAAAAGTTTCAATGCTCTTTGGTTTATGCATAGAAATTCCTTTACTCCCCAACAGCGATCGGAAACGCCCCGCAGAGTCGTCACAACAGCACGTCTCAGATTAACTCAGTTTTGATATCCTAACGCCACAATTAGACTGGTAATGCATATCAGCTGCTTTACAAGCAAGCATGGGAGAAAAAGGTGCCCTCGTCTACTCATGGCGTCCAGGCTGCGAAGAAGACCCGTTGACACGGCACGACAGTCCACTATGACAACGAGTGATTGTCGAGTTGCCAACAATCTCTCTGCGTTTTGCTAATTCAGCAGAAGCATAAGGTCTGAATAGTCCGGCAAGTGCAACAAAATATGCCCAGCTTTGAAAGTTGCTACCCGCCACACTTTTCAAGATGGGAGACATGGTAGGGAGTGGGGGTGGGTAGGCACGTTTATGGACGTGCCTACCCACCCCCAGAGCAAGATTGAGTACACCTTGTAGCTGCGATACTGAGTCCCATTCCCTAATCCTGCGCAACAAGGTCCAAACCGTAGAGTTAACACAACAACATAGAGGGAAAGGTCCTGCGCATCACGGCTGCTTCGAAAGAGCAGGGCACAGATGCGAACATTGGCAGTCCTAGTGGGCCCCAATCACTGGCGACACCTTAGTAGACACAAAGATGCAGCACATCACCTGTAAGGATTGTACTAGTGTCACTACTGTCGAGACCAGTTGTAACAAAGTTGGTTATAACGAAATAGCGGCTACAGCGAAGCGACCACAATTTCCCATTCCCGTTTGCACTTTTTAAATGCATTTGTGTCAGTTTTTGGCGAAGGAAATTGAGTGGCTGCTAGGGATATAGCGAAGAGAAATATTGTGATAACTAAAAAAAAAAAAAAATTTCGGAACGATTATTGAGTCTTGGACCGCCACGCTTTGCTGCAGCGGCCAAGCAGCCACCCAGAAAAGGCTGCAGAAGATGCTGGAAAGGCACCGGCGGCACTCTCTGCAACGTCGTCTGCTTTCCGCTCCTCATCTAGGAAGCGGCTTCACGGCATCGCACGCGGAGAAGCCGTCATGGCACGCCGATAGGGGCGTTCGGAGCGCTAGCCAGAACGTACTGACGGGAGATGACGGTGAGAGCCTAGATTTAAGAGAGGGAGCAGTAAGAACGCCGGCATTTGATTGTTGCGTGACCAGTGTGGTGAGGAAACTGCGTGGAGAGGTGGACATGTTTGCATAAGGTGAACGCTTTTGAGTTTTACTCCTTGCATGCTGCAGCTTGTTTTGCAAATCTGACCCACAAGCCACGTGACCCTGATCGAGCAGTTGCCCCATCTCTTAGGCTCTCTATACCGACAAAAACAACAAGCTCGGTGACGTGCACGCTTGCGCGAAAGTCTACTTTGCTGAAGCACCGATTCGGCGAATCATCGCCACTCAACGATGGAGAGTCCCCACATTGCCGACACCTCGATGGGGAAGACGAAGGCAATCTCCTTGAATTCAAAGTGTGCCATCCTCGACGGAGTGCGTGTAAATGCAAAGAACGCCATCCACCGCCAGCGTCCTTCGCGGGGCCGTCGCAGCTGTCAACATGGTCCATACGTAGCAAGATCTTTTTTTCAATCGGAGCTTCTCGCAGCTGGCGAGAAGCGGCTCCGATCTAGCAGAGGACGTGTGCTAGGAAGGCTCAACCACTTTCTGCAGGCTCGATAAACATGTGCCCGTGACAACCGGTGTTACCCATTCTTTTTTTGTCATTTGTAAGAGTTCATATATAACGAAGAAGCGGATACTATAGCGAAGCGACGTCCGATTCCAGTTGACTTTGTTATAACTGGTCTCGACAGTACTTTTCAAATGAATATCACACACAGCAAACAAACTTCTGCTTGCAATGGCAGTTCGTTACAATGAGGTTCGACTATACTACGCAAGGGTCAAAAAAGGTGGTACGGATATGCGTGCGCAGCTTGGTAGCTTTGCTACTCTGGAAACCTATTCAGTGGCTGTAGTGTGCACCTAGCTCTTTTCTAGCTTACTTTGCAGAAAAACATTGGCATTGTGCATCGAATAAAAAAAAAACTGACGACCACACGAACTTCAACTCGCTACGGCAAAACGAACGCGCCCAACCTATCGTCTGCTTTCTATTTTCGTCCTTCCATCGCTCTTTCCCTCATTCTTTCTCTTGCTCCCGTCTTCACCCCCTCACCGCTAAACAGAATGGCTAAACAGAGCGGCAGTGGCCCCTCACCCGTGCAGGTGGCTGCTCCTCGAGGCGCTGCTCCAGCCGGAGCACGGTGTCCGAGAGGGGTGAGGGTGCCGGGGTCACCACCGGGGGCACCGCCAGGAGCTCCAGGCCGGGAGCCGCATCCAGGGGTTCCACCTTTACGCTCAGCTCCTGCAACAAGGCAGCCTGTCGGCCAACATTGTCAGCACTCGCCCGGCGCAACGGTGGCAGGAACGCGTCTCCGGCGTCTCATTCCACCCGTGCATCCCAAGTACCGATAAAAGCCTTGCAATAGCTACAGTGCCGCGCTCGAGGATGTCCTGGCGATTGGCCGCACAAGTTCTAAAACAAAACATGATGCAAGCGTTGCTGTCTGGTTGTCCCAACTCCCCGAATGCCGAAGCCTCCGTGAACTGTCAAGCTGAAGAACGACCTGCACCAGACGGGCGTCTGCCACGTACGCCACCACAGCTGCGACGTCGACGGGGTCGTGGCCAAAAACAACGGCGCAACATTGGGCAGAAATCGAGACAGCCCTTTTGGACGCGGTAAATACCGTATTTACTCGCATAATGAACGAGTCCCCCACAACGGGCATCAATATTTGAACTTTTTTCTTTTTCTCGCGTAATGAACGCACTTTTCATTTTCGGCTCTCCGAGTCTTCAAGCAAATTTTTTTTTGGCCGGCCAGGCCAAGCCGAGCTGTTCTCGTAATGGTTGCAATTGCGCGGTAGCAAAAATGATCGATCGTGAAACCGAACGGCACGCACACCTAATGAAGTTGGGGTCGAGGAATTGCCCAGCCCCAGACGTGCTTCGCCCATCGGATGCATTGATGTCAACGAACACGCCATCGTCTGTGACCCGCTTTTGGACAGTGATATTGCGAAAGTGGTTAGGCCTATGAGCGGTCACATCGTTCTCTGTGAGCTTCGTAAGGCACTTTTTCTTCGGCCAAAGGCATGCCAAAAGCGCCCTAAAAAAGGTCCGCAATTCGTAGAGCTTGGTTACTGTGGCACGCCCATGACCAGCTATGGGAGCGCCTCTGTCAGTGGAGACGTGCCACAGTACCCTGCCATGTCATATTTGCACTTTAAGTGACATTCGCGCAAAGTGTGTAAATGCAAAAATTTTACCCCGCGTAACGAACGCACCCCCCTAAATATGTGTAAATTTTTCGGGAAAAAAGTGTGTTCACTACGCGAGTAAATACAGTAAATGCAACGGTCGGAGATGCTTTCAAGGCACTGGCACCGAGCAAACGTGGCACAAGGGCGACAAGGCAAGAGCAGAGCCAGGAGTTGAGTTGGAACGCGGGGCACGGCACCGACGCTTTAGAAATGGTCGACTGCAGAAAGATGCCAAGGAAAACGAGTGTTCCTGAGAAGGCGTCCAGCATGAGCTGCCTTTCCCCGGAGACGTGTTTGCGGACAATGTGTGTGCGGGGTAACAGAGTGGCTCTCCGTTAATTCTGCTAGGAGCCATTGAACTAAAATGATCTGGTAGACAGGACAAATCAGCGCTTGTCCTGTCTACGTGTTTTACCTGTCCTTTGCACTGCAGTGTGCACTAGGAGCCATTGATTGCTTCCCCCAGGTGCACGGTGCAAAAGCGATAGTGACGGTGCTCTCGAGTCCCACTAGAGTGACAGACGGTACACACCAAAGAGCCTCAAGATGGTGCACACAAAGGTATCTTTTGCAGGCTCTCTCGCGCTTACTACACGAGCATCGAGAGAGCCCGCCAAAGCTACCTCGGCGTGCACCTGCCCAGGCTCGTTGGTGTCGGCAGTTTGTCGCTTTAGTGGGACGTGGGCATTACCGAGAACGTAATCTAACTTAGCTCGACAAGGGAGTGTGCTGCCTAGCACGCTCGTGTAATCAACTGAGGTCCCCCCCCCCCCCTTTCTACTCCGACACGTCGAGCAAATCCCCCCCAATGCACAAACCATCATCGTTCTGCACCGCAAATGTTGCAAAAGGGCAACGAGCCTCAGCGACCAGTCACCGAACGGTGAGCAACTCACTCGCGCCTTTCCCCCATCTCTCCCGTTCTACTGAGCTCTCCAAGCATTTTTTCGAAATTCTATTCGAGACTGGTACAGGCCATCCAATGACGTAGTGCAAATTCCAACTGTCCAAGCTGTTTTCTTTTTTTTTTTTAAGGTATGAGTATATACGTAACTTTTCTTTATCCGTTTCCCAACTGGAATGTTTCTATTTCTAAAATCCTTATATTTCAACTATGATTATTTTAGTGTGCATCTTCTTATATATCGGCCATCCCTACTGTAATGCCTCTCAAGACGATGCAGGTATTCCAATCAATTGAATAACTAATCAATGAATAAAACGAGCAGGCGTGGTCCCCACCTGCATCGGGCGCTCCTTCTCCCGAACCGGCTTGGGTTTAGCCTGGTTCCTGGGCTTGCGGGGAGGCTTCTTGAGGGCGCCTCCGTTGGGGGCCCTGCCGGCCCCCGCAGCCCTGGGACGCCTGGGCTGGGCGGGGACCTTGGCCTGGCGCTTCCGCTTGGGCGCCCGGTCCTCGCTCGACTCCTCCGGGTCGTAGATCTCCGTGCCGTCCGTGTCCCCGTCCTCCTCGGCCGGACACTCGCCCGCGGGGGCCACCGGGTGCCGCTTGGACTTGGGCTTCACCCTGCACACCCGGACGGGGCCAAATGAGGGAGGATACCCGGCTCTTGGCAGCCCCCCCCCCCCCCCCTACCTCCAGTCCTGCTTTTAAGATGGAAGCGTTGTCGCGGGGTACGTGCCGTCACCACACTTGGCTGCATTCGCTCCATACCAGTTAACTTGCTACTCTCGACAGACAATAAGTCACTTCATGCAAAGCTTTCCGGCACACTACACTCGCTCCCGTCTTCATTTTTTTGGTGGCAAACCAGCCCCGAACTAAGCCAAGTTGTGCCAGATACAGGCACGAGAAAAAACAAAGTCCCTTCCAACCCCTGTTCCTCTCAATCACAGACTAGTACCGACAAGCAGCAAACACCACTCTGACAGTAACTGAACAACAATGAAGGAGCCCGACACAGTCACCTACCTACTCAATTCGGTGAGAAGCTGGGTGCCACAAAGGCCACCACCATATGCCGCTCGTTTGCGTCACCAGCTACATGGGCCCGTCGGGACCAACGCGAAGCGGGTGCGAGGGACCTCTAGATCAAGCCACTCACATGCGCGCCAGCATGGCCATCTCGAGGTAGGTGGGCGGCGGTGCGGCCGACACCCGGGTGGGGTCCTCCGGGTGGCTGCCCACGTCTTTCCCCGCCAGCCACAGCTCGTACTTTTCCGGTTGCAACTTCTTCACAAACACATCCATGCTGATCTTGACACAGTCCTGGCGGCACATGCACTGCACACACCCAAAAAGGGGGGGGATGTCACGTTCGAGCCTCTTTCACCCAGAGACGCCTGACATTTTCATCGGGGCTGTCTGAACAGGACACCACACATGCCAAAAACACAAGAGCCACACTTCTCAAAAGACGTGCAAGTTCCGTAACGCACGTATGTGTCCAGCAAGGACAGGCACCACGCAAACAGCTTGGCTTTCTTCCTCTGCCCCTATCTTGTTTTCGGAAGATTGGGCAGTGACAACAAAAGTGGAGGCCTTGACAACAGCCAGCAGAACATGCGAGTGGCTGACGAGCACACTCCAAGCCCCTGTCCAAGGATAGATTCTGTCCTTAGAGACAAAAACAGAGGGCAGCTTCCCCCCTCCCCGGTGAAAAAAAAGTGTCCTGGAGGGATCGGAACCAGAGGAAAACCTCCTCTTTTAGTACAGCTTATGCGGTGCAATGTTACCGGAGCCGTTCGGGTAAGGCGCAAAAAAGTTGCAATAAACTATAGACGGTGATGGGTGAAGACTTCAGGGAAAGCTCCTCCCTGCTCTTTAGCAGAGCAAATGCTGAAAAGGAGGAAACTCTGCTAAAGAGGTGGGAGGAGCTTCTCCTAAACTCTTAACCCGCAAACTGTTGATGTGACCCTGTAAAAGTGGGGCTGGCAGCAAGCGCGAGAGAGGAAGAGTCCGAGCGGGTGGCTCACCTGGGAGGCTCTCTTGCCGTACTCCACCCAGCGGGGCAGGGCGAAGTTGGTGGATTCGGCGCAGTTGAAGCCGTGGTTGAAGCCAGCATGGTAACCGTACGGGAATGTGATCATGAACTCGCCTGGCTCCTGTGTGATCTGCAACCCCCACAAGTCACATGTCCGAAACCCCTTAAAATGAAAAAAACTTGCCACCGTCTGGTGTAGTAGAATCTCTAACATACAGCAAAACTCAAAACGTTTCAGTTTCTAATAGAAAAAAAGGGGGGGGGGGGGGGACTCAACACGCACCTTGTTGAAGGGAATCGAGTACTGCCGCAAGATCTGTGGGGAGATGACGGTCATCTTGTGGCGCAGAAATGCTGAGCACTCCTGCGCAGTGGTGTGGAAGAACCCTGTGGACAAGCGCAGTCCAGTCTTAGACGTGCCCCACCAAGGCAGGCCTCCGGACAACAAACAGCAGCGCCAGTGACCGAGCAGTTTTGAACAACCCCCCCACTTTCAAGAAGTTGGCAGTAAACTCGTTCCAAAGTGAGCGGGGAGCCTGATATTTCAAAATCGTGACCAATGCCAGAGAGTGCCACGACACTAAAGTCTGCGGATGTTAAACACTAAATTCACCGCGCATTTTTAGAAGAAAGATCACCTCAAAGCAGCTTCTGGAAGCAAATGCAGCCTAAATATAAACGTTACGTAGATGACTAAAAGAGAAATAAAGAAATCGCTAGTGCGTACTGGCTAACTATCTCGTAAGCCTGGCCACTGTCAGATGCGCTGGATGCCAGTCATAGGTGTTTGTTTACATTTCTTGAGGGTGCATGCAATGCTGTCCCTCCAGTTTTGTCGAACGCCCTAAACATGAAGCCCACTTTTTTCCAATAAAATTTCTGTCTTCCTTGCCATGGGGGTGAATGCCACGTGTTTCACAGACTGAGAAGAGACTAAAGCAGGCACACCTGTTTCCCTCTTCAAGTATGGATTTCCGTCAGGAAGCCTCCTCGGTGTTTTTCCAACGATGCCACTTGGTTGAGTGGCAGTTTAAGACGACGCAGTCAAGTATGCGAGTGCCTGCTTGTTATCCCGACCAATACTCTACAAGCGCGAACACGTAGTAGGTACGCTCGAGGCATGCAGCCTTTTTCCATAGCTCCAACTTCATCCGTAGCTAAAGAGGAACTTAGCACGCAAAACATTTGGTTACTCCGCTTGTCAATCTGTTTTTGACAAGTTAATGTGGATGTCACGCAAGAGCGGAAAAGGCAAGAAGAAAGGGTCGCACCTGCGGCCAGGCGCTCCAGCCGCCTGCCGTGCTCCGGCGGGATGCAGTACCAGGACTTTGGTGCCCCAAAGTGCAGGTAGTTGATGGAGTAGAGGTCCATGTCCTCCGTGTGCCAGGCAAAGGTGGTCTTCCACATGCCAAAGTAAAGGTAGGCCGTGTTCACCCCCTCAATCTTGATGCCGTAGTCCCGGCCGACCAGGTCCAGGATTGTGTTCAGGTGGTTGATGTTGAACTCCTGCACAAATCCACCAGGGGGTACCCTCTTCCAGTGTTCCTCCAAATGAACAAACAGAGGCTTCCCACGCATAGCCTCCAGAAGAGTAGAAGAGCGCGAAAGCTGGGCGCACCCACATTTCCTTACAATATGTCGGTCAGGTGCGGACATTCTACAAACATCTATGGTAGCCCTGACGTGGACATGCGAGACAAATCGGATTAAGGCGGCCGCCTTCCAGGAAATGTCACGCAACAACAAACTGTCTCCAGCGGACAGCCAGGAAAATGAAACAGTTCCGCATCTACATATCCCGCCCACTTGGATACCTATTTTAACACGTTGAAATCCTCCAGTTATGGATTCATATCCGAGATTTAGCTCAAAAGCGCTGAATGACTGCAAGAATCTTATGCATGGGTCGCACTCCCACTGCCCCCTCCCAAAGAGAGGGTTTCTCACCTTGACACCAGGGTCGTAGAGGGAGCCAGACACGTCGGCACCATAGATGGGCGGATTGTAAGCCACGTTCTTCCAGTACTTGCGCTCCAGGTCCTCATAGTCAAAGTGCACGGGGGTCCGGTACCTGGAGGGAAAAGCCCGGCAACCGTCACTCTTCGTGCGGGAAAACATGCGCCTCTGAACAAACGCAGTGTTTGGCTCGGGCTACCCCGGAACACGGGCCAGAGGTGCGGTGCGCTTGACCGACATGAAGCAAGCATCCCATACGTACAAACACCCCAGCGCAAGCCCTCAGGTAGGCTGATGAGGACGTGCGTCTTGCTCCTTCACTACCTGCTGTCTCCGGTGCTCCCCATACTTCGTTTCAGCTCAAGTCCAGACGCGGCCGATGCTACGAGCGCTAGCATCTGGCCCTGAGCAGTGCTTGCACTGCACGAGCTTGGCAGGGACGCCGAAAGCGCTTGTAGCATCAGCTGCGTCTGGACTTAGGCTGAAACAAAGTATAGTAAAGGCCCGTTACCTGCGTTTTCTTAGGACCAAGTTGTTGCAAACTCTTACGAGAGAATGCGCACTGGCACCATCGCTGGAACGGCATGTCTCTAGAGCGAAGGTTTTGCGGTATTTCCAAGATCAAACATAATGCTACCTACGAGGTTGTTCAGCAACTTCTCTCGTTGTGCGAGAAGAGGGGTGGTAAGCAAGTGTGTGCCTCCACTCATGTTGCCAGGTGTGACGCACCTGTCGCTCTCGGCAAGGCGCTTGAAGTCCTTGACGGTCATGGCCTTCTTCTGGATGTTGTACTGCTGGTAGAGGCCCTGCCTCCCCGTCACCACTTGGGAGATGGGCGACGGGATCATCATGTGGATGTCCTCGTAGCCACTCTTGCGCGGGATCCACTCGCGGGGCGGAATAATCTGCAATGGGAGAGTTGCCCCCTGCCTCGTTCAAAGTGCCCACTGAAAGCAGAGGCCCTCCAGCTAAGGCTAACTCCGTCCGTAAAGCTAAGAGAAAAACAGTCGACCATCTGGCTACGCTTTAGTAGCAACGCAAGTCAACACGGCAACGCCCAAGTTCCACAAAGACCGGCTTCGAGACGCTTCCTACGTACTCCCAAGCAGGACTTGTTAAGGCCTTGCCTAGGAGGAGTTGGTCATAGCTGAAACTACAGTTTACTGCAGCGTTGCGGCACACGCTTGTTGCCTTCTGCCGCGTACGGCTGCGCATGCGCCTAAGGAACAACCTCTACAGCAGATCTTACATTGCGAAAAGCTATACAGCCATTCAATGTGCCCGAGCCACCGTACTGCCCAGCCAGGGCCAAAGACGATCGCTCGACCGATCGACCCACGGCAGACACTTCAGGACGGGATGCCCTCAAAATGACTTTCAACCGCGAGGACACCCACCTTGGCCAGCCCGGCTTTGTGAGCCCCCTGGGACTCCATGTGCTCGAGGTACTGGGAAAAGTCGTTCATCTCGGCCAGGGTGGGGCGGAACACCATGATCTTCGGGATGCCCGACGACGAGCCCACCCCGCATGCCGGCCGCTTCTCCATGGTCGGCCCAATCAGTCTCTCTTACTACCGGTCACGTGCTGGTCTCCACGGTGCGGGTGGTCCGCCAGGCGCCGGTCCCTGCAGCCGCTCCCATCAGAGCCCGAGCACTCGAGGGTCCCGGCCAGGACCAGGCGTCCCCTGGTCAGTGAGACGAGGCGTGAACCCGTGGCACAAGGTCTGTTGGTACGAGGGAATAGTCGAGAGGCAGGCCAGACACTAGAATGAAGAGTATTTGGTACTTCATCTTTGGATTTCTTTCATGTTACCACTGTGAAACTAAATTATGAGAATGACAGGGAGTCCTTTTAAGATGCTCCAGCGTGTGCTCGTTGCATTACGCCATGCACTGGTTGCCCGTGCACATTCAAAGCCTAAGAGATGCCAAAGTGTCATCATAGGTGCATTGCAGGCAGGACAACTCCTCCCTGTGAGTGACTACATTGAGAACCTCCAAGATGTCAGCACCTATGTTCTGTGAACATGTGCCTTTCATACGATACACTGCAATTTCCGCATACCCACTCGACGCTGAGCATTGCAGGCTTAACGACTGACTATACACACCCCATTTCCCAGGGATTCAGACAGACAACACGCAAGTGTGCAAATGCACTGGGGGAAGCACTCTGCCAGCATTGTACAATATCCCATCCTACTACACTTCCACGCGCGAGTTAGGAGACTAAAGAGGTAGACGCGACGTTAAGCGTCGCCCGCACGTAGCACCGTGCATCTCGCAAGAAATTAGGTCACGCCATGCATCTGTTCAGTCCTGCATGCAAGCGTAAACGCACAGCTGACGAGCGAAGCCTCGCGATGGCCGAAATAATTACCGAACAAGCATATTTTCAGTCCCATCTCGTTTACGAACGGCGCTTTAGCTGGTAGCGTTGTCTTTGATGGGCAGTTGTTGCAGCGTTCGTCACTCTCGAGACGCTCGTCGCCGCCAGCTTTTCCGGAACGCGTCACTTTCAACGCGTTTCGCTCCGACGGCGCGACCTCTTTTCGGTAGGGAAAAGTTCGGCCCAACCTCCGAACAAAATCAGATTCCCTCCGCTTTCTTTATGGAAGAGAAAATAGACGCGACTGTTAAATAGCGGAAAGCCAACAAGCACGTAAACGCGCTGGGGAAAAAAAAAAAAAAATGGAGGTCGTGTATTTGTTTGGTATTTTTTTTTTTCCCCTCTTATCAAAAACAACAAGTCGAAACGTGCTTTTCATTAGCACGCAAAAAGACCTGAAAGAAGATTAGAAGGGGAGATCGCGCGCAGCGTGCTGTTCAGAGGAAGGAAGTCACGACCGGTCAATGGATCGAAGGCGTCCCAAGAGATGCGCGAAAGGGTTCCACGATTATCTTCTACACGGACAATGAAGCTCTTCACATGGCAAAAAGAAAGCTCTCGTAATCAGATACTAATTGCCTAAAATGAACTTCCCCGTAATGCGCGACACAGCGCTAGAGATTAAGTAATAAAAGAAAAACGACTAAATTACGGATCTTTGCCCTATCGCGATGCCTACTGTCGCCGAATTTTATAGATTACATTGGACACCCTTATCGGCACCTTTAAAGCGTAAAGACCGGCGTAAACGGTGTGTCATAGCGCAACTATTGCACCGCCTACTTCGTTTCTAGCGTTTCGTTCACGAACGTCTCTGCGTGGTTTTACAATATGAAAACGCTTGCTCTACCAGAAGCGTTTACATCGGGAACGCTAGGCCTAAATAGTGCGATGCGTTACTGGACCAGAACGCTAAGGAAGAGCGAAAAAAGCTGAAACTATGCGCTTACCTCTTCAGCAGAACTTCAAGTGCCCGAAAAAATTCAGCGAACGCAGGTGTCTTCGATGATCCTACGTGTAACTTTCGAACATTCGAAGCTTCTTGGGAAGCGTCCGTAGCGTCCACCGCATACCACCATGATGTGACTACTCACACCCTCAAAACATTGCGCTTATCAAGAAAGAGGACTCCGATTATCGCAACAATTAATAAAAAATAGGGCAAAATCCTTCTGAGTCTCGCATTAAAATAACTTTAATTGTTCAGGGCTTTACTTTTCACTTATTATAAATGAATAGTACAAACTTTACGAGTCCGTTTAGTGAGAGCGCGGAGTGATACACAAGCTCCTGTTTCAGCGTGAAGAACGCTACCGCTGTTAACGCAAAGCAGACGGTGCGTGAGCCAGCTGATTGCCGATTCCAATGGCTGATCCACCGTTATTTGTAAAAATTGATTAGTATCTGGTCGGCCCTATTACTGACATAAAACATTGGTTCGCGATTAATTATACAATGATATTAGAACAGCAGAATTACAGCATGGTATTTTCCGCATTTAGCGAAGTAGCAGACGAAATCGCGCAGCTATTGAAAAAAAAAAAAAAAAAAAAGGCCGGGCATACGGGTTTAATTAGTTTTGACGCGCAATTAACACAGACACACACACACAAAAAAAAAAACTATTCTAAGTGCAATTTACACAGGCAGGTGCGTTTGTTCAAAACTCCAAAGCAGACAATTCTGTTTATTTACTTGTATAGACCACCGAAATTGAATTTGTTACAAACTCTTGACCTTACTCTCCTGCCCTAACGATTTCCACAACAAAAAGCAGTAGCGAGTCCACTATACTCCGTTTCACCCCCAAGTGGAAGTAAAGAAGAAACTACAAGAACGCGCGCAACGTTCTGTGCGCGCCTGCCGAAGTAAAAGCGCCGTTCAAGACGACCATCCCCGTTTCATATCTCCGCCGCTAGGCTCCGTTAGTTTTCACAAAGGGGGCCAGGGGGTTTCATAGCCTCACTTTCTTTGCACTGCGGAGTGAATATAGATTTCACATTTAAATAGTCTAAGCTTAAATGGTAAAACAAAATGGCTAGGTGGCGTAAGCTACCGCCCGATCCAAAGGGCTCAGCCGTATTGATCCATCCATCCATCCGGAAGCAAAGCGGTAACTCCCCCGCTCGCTACCCGCGTCTCTTCACGCAAGTTCGTATGCTTCTTGCGCAGGGGTCGCAATGACGTCAGAAAGCCGAGCTCCGATTGACTCTGATGGAGGGATAGTGGCTAGACCTCAATGCTAGCTGCCCTTAGGTCTACCCACTATCCTTCCAATCGAAGCACCTCAACTCCTGCTCATGAAGCAGACGAATTTGCGCTCCGCATACCCTAGCACATCACAGTGCTAGGGAGCAAAATCAAATACCAAAATATTTATTTTAAATTAAACAAACAATACAGAAAGTTGTGCAAGAGCAAAAAGATTTATGTGTGCTTCTAAAAGAAAAAGAAATTAAGTTAGATTTGAGTACACACCAGCCTAGAAGCTTCCCCAGCTGCTTCAATGAGTATATATGTACTTTGCATAATGGTTCTCGGTTTATCTTACACATTCAGATAATCTGCAAGCTGCCAAACCAGCTCAGCAAAGATAGTTTAGTGCCCGTTCATAGCTAAAAATAAAGTATGACACTAGCAGATCTAACTTGTATGTACAAAACTTGCCTTGTGTTGTTGAAGACTCGGCATACCTTCCCTGACAATGCTCGGTCAATCCAACAGCACACATCAACAGTGAAAACTCAACAAAAGTAAACACTGTAGAAGGCTCGTACATATAAGAGCACCACCAGAAGAACATTCACGTTTAGTTGGACAGGAATGTTGCATGGCAAAACGACCAAACAACTAAGTACGAGACACACTCAAAGCTCCAGACTAGAGCAACCGGCGCACGAAGCTGCAACGCTCGGTTCATTCCATAGTTCTACAACGGTAAGCTACCAGAGGAAGGTAATGAGTTCTGAGCTGCCATGCCAACTCCACAAACCTAGCTGGCAGCCCGTGGTTATGGCAATACCATGCAATGTCCAGCTAGCTCTCACAAACATTTGCAGAGCCAAATCATCCCTCACAAGAAAGAAAATGGCTCAATTTGTACCTTGCTTGAAACATCTCTTTGCAGATATGGGGACCTACGAAGCATAATCAGGAACGGGAATGCTTTGCTGCATCCCCAGGCTATAGGAACGTCCAAACAACACAGAAAGATAACTCAGATAAGGCCATGACGATAGAAAAGAAGCTACTTGTGGCACTACTAATCTCGCATATTTATAAGCGACACTACGCCACAATCCTATATCCAATCTGCATGACTTTCTCTAATTTATAAACATGCATACATTCTTAGTATAGGTGCTAGCACGTTCTGAAAGAAACCAAGCCTTCAAAAAAAGAAGGGTTGTACTTGTTAGCCGATCACGAGGCCACCGTTGACAAAAAAGGTAAAAATAATCTTAGATGTTGAGCTTGCGCAACAAAGCAAAGGGAAAGTTGTCTGGGAATTCCACGACACACACAGCAGACAAAACAGACAGAAATCAGAAAAATAGGCTCCCAGCAAAAATCATCGTGACCTGCAAAACAAAATGCCAACTGCCGATATCTACATTTCGAACATGGCAGAAATTGAGAAAATATCCTAGAGACGGCACAAAATTCAGCAAACTAAATTAGCCGCAAATCGTAACTTGGCAAGCCCAGCCCGGCCAAACCAAGAGGGGATGTTTCCAACAGCCGACAAAGCGCACATTGCACGCCCTCGTCGAAGAGATTGAAGACTCCACGTGGCGGGGGCCCCCATCACCGGCTGTACTTGTGCAGGTAGTTGCCCGGCACGTAGCCTTGGTTGCCGTGTCTGTCCTGCACGAACCACCACTCTGGGTTCCCGTGCAGGTCGCACTGGTGCACCACCAACAGAACTTGGCCTTGGGCGATGCTCAGCTGGTGTGGACCGCAGGCAGAGAAGGGGTAGAGGGCGTAGTGGTACTGCGAGACAAGAGAGGGCACCACAGTGCTCCGTCCGTAAACTTAGTCTACTTAGCACTCGTCTCTTTCGCATATTTTTTTTTTTAAATTATCTCAGCTGCTACATAGATTGTCCACAGGATATTTGCGGTACATGGGACGCCTCAAAGATACCTGTATAACCACGCCTGCGGCGAAGAATGTACTACCGCTGGCTCCAAAACATTGTGCATTTGTGTCCTTTTTCCGTAATAACCTTCCAGCTTGCGACAATTTGGTTAGTTACTACTATTGAGACCGGTTATAACGAAGTCTGTTATAATGAAATAGCGGCTACAGCGAAGCGATCACGATTTCCCATTCTCTTTTGCACTTCGTTAACCGAAGTCAGTTATAACAAAATAGAGGATATAGTGGAATGATTTCCAATTCCCACTGACTTTGTTATCACCAGGCTCGAAAGTACTTTTTTAAGGGTAGCAACTGCCACTGTCCACCAAAAATGAGCACACGGTAGCTGTGTTTTCAGTTCGCTACTAGTTCAAGACAGCAGAGCAATGGGTAGCTGCAAACTTGACTTCCCGATAAAGACGTCATTTCAGTTCAAAATCTGGGTCCCTCTCCCTGTGACGAAGACTCCCAACAAACCCCAGCAAATACAGCACAGTGACGACAGAGAGGAAAGCTGCAGTTAGCAAACAAGCAGATGTTGCGCGAGAATTTAATACTTAGCTAAAATCGTGCTCTCTGAACTGCTAAGTTATTCCGACTTTTGCACAGTTCCCCTGTTCAGCAAACGAATGGCGTTCTGCTCATTCTGCGTCCTTGACCCTCTTCTCTCTCCCTCAACCATATATGGTTTCTAGGAACTCCACGCACAGCCGCGATGAACTCTGGGCCAGACCATATCGGTGCCTTGACTCCAACTGGCGTCTTTACCGTGTCCAAAACAGTGGTCCCTCGGTTTCCGCGCCATCATGTTATAGAAGTGTCACGCCGTCGCCGTTCCGTGATGAACATGGCAGATGCCTGTTCTGCTGCAGGTTGCTCTCCAGCCCAAGGACGCTTCGGCAGCCGGGAGTCCGAATGCCGTGACAAGGGAAACACTCGTATTGCCTCAAGCTTTCCGACGGAACTTCTACAACCAACTGCCAAGATCGCGACACTTTTGAGAGGTCATTTGTTGCCCTTTGGGGACAACTTTTGCTGCGTGGGTGGAACAGGACGCTAAACGCACCAGTCGGAGATCCGGAAGCGTAACACTGGCGACATGGAGGTCGGTTGCTAAGAGTTTTAGCCGTAGTGAAGACACCCCTCACCTCGTTAACGACGGGAGGTGCAGCAACAGGTGCGGCAGCAAGCGGCGTCGGTTCCGGACCCAGGTTTCCGTAGAGCGCACCTCCAACCCCCGGTACGAAGTCCGTCCCGTCGGGAACCAGGTTTCCGTAACGCGCGCCGACGGGCGCCGATCCAAAGGGCGCCACACCCGTCTCCTGAGCCCTCGGCTTGGCGTCGACCTCTTCCGAGTTTCGCAGATCCGTCGGAGCAAGCGGATCGAACTCCAAGTTCGCGTACCGCGACGCTGCCGGAGGCGGCGGCTCTTTGACGGGCGATCCGATGGATGGACCTTTCTCTCCGTCCGGAATCTCTTCGTAAGCGTGCCGCTCCATCGTCGATTGGTGGCCGAACGAGTAGTTGTAGACGGACACTTCGTCTCCTGTCGCAGGCTTCTCGGGGACGGGGGAATTGGTGGGCTTGGAGGCCTCTGGGGACGCGGAGGGGGACTTGCCCCGACCCACGAAGGCGGGGTTGAAGCTGGGGTTGAGGGCCTGGCCGGGAGGCGGGTTCGGGGTGGCGGGCCGCAGGGGGTCCGTAGCGCTGTACGGCGGAGGGGGGTCGTGGTCCGTGAGGGCCGGCTGCGGAGACACGCGAGGAGAGACGGCCGGTGCGGTTGCACCCGGAACGACGGGCCGCAAGAGTGCCGCGGCGACGAACCCTTTCGATGCTGCAAGAGAAAATAATTCCGACGACTGCATCAAGTTTGTGGCTTCGTTTGGTCGATTGATTCATCTGTTTCTATTTGTAACATCTATGTCAAGTTAGTGAATTGATACACCTAACTGATACGTCTGTTTCCAATTTTAATTGTTTATGTCCCGCACGTTTGCATTGCGCGGTAGGGGCTATAACGAGGAAGCTATAGTCACTCAGAGAGTCAGGACGTCAGGTCTTTCGAACACCTCGAGCACGCGCTTGTTGCCTGTGCACCTGTGCTTTGGCTGCGCACACAAACTTGAGGCTCAGAAGACGCCGTCATCCAAGGTAGGAAGGTCGCACCAGGACAACTGGAACTCATCCCGTCTGTCAGTGACTATAGTATTTGAGGTTCAAAACTGCCAAACTGAAATTCGTCAAATGTTTCAAGTCGAATCTCGAAAAAGAATGAAACATTCTAATCATTTCAGATTTGAGCCGCCAAAGGTTTGCCAAACTCCCATTTTGTTGACCAAGTTTTGAAAGAATGGCCAGTGCCACGAAACAACTCACTTCCGTCGTCCACGAACCACCTGCCGGGGTTCCCCATGGGGTCCATCCTCTTGACCACCCCGACCACGTCGCCCGCCCTGAGGCCGATGTCCAAGATGTCTGCGGAGACGTAGTCCTGCGACACCGTGAACAAGCATTCCACCGGGTAGCTGGACTTGAGGAACACCCGCTGCATGTCCGTCTGCAAGGCCATGCATAGTTGGAGGTGATGTTAAAAGGCACTTCTGAGGAAGAAAACGTGCTTCGACTTTGCGCACATAGTTTCTCGGGGCGCTTGTAGGGAGATACAAATCCCTGGGCTCGATCAAAAATTCATCGTAAAAACGGTACCTGCACGCAACCTCAAATTTTCATCAATGCCATATTTTAATGGCGCATTATACTTACGAAATGTCAGGACGTAACTTTGTGCTTAAAACAAGAAAACCCTCAACATTCTCGACTGCAGACTCCGACATGGATGAACAACTTAACCGAGGATTGTACTCGTGGCGCCATCTCACGATAGGCACAATAAGCAGATGACGGCACTCGGTCGAAAGGAGATGACATCGTCATTTGCTTTGGAGTCCTTTGTCACGGCCAAGCAAGCACAGAGATCATCGAGGTACCGCGCTGCAATGGTCGTCGCTCTTGATTGTTGCCAGCGTCGTTCGATTCATTCGAACAAGTTTTGCGAGGTTTCTCCGACAAATCGAAATGTGCTTAGGCTACAAAGCAGCCAGAAGGAAACGGGAGGTGCGCCAACCTGCGCGGGTGCGGTGCCCAGGCTGAGCCTGGCGGTGGCCCTGGCGCCCGTGGCGCGCGACAGGCTCGTGGCGTCCGCCTTGGAGAGCAGCGCCGCAAACGGGTTGTGCTCGCTGGCGCACGGCTGCTCCGCCAGGCCACGCAGGAGCACGCTCTGCCGGATGCGGAAGTTCTCCAGCACGTCGCTGTTGCCCCGGGCGCCATGCATGGCCGGAAGCTGCAAGCCGGGGGAGGACACCAGGAGTGAGCGACCACATTTCAGTCGGTTCCTTCTCGGCAATGTTCCTGCAGTCTCCCCGAATGCAAGTGTTGCGTGTGAAGAGTGCTCGCGTGAATATCTCGTGAGGCATACTATTAAATGCGCAGCATTTACAGACCTTTCTGATGTCACGCTTCTGCAGAGGCGCTGCTGTCGGCACGGCGCGTGCGCAGACGTTTCACTTCACCCAGATGTGCCCACACATAGTGTGGGCATAAGCGGACTTGTTTGTGAACAGCGGGTTGGCCTATAGGGCCAGCTGATAGCAGTTTTGTGTTTCACCGATTGATCTGGGTGCAATCGGCTTTTGGAGCGGAGACTTTTTTTCCCGTGTGTGCTCGGGCACAGAGCTGGAATCTTTCCAGCACATGCTATGAAGGCTCCTGCTTGTGGCTTTTGTGTACCACCAAGGCAATCCCCGGGCAACGGTGGCGGGCACGGCAAGACGAAGAAAGAAGGGCGAGGGATGCAAGAGAATACAGCGGGGCCCGACAGAATGCCGGTCGAGCAGCAGCCAACCAGCGGTCCCAGCGCCAGTTCATTATTTGTTCGGTGTGTACCGTGTGCAAGAGACTGTGGTTTTGGGTGAGGGGGGACGTCGCAGGAAGCAATTTTAATGCCACGCATTTCTCTTCCCTCCTGTGTAGACCAGAAGATTCGCAACATTTGAATTATAGATATAAATAAAAGGTTGAATTTTTAATGCAGAATGCATTTTCATAAAAGTGAAGTTGCAATTTGAGTAGCATCCTGTCACCGTTACCACCGCCCCTTCCCATTGGCGCTTCTCTGCCCGGTCTATATTCACCCACTGTGCGTCGAGTAAAGGCATGGCGGCGCTCGCCTCAGGTGCCTCCTAACTGGCAGACGACACTGCATCTTCACAAATTGCGTCATAATCATCAACGAGAAGAGTTTTTGCGGTACCGTAGCCGCATGAGCGTCGTGACTGGCGACAGCATTAAGGATTGCAATTTTAAGCGGGCGTAACAATCGTCTTTGAATTGTGCCCATATGTGCACATCTACTTATGGGACAAGGAAGTGCCTTTTGCGTTTCCCTTTAGGAATAAGAACTTTCTCCCCCTTTTTAGTCAGAACTATAGTAACACCCCCTATAACCCAGTTTTTATTTTCTTACAAACTCCATGTGGCAATTACCACTAAAGCAAACCAAAAAGAAATAAGCAACATTACGCGGATTACTTTTGCATAAAACAGTAACCCTCGTGAGGGTAACTCTCGTGACCCTCGTGAGGGTAACTCTCGTGACCCTCGTGAGGGTAACTCTCATAACCCTCGTGACCCTCGTGAGGGTAACCCTCGTGAAGGTAACCCTTTTGAGGGTTACTAACCCTCGTAACCCTCGTGAGGGTTACGAGGGTAAGTAACCCTCGTGAGGGTAACCCTCGTGAAGGTAACCCTTTTGAGGGTTACTTACCCTCGTAACCCTCACGAGGGTTACGAGGGTTAGTTACCCTCAAAAGGGTTACCTTCACGAGGGTTACCCTCAGGGTTACGAGGGTAAGTAACCCTCAAAAGGGTTACCTTCACGAGGGTTACCCTCATGAGGGTTACTTACCCTCGTAACCCTCACGAGGGTTAGTAACCCTCGTGAGGGTAACCCTCGTGAAGGTAACCCTTTTGAGGGTAATGAACCCTCGTAACCCTCGTGAGGGTTACAAGGGTAAGTAACCCTCGTGGCCCTCGTGATCCTCGTGAGGGTAACCCTCATGAGATTAACCCTCGTAACCCTCGTAACCCTCACGAGGGTTACGAGGGTTGCGGTTACGCCGACGCCGACGGCGACGCCGCTCAAGCCGGGAACGGGCCCCTAAGAGCTGCGCTCTAAAACTGCGTTAAACACGGGAAAAGAGTTAGCTAGGTCGACACAGTCTGTCGGTCGGTACTAGGCTGGATTAAACGCACGGACAGACGAGATGTGCCAGACGAGGCCGCGCGAGGGGAACTGCGCAAGGCACCTCCATGAGGGTGAGCAGCTCCCGGGTGGCCCTTCCCACGAAGGTCTTGCGAGCCCTGAGGAACTCCTGGACGCACGACTGGAGGATCTCCGCCGACAGTGAGCACAGCTTGGGAAGCTCGTCCAGCAGCTGCGAGTTTAGGGCCCCGTACACGTTCCTGGCCACCTGCTGCTCGTCCGCCAGCTGTAAAACATTGGGCCGTTGTCATCCACCGTAGCACGCTGCCTGGAGCTTCCATCGGTGTCTATCCCACCCATACGTCAAAAAGGGAGAGGCAACAGCCGCGGGAGCAATGCGGAGAACAAGTCATCTGCTCCTTTTGCAGGGGCTGTAGTGACGTCAGAATGCCAAGCTCTGATTGGCTCTGCTTGAAGGATAGTCGGAAAACCTCAAGGCAGCTTGCTTTGAGGACTACCTGCTGTCCTTCAACCGGAGCCAATCATATCTCTGCGTCGCTGCAGTCCCTCACCGGCTTGTGCCTGGTGACGTCTCGGTTCCTGTCGACGCGTGCCTTGCAGGCGGCGTAGTCGAGCAGCTTGTGCTGTCGCTTGGTGATCAGCTTGCCCGGGCCACCGAACATCTGGAGCAGCTGCTTCAGCACCGACTCCACGTCACGCTCCACCGACGTCGCCTGCAGAACCACACAACCGCGGCTGTGAGCTCAACTCCGACAGGAAACCCAACTCGTGAGAAGAACCCCATTGACACGAGTTTGAACCTTCTTGAAACCTTCTTGAAATCATTTTTAATCATTCTTAAATCAGCCAAATGAGGCCTTTGTCGGGGCGCACGCAAAGCAGGTGAGCTGTCAGGCTCAAGTTGAGAAGCGAGTATAAACTCCATACCAAATTCTAATGCAGTCGTGCGAAACCACGACCTGTAAATGCGAGCCTTCATGTTTTGTAACTCCTCAATGCCCTTTCCCTTGCCTCTAAGTTGACCAAATGCTATTGCTACCACAAAACAGAAGCCTAGCGACGCAAAAATAGGCAGACCTAAAATGGGGCACCCGCAGTACCGTCACAGACGCTAGAGGTCTCCGAAATTTGGGTCTTGACCACAAAACTTTTTACGTAGAATAAATTTGCCGAGAAAGTGTCTTTTAACGTCCGGAAGTCGAAAACTTTACGAATGATGCAATTCTTTTCCAAGATTAGGTGCCAAGAAAAAAAAACTATGTAAGATCCCCACAGAGTTGGCAAATTCAGTAGGGCTACCTTTCCTAAAACCAAGGTAACAAAGCTACGGTAGGTGGCGCACACGCAGCGTGGTCTAAGCACACCAAAACCGGAGCGAGCAATTCCGCTGTTATGCTGAAAGAGTCTCGCAGCTGCGATGCAACTCACAAACTCCTGCCAGTGCTGGGCACAGATGGCGTGCTGGACACTCCGGTACCTGTCCACCTCGGGGACAGGGCTCCGGTCTCGGTAGAAGAGGACCAGATCTTCGGACAGCTGCAGGGACACCTGCACACTCTCCTGAACACAAGGAGCGCCGCCACATCAATGCACAGACTCTCTTCAGTACGTATTACAAAGTCGCTGAACAATCGTAAGCACCAAGGACTCTTAGGTCCAGGGCCCACAACGCCAAGGACCAGAGATTGCAAAAAGACGCAACCAAGTAAACTAAAGGTCCAGGCTCGTAAGCGTGCCACGCTACGAGGGTTGTAGACCCCAGCCTGAGAAAACCCCAGCCCATCGTAACCCCGAGGCTTCAGGATTATAGACCATGTGAGGCAGGAATAGGTTGTCAAGACAATAGACTTCAAAAACTAAGAATTGTGTTAGAAGATAGACTTGAACTTAAAAAAAAAACAGCCTACCAATTGGAACACTGTTCTACAAAATAGTGCGTGGTAGAAGCTCTAAAAGTCGGCCGCGATTAGGGAGACCTTAAAAGTGTCACTGAAGACCACCCAAGGAGTGTGAAATCTAGAAACCCAAGGTAGACAGGAGCCCTTGGGTCCATCCACTCACCTTCATCTGGTCGCAGAAAACACCGAGGTTCTTGAGGAAGAGCTTGAGGGCCTTCTCCAGTAGTCTGAACTCTCGCTCCGTCCGCTCAAACTGCTCGTCCTTCTCCTGCGTCCCCGGGAACCAGAGATGAGGTCTTGTGCGCCCATCTTCGTGCCCGAGGCGGCCACGAAAAAACGGTCCGCCCGTTCACTCACCACGGCGGTCAGTCCAAAAGTGGACGAAAGGCGGACGCCGAACCGGGACGACTTCTTCAGCACCGAATGCAGGTTCAGCTTCGCCAGCCTCCTAGAGAGCGTCGACTCCGAAGGGTCCTTGCGGTACTTGGACACTGCGGAGAAACCCGAGCCTACTGACCACGCGCTAGACTGTACTGTCGAGACCGGCTATAATGAAGTTAACGGGATTCGGAAATCACTTCGCTATATCCGCCATTTCGTTATAACCGACTTCGGTTATAACGAAGTGCAAAAGGAAATGGGAAATCGTGATCGCTTCGCTGTAGCCGCTATTTCGTTATAACCAACTTCGTTATAACCAACTTCATTATAACCGGTCTCTGCAGTATTTGCCAACAGCTTTCCCGGCTCCTGTTCCCCCAATATTAATAATGTCAGAACCATAGCAGGATATTCAATCACCTTCAATTGACATGTTTATGCCTTTAAAAGCTGTTTTAACTTAGTAATGTCAAAAGTATAATAAGGTATATATTTGATATTATTGTTTGGTATCTTTGTGCATACAATATTAGCATTTGATGTGTGTGTTTCTTTTTCGTTTGTGTTGCGATGCAGTTTGTGGGCATCAAAAAGTGAACATAAACAGTCTGAACGGGCAAGGCACTGACCGAGGTCCTTCCTCCTCTTGAACTCGTTGATGGAGGTTGCCACGTCCGACATCTTCTCCATGGCCTGGGCCAGCATCACCTTGTCCGGATGGCCCTCTTCTGTTGACTGAAAGCATTTGGACAGACGTCGCGGAAAAGCTCTTCCACGGAAGGAGCTAGTTGTTGGGAAAGTTGCAACAAATGCCAAAGCGGGGAATGCAAGCACGGTCAAGTTTGTCTGGGTGGCCCTTTTCCGTCGACTGAAAGCGTTCGGACAGACGTCACAGAAAAGCTCTTCCATGGAAGGAGCTTGTTGTCGGGAAAGGTACGGCAAATGCCAAAGCATGGAACGCAAGCAGAGTCAAGCATACCCACTCGGCATTATTCCCAAGCTTGAGCTGTGTTACTTCTGCTAAACTGAACAATATTTTGAAAACAATACGCCGTTTGTGCCTCTTAAATACATCGCACCCAATGAACGCCAAGGCTAATCTTAGACCGAGCAAAATTTGAATTCTGAAAGGGATATGCCCGATACCCAAAACAATACATTCCTCAAAAACTCTGTATATAGAACAGACAAATTGCCATAGCATATCGAATCGGAAATATTCACTGGCAGTCACGGCTGTGTGCTTACAGCAAACGGTCACCAGATTCTTTCAAACCGTCATTACTATTTCATTAAAAGAACACTGACAGGGTATTTAAGCTTGCCGAGCTGTTTACAAACCGTTTGTGAAGCTGTTTACAAACCGTTCAGGACGAGTATAGCTTGTCTGTTTTCTCTGGTTCATGCGCTCAACCATTTTGGACGGACCAGGCTCGCTCATGGCTTAGTTTGCGGCTCTGCCAACAGATGGCAACAATGAATTTTTTTTTAATTTTGCTCCCTTTCTGTTTGTGGCTAGAGGTTTAATATGGATACCTTGCTATATAGTCACCATTTTCCGGGACAAACCGGGTAAACACACGCCTTTTCTCTCGTTATTATGGACACTTTTTGGGGGAGCAAAGGTGCCTATATTAACGAGACATCACCGTATATGACCCCATAATGAAAATGTAGAGCCCTTCCACTTCACGTGAAGATGAAAGACCAGCGAAGCTGTTATCTTTACGACGTCTAGGACAATGCCTAGAGGACGACGTCTAAGTTGACCTCAAGGACAACTTCTAGGACGACCTTGAGGACAATGTTTAGGACGACCTAAAGTATGACTTCTAGGACGACCTCGAGGATGACATCTAGGACGGCCTCAAGGATGACTTCTAGGACGGCCTCAAGGATGACTTCTAGGACGACCTCAAGGACGATGTCTAGGACGAACTGAAGGACGACGTCTAGGACGACCTCAAGGACGGTGTCTAGGACGACCTCAAGTATGACTTTTAGGACCACGCCTAGAGAAATTCAGCCTTTCCACTCTGGTGAAAACCTGAGTGGAAAGGTTGCTGCCATTTATGAACAACGGCGGCACCAAACAACTGGCAAGCCGATTGTCTGGTTGCCACTGTCGCTCATAGATGGCGGTAGCTGTCCAGAGTTTTGTTTCGACATCTGTTTGCCCGCGGACATGATACTGGGAAAACTAGCCCTTAACAACTCCGCTGTAAAAGCCTGAGACAAAAATGAATTGGGGGGTAAAGATGGGACCAGAACGCGGCAAATCCTGGGCTCTGACGTCAGCGGTCCAGAAAGAGAGAGAGCGAAAAAAGAGCAGCGAAAGAAAGCAGATGAAAGGTTAGGCCTATTGGTTTTGCCGAGACAAGTTGAAGTTGCTCGAACACTTGTAAATGTAATTTAGATTTCTACAATGTGCAATTCCGGTGTTTTCCTGCAAAGTAACCTAGAAAAGAATAAGATACACACCTTACAGGTCATGTTTTACTGCTTCTTTGTGAACATTAAGGTGTCACCAGCGACATGGGCCCATTGGCACCACCAATGTCTGTGCCTATGCCCCGCCGTTCTGAAGTGGCACGAATACATGGGACCTTTCCCTCTAGATTATTATATTAACTACATGAAAAAAAATTAACAAGCACACATACCACCCCCAAAGTCCTTATAAAGTTAGTTCAACGGCTTGCCCGCATTCTTTCACGTTCATCAATGTATATGAATAGCTTCTATAGAACAACGAGGGAGCGAAGGGAAGGGCGCACTCCATACGGGACGACCACGCTGAAAAAGAGTAAAAGACATAGTACAACGACGCTCTGTCTGCCGCCAGACACGCTGTGTGGAATCACCTTGTTGAGCTCGTTAAGGAGGAGGGGGTACTTGAGGATGCGCTGCACAGGGCGAATGAGCACCGAGGGAAGGTCGAAGCAGTTGGTTTCTCGCTGCATGCGCTCCACCCCTGCTTGCAGGAACTGGGCCGCTGCGGGACTGGCCATGTACTGCGCCCATGGAAAGAGAGATGGCATTACTAGCATGGTCCCTTCAACCTTTGAACAGAAAAAGCTAATGGGAAGAAAAGTCACATTCATCCCTCAATCAAGCTTCGAGGAAAGCTCGTCGCCCCTTCACCGGCCCTCACATCCTACGATGGCCAGGTGACGCCTGAATCGAGCTGCGATCTGACAAGGCCGTTCGTGGCAGTCAAAGCTACGGTCCTCCAGCAGCCGCCGTGCCCAATGGTAGGCTGGTCATTCCGGGCTGCTGTTTCTTTTAACCCCAGTACTGTGAATACCATTTTCGTCGCGTATTTCCAAAGTTACCTCCACGGCTTCGTCTTAACCGCCAGGCACAGCCAATGTCTATGTGCTCGAGAAGGCCGGCGAGCAAGCCTGCAGGCACAGCTTTCTGTTCTAGCCACTAAGTGCCGTCGATTTCGCCCAAGTCACGAATAGGATGGAATCATGGCTTTACGTTACAAGAAAAATCAAAACAACCACAAGGACAACCCAATGTGGCCATGGGTTGTCCTTGTGCTGACGGTGCCCTGCGCCTGCTATGTAGCATGGGTTACGAATGTATTCAATTCACAAATGGCATCACAATGGACTGGCAGCGGGAAGCGAAGAAGAGTCGCCTGCATTTTTGTATGGGGTTTTGGCGCCTCTAGTAGCAATTATGTGAAGCAGACGCAACGACGACGAAGCATAGGGAAGCCAGCCACTGGGCAGGCATTATCAGTATAAAGCTTCACTTGCTCATGGTAAAGCAGAGACGAGAGAGGAGGAAACGAAGCACAGCCATACCTTGGTCCAGAGGCCGCTGACGTCGTCGTGGTTGCGGCAGTAGTGGCCGTACACCTCCTTGAGCTCCTCGGCCACGCTCACAAAGCACTTCCCTGGGAAAAGAAGGAGGCCAATCAGTCAAGCGTCTTTCTCACTTTGTGTTCACCGAAGAGACAGGAACATTGTCCACCAGCACAAACGCCGAGACCAGAGCCCCTGCTACGCTCTGAGCATCCACACTCCTTTCCCCGGTTACCTTGCGAGTGTCGCTATTTTAGTGCTTAGCAGGTGTGATTGGTGATCGCTATGATTAAAAATGAGACTTTCCGAGCTTTCGACACAATGTCGGGAATCCCGGGCGATATGGGTTTGCTCTGTCGTGGACTGTTTCATTGAGTTTAGAAACAAAAAAGCATTTCGTGCTATTTCAGACGAAGATTAAAATAATGGGTAACAATGATTTAGGCAACGAGATGGCTCAAGCATCGTTGCTCTCGAGCTTCAGTGGCTGTAATCAAGACGAAAACAACTAATGTTTGTTGCGGAACATTCCAACCTGTGCCGCACTTTTCCAATATTAATGGCACCAGCGACAACTTTACACGAGGTTGTATATAGTCGGCCGCAGCACCTAGCCGCTCTCGGAAGATGGGATTACTGAGTCGCAGCGCGTGCGGGGAAGGCCTCACCCACGAGCTGACAGGATTCGGCGTTCACCAGCTCTCTCTCCAGCGACCCCAGGAGCTGGGAGGACACCGCAATCACCTCGTCCAGGTTCCCAAACAGTGTAATTGCATCAATGTCCAGGCTTCGCATCTGCACGTCAAAACAAGAGCCAGGTTTTAAGGTTTTTTTACTGGCGTTAGCGCGACGTTACGTATTCGCTCTTTCTCGCTGCGAGTTGAGACGCGGTAGTGTCAGTATGCAAACAGCCCGCTTCCGGTCCTGTACTGCAGTATTTCCAAGATCAAATCTCTCGGAGAATTGGTCGCTTATAGTGCTGTCAGATGTATTTCACCCTTATAGTGAATGAATGATGCGTAAAAAAAATCTTAAATAGATGTGCCAGGGCTACCCGATAGAGGGCGACGCTGATTTTGTGGCCAAACAAAAAGGGGGCAAATAAGGAGTTATAAAACGAGGCACCTGGCACAAGTGAGAATACCTAATAGACACCTGTACGTAATGAGCTCAAACTTTCATCAAAAATGTACTATTCGGGTAGATATTGTCTTTCGAGGCGTAGCTCCATTCCTGCAAAAGAGTAGGACGTCCCTGACAGACGACAAAGTTTCTCTAGGGTTGTGCTTGTGGTGCCATATGACAACAGACAAGCGGATGACAACATCATACGCTTTGGGCCGAATGCTTGCTGCGCCAATCGGGAGATGGCGTCAAAAGCGCGACTTTCGGGCGACTCGGTTTTCTGCGTTGGAAGCCCACCATTGAAAATGTCGAGGATGCTGTTCCAATTTGACGCAGGAATGAAACTTGTGCCTCAGAATTTCTCAAGGCAAAATTTGCCACTAAAATAGATCTCATAAATTTGGAGCTTGTTACGTACAGGCGGACCGGCCCGGGTGCAGTGCTCCAGGGGGTGTCGTGGCGGGCAACGAGCAAGGGGAGGGGGGGGGGGGGTGCTGCTGCCGCGGGCAACCGCCTCATGTGCCGCTGACCCCAGTGACGCCACTGGTGGGGCCACTGATCTGTGGGCGGGGCTTAGAGTGGGCCTTGAATCAACCTAAATCCACCCTTTTCTGGCTTTCCGGTCTGAGAGTACAAGTGCTCGTGTTGCCAGGCCAGATTAGGCCGGGGGGAAAGGAAGGTTGCCATTTTGCTTGCAACGAGCGGTTCCGTGCGATTCCCAATGTGCTTGGGTGATGGCAAAGTGCTGTGTTGCTTCGGGATGTCAGAATCAGCACCGGCTGGGGGAGGGGACGAGTTTCTTTTTTCAGTTTCCTTCGGAGAAATTTTACCTCGATGGAAGAGCCACGCGGGTTCATGCTGTAAAGGGGGCTGATTCCTGGGGCCCTACAAAAGCTTGGCAGGTAAACGAGCATACCCAACTACCATAAACGACATAAATTTCACGAGAACCTCACTGTCGCAAATTTCTCGACTTACCGCGAATATGTTACTCTACGGTAAAGGATACATAGCCAAGTACTTTTAATCGCAACGTTTTCTGCCCGCAAAATGTTTTTGAATTTCGCAAACGATTGAGCCTGTAAAATTAATTTGTTTACAATATACGGAGCTCGTTTTGTCATAGGTAAATCACTTTAATTGCACCCCAAAAAAGCATGCTAGAAAATTCCGTGATTGTTACTTTGTCGCTTCATTACACAAGAAAACCATTGCTGTACAATTACCCATCACCCAGACTTTGGGCCGACTGCATTCGCTGACACGAAACAACGAAAATCTCGATCGCTACGAGCAATAAAGAGATTGCTCATCCACCAAAAGTAGGAAATGACAGCCCACCAATGCTGCGCATGACGCTTCCGGCGCTTCTTGAGAACAACACCGATACCATGTACGCCACATTCTTCGTCGACGGAAGGCAGGCGACCCAGACGTCACAGCGTCTCGTAGTGCAGTTACTGCCACACTTTGTCGCGCAATAGGCCTAAAGAATGCAGTGGCTTCTCGACCCAGCCATCTGGTTAAAACAGGATGTCCTCGGCGATCTGTCTCTGAGCTGTCTCCGAAAACTAGCAGAGCCACAACAACTAGGTAGAAAGCCGACAGTAATATCAAACAAACCTAGCAGCGTGCAGAAGTCAAGCCTAATGGTACTATTGTTTTCCACCCCCCTAACCCCCAAACCCAGTCACAATCAGGTTCCAATATGTGCCAATATGTGGCGCCACATCCAGGGAAAAGGATGGATTGCATCTAACAACTAAACAAAAAAATTGTGAAAAATAACAATGCAGGAGCACTTGACAGAAAGTCGCCGAGTGGTATCTTGGATATTCCTCGAGTTGAAGGCTCTTCAGGTGCGCAGAATGCTTTTTCAGGAGCCTAGTGGATCCCCCTCACCTTGGCCTTGGCCTGGTCGCTGAAGTAGATGTCGTAGCACATCTGCAGAGCCTTCAGGTAGTCACGCTCCGTCTGCAACAGCTCTGTCACCACACACTGCCGGTGGTCACGACGCTTGCGCCTGCACACCCACGCCGGTCATCTCTTAGGTCCAGACTAGAGCCACTAAATAAGCTAAGCGTCGACACTCTGTTCCCCGGCATTGTTGCGGGTGCCGCCATCTTGGTGTTCAGTACAGAGCAGACGCAACTGCCGACCGTCATGGTTCGAAAGGGGCGACTTCCTCAGCATTAGATTCAGTGTATGAAGCTCACGTAATGTTGCTTTGCTCTAACGCGAAGCGTTTTGACGTTTGTGGAAGACGGAAAAGTGTTTTCTGTGATTTCAGATAAAGCTTCAGATAACTGGCAACCGTGATTTTAAGCTCCAAGATGAGTAAATGTTGTTAATCTGAAGCGTAGTTTATATAGTAGCTCTGGTCGAGACTGTGCAGTGGCCATCTTTTACGGCTGGCTTTCCGAGAAATTTAGAACTGATTATCTGGTAAGTTATGGGACAGGATCCATATGGTGATGTACAGGGTGTTCTCCCAAAAAAATTCACACGGTTGTTTTCACTGCAAAAATAAATTATGCATCACCGAAAAACTCATTTTCAAACCCAAATGAAGAGCTAGAGGTCCCAACAAGATGCCAAAGTTTCAGTGTACTAACCGTTATCTTGTTCAAAAGTTATGCGATTTTCTGAAATTTTCAATGGGAAAATGGCGGCCAACAGAGCTCTTGCATGCATGCAGCTTTATGGCGCCAGTCACCGAAAACGGGCTAAAATGAGCCCCATTTTTCAGTCGAAAATTTCAGAATCACTTCTAACTCTTGAACGAGACACCGGTTAGTTCTGAAACTTTGGCATCTGGTTTGAAACTCTAGAGCTGCATTCCGGCAGATATTGAGCATTTGGTAATGTATAGTTTATTTTTGCGGTAGAAAAAACACAGTAAATTTTGTTTTGGGACACGCTGTACATCTGTAGCAAAATCACAGCAATCCTTCTGTAACATTACAATATACTATTCCCTCTGTACAAAGAAGTGGCATCATTTAAGTAAATCAAGCAATTGCTGGAATACATCCAGTTATTGTTAACAACAAACTTGGCGCTCGGTGGCGATTTATGAAAAATGCAGTTCAATGATCACCCCATTTACATTATGTTTGTTTGTTCGGGAAAAAAATTTAATAGAAACCCACTTCAATGTGTTGAAGGTTTCTGCTGGACTAGTTCACATGAGCACAAAACTTAATGGTAAATATTAATGTGCTACTACATAAACAACATTCATCATAATATCGCTGAAAGTAACAACCTGGATCGCAAAAACCGGATACATTGCGGAGACTCCTTAACCCATTTAGATAAAACCATTGTTCCATGGAGAGGAATTATGTTGTAATATGATCAAAGAATCATCACAGGCCTGATTTACACGCATAGTGCTGTATGGACCCAGTCCCGGAACTTTTGGATCCTAGTACGTACAAGATTCAACGAAAAGTCTGGGCAAGACAAGATGGGCAAATATTAATTATCTTACCGGCAAAACAAACAACAGCTCAGATAAGCAACCTGTCTTTAACTTTGGATTTGAGACAGACAGAGACACTAATTGCAACTCTGTCACGACAAACTTTTCAGGGTGGTAATGTTCGTATTGCGCTGACATGCATACAAAGCAAAGCAATCCTTCATGAATAACACTTTAAAATCTCACTTCTAATGTATGTTTACAAGGAAAAGAAAAAAATATATCCCCAAGTACGCGACAATGAGGCTACACTGCCTGTTCCCTAGCTGTCCCCATTACTTAAGCTTTTAGCGTGCTCCATTGATCTGTTCCCTTTGTACCGATATGCCAAAAGAAGAATTAACAAAGGGTTCACCTCCGCTCCTCCTCCTTAGCGGCCTGTTCCTCTGGTCGCACCGGAGCGCCCTGAGATGCCTGCGACGTGCCACTGCACTGTGCTTGGGCTTCCGGCTGGGATGCTGCAACCAAGCACCGGAGAGAAAGCAAATGGTAAACTTGCATCCGTGCAGCAGAACAAAGCCCACACACAGCACAAGAAAAAGTGTGGCAGACAGTCTTGCGAAGATAAGGGCAAAGAAAAGGCCATGAGCAATCAAACTGCTCATGTGCATCACAAGTGGGGACGAGACTTGGAAGATTCCAAGTGTGAAAACACCGCTGTCAGAAGCATTCAGTGCTGCAGTGGGCCAGAAAATGAAATGCAATACACAAGATGAAGGCCAGTATATTTTCTAAAAATAATGCAAATGATGCCCAACCTCCAGTAGCAACAGAAATATACTAAACATGCCAAAAAGACACATCACTCCTATGCTCCTTGAGAGAAACCCCTTGAAGAGCATGGGTTATTTTTAGATACAAGAGATTAAATTGATACTGCAAAAACGTTAGGAAAAAATGTAAAAAAGTAAGTCTGACCGAATCGTTTACAGTAGACTCTTGTTGGATCAAACTCCAGGAAGCCATGAAGTTTCTTTGAATTATTGCAAGTTTGGATTAACAAAAATTCACCTAAATATGATGAAAGAAAATTATGATTTATTATATGGACGGATACACATACATAGCAGATATTTTATGACATCCTCTACACAAGCCTACTGATCATAAGCAAGGATGCCACACTTCAAATATAGGTGAGATCAGGGATGGGCAGTATTTCAAATACAAGTATTTGAAATACGTATTTCAAATACTTTCTGTATTTTGCATTTGTATTTAATTACCAATTGGGTAATGTATTTGACGTGTGTATTTAAATACTAAAACGTGGGTATTTCAAATACAATTGTAATTAAATACAATTTTTTGGGCTAAAATACATCCCTCAAATTTATTGTCACTGTCCAGAGCAAGAAGAAAACTACGTTCTGCACCGAATGCAGTGTCTCTCAATCAAACACAAGCGTTTAGTGACTTTGTGATTACGGTGCTAGTCCAAGGCAAGAAAAGTGACGAAATCAACGTTCACGGGCAACTGGCTAAATAAGTGCCTGTGATAACTTGTGATGCTTTCCAGCCTGATTTCCATCCATATTTTTGCCTGGAACATTCTAAATGCGCGGGTCGTCAGATTTTCGTAACTGGTGCGAGTTGCAACAATAAAAATTTCTCTAGCTAGTGTTGCGCGTCTTGGTCGTCTCGGTTCTTTGTTCGTCTATACCAAAATGTAATCGAGTGTGCGATGCAAAATTAAAATGAGATACCCAGAAACTCTTGCAGGTGCCCTGAAGTCGCCGACGCATATTTTGAGGAATGTATTTGGAAAAGTATTTGGAGGAGACCAAATACATTTGGTTGTATTTGTATCTTGTATTTAAATGCTTTTTTGGAAATGTAATTAGATTTGCAATTAAATACATTTTTGACGAAGTAATTTGTATTTGTATTTCGATACATATTTGCATGTATTTTGCCCATCCCTGGGTGAGATGTACGAGATAAGATTATTTAACCCTAGAAAATGTTGTCTATTGTGGTCTGCTTGAACAACACATGACACGTCAATACAAAATTAAATTTCTTCATCTTGCAAAAAGGTTGCCTATTGTGGACTATTTGCCCCCATGAGCGGGCTTCTTGCCGAGCACCGGTGCACTGGGGAGAAGCAAAACTTGCGGAAGCCAACGAGCTTGAGTAAACTCGTTGGCGGAAGCAAGCTCTGCTGGTGTTGCTTCTCCGCAGCGCACCGGCGCTCGATAAGAAGCGCGCTCAACGGCGCCGCGAGAACAAAAAGTATGAATCGCGCGAAAATCCCGTTTGAATTAGCGGCTTATAAATACATAAAAAAAGGTAGCGTGGCAAAAAAAAAAAATTTCAATTCCTTCGAATTAACCAGGGGTACGAAATATCAGAGTTTGAATTATTGCGAGCATGCTGTAGAAGGTTGGGCACATCATCTTGAACAAAGCACTTACTGGACTTCATGAAACAACGGCACAACATTTTCTTTTACCTCCAATACTCCATGGTTACTGTGTCTAACAATATTTTTGTTGACTGTACAAGTGAGCTGCCAACTGAATGCAATTCATAATGCCAAAGTTGCGTAGCTCCGAACGACCACTTCCAAGTATGAAAAACCGGCAACAGAACGACTGACACAAACCGATTGTCGAAAAAAACACCAACCAGTACGGCTGTCCCCCGCAATTTAAAGCAAACTTCCTCACACCTCGAGCGGTCCTTCTTTATGGTCTTACAAATGTCGCGAAAAAGAGCCTTAGAAGTTGCTCGATGCGAAGTGATGGATGGGATTCCGGTTGTTTAATCCTTCCTATTGACCAATCGCAATTGGAAAGAAAATGCTAGATTAATCTCGATCATACGAATAAAGTCAGCACACACAGAATGTGTTTCTGGAATTTTCTTTAAAGTCTGTGGTGGACAATTAAGATTTTACAGCGACAGCTGTCAGTGGGAGACACGAGAGCGAAATCCTGAGCAGAAGCGGAAATGACGTGAAAATCCTAAAAAAATGACCGCAGCTCCACGTGGTGATTGATGTTGATTGGGGCGAAGCTCTGGTGGTGCTTGTCTGCGTAGACGCCGAGCCGCAGCATGCCGAGCCTTTCGTTCGTTTTCATCCATGTCAGAAAGAGAATGTGTGGTATGGAACGTGGTTATATACGCATTTGAGCATTTGACCGCAGCACCCTCTCGTCTATAAACGTTGAGCCAATGCATGCAAAGTTTAATGCAATTATATACGCATTTGACCGCAGCGCCCTCTCCTGTATAGACATTGAGCGGCTACATGCAACGTTTCATCCATGACAGAAACCCCAGCTCTTGAGTTACTACCACATCTCAGAGCCCCCTACTCGTCCCGCAGTCGTGGCCGAGTGGTTAAGGCGATGGTCTACAAATCCATTGGGGATCTCCCCGCACAGGTTCGATCCTGTCGACTGCGCAAACATTTTTTTTTTTTTCATAATTTTTTTTTGTTTTACACAAGCATGTGAGCTCACGAGCACAATCACGAGCTCGAGCACCAGCAAGATCGATGTGAGCACGGACACTGGACGGACAAGGCTAGACCCTAAGGAGCTTCGCCCCTAAAAGCGTGCTCAAAAGGCGGCGCAGAAACGACGACGGCGCTGCAACGATGACAAATTATGCGGGTGCCACACTGCTGTTGTTGTGACACACAATACACAGTAGAGTAAATGCGCAAAATTTGTTTTCTTTGGTTATTGCATTTATTTTATTTAAAACTCCGTCTTCGTCTGTGACGGTGGGCACGTCTTGGATTTTTCGTTTCTTCCCATAAACTGTTAGAACGCGAATTTCAAACACGGTAATGCCGAATGCCAGTGTTTGGTGATCGGCGTTCATATTCCGACGGTTAGTAATGATCGGCGTAGTAGAGACAAAGTCAGTTAGCTTTGCACCTACACCACAATTGGCGCGATGGTAGGATGTCGAACTTACTATCCCAGGGTCACGTGTTCAATTCCCGTTGGGGCGCGTTTAGAATTTCACTCTTACTTCTCGATTTACCACTCATTTTGTACAGATGGCCCTTTGTGGAATGCATAAAAGCTGGTTCACACAGCACCGTTTGCTTACGTTGCGTTACATTGTGGATGCTTGCGTCTGCTTATGCCGCAAGTCACCAGGACATCCGTAATTCCTATCGAGCGTGTACCTACCAGTTCAAGGAGATAGCCTGGGACGCGACATTTGAGACACCGATGTTTCGATCACTAATACATATGGGAAGCAAACAATGCTGCGTGAATCAGCCATCACACATTTCGTTACAATTTCTGTCACACTTGCCTCGGGGTTCTCAGCTCCACAATGTAAGAGAACTGAGCCAAAACAAGAAATGCTCACGTGGCGCCATCCAGGGGTCTAGCGGGATGGGTGGGGCCGTCCTGCTGGGCACGGACGAGACGGACGACGGGGCAGCTGGGGGAGGCCGCCTGGGGACGGCTGCCCGCTGGACCACTGCCGCCAAAAGGAACGTCCCCGTCAACCCACTACAGCCCATCAGGACCCAAGACTCAAAATCCTCAAGCCGTTAGCCACAACTTCACCCGACAAGATTGCCCAAAGATAAGTTAGCCAAATTGTTCGTAAAAACGGAACTGTTTGTAACAGCGACGATACCTCAAGTTCAATTTATTCTTGGCGGTTCCTCACAGAGCTAAATAAATATGAGTCTAAGTATCCCTTTAAATTTGACCAACAATACCGGATTGAAGAGAGTTGCAGAACATTTAAAGAGCACAGCTGTGTCAATAAAAACCTTGTGAGGATGACCCGTCGTCGCAGCATATCGTCGCAGCAGAGTCCAACAACTTCTTGGTCAACAACTTCTGACATTTTATGCAAAAAGTCAGGGCGAAAACGAACTGGCAAAGATTGGACATAACACAACCCCGAGACTGCAGGTAAACAAAAGACGACACATGCACGAAAAGTCCAGTGACTTTTAGTGTGTCTGTCAGCCTTTGCTTACCTGCAACCTCGGGATTGCGTTATGTCTGGAGTTTGTTAAATGCTTACCTGGCTTGATCTCGTGAAAGCTTGCAACCTCCCTGAAACAGAACACCCGGCTTAAATGAACGCCCAAACTAAAGAGAAAAAAAAAAAAGAGGGAACAAACACCAAAAAATGACAACGCGACTCGAGACACTCACCTCTTGAAAGCGGCACTGTCGGAGCTGGACAGAGTGTTCGCCCTCCGAAGCGGTGGTGGTGCCGCCTCGGCTTCGCCGCCCTCTTCGCCGCGGTCGACGGAGGGCAGGCTCTTGAGCTCCCTGGCATCTTCTGCTTCTTCTGCGAGGCTACCCCAGGGTGGCAACGTCCTCCTCCGTACTTCCTCCGCCCGACAGCTCGGCGCCGAATTGAAGCGTCCCATCTTCCGCGGCGTGACGGGCTCTCCGGACGACCGCACCAACTCCTCGACAAAGGACGTCGGGCAGATCCCCAGGCGCCCGTCACGCGAGCGCGCCCGGTACCAGTCTGCGTTGACCTTCCCGAGGAGCACCACAACCTCTCCTGCCGAGAGAGGAAGGTCGCCCTCCGTGTCGCCGGCAAAGTCGAACAGCGCCCTGCCGAAGCAGGCGCCGCCGTGTGTGCTGCCGTCTTCCGTTGAGGCGTCGGGGGCGTTCGGACTCGCGCAATCGACGATGACGTCCACGTATTCCGTGGGGAAGAGACCGGCCTTCCCGCCAAGCTCGCCTTCCGTCCACTCGTCGTCGACGTGGCGAACGAGCGTGACAAGTTCACCCACTCCAAACGAAAGTTCGTTAGGGTACTGCGCCACGAACGGGAACTTTGTTCTCCCGTAGGGGGCGAGGCCGGAGTTGAGGTTGTGGTAGCCGCCGGCTACGAGTTCGGATGGCTCTGACAACGCGACTCGCGTCGTCGGCTCCGTGGATGGGTCAACCTCGAAGCTTCGCTGAGGTTTTGGCGGAGCTGGGACGGCACTGGCGGGCGAACTCTCGCTAGGAGCCGGCTCAGACGAATCAGCGGGGCAGACTGAGAGGTCAGGCGTCTCAATGTCCGAAACGAGGGCAACGAAGTTGCGTGGAAACTTTCCGGACAGTCCGTTACATTCCCCCCTGAAAGAAAACCGACCAGGTGCTTAAAAAAAGTCTATGTATGACATGACATCAGGTTTGTTTGTTTGTTTTCAGTTCACATCCAAAGAGTATTTTCGGGCTCCATATTTTACCCCTAGTGATACAAACAAGCACTTCCCATTGCACACATAGTTTTAATGACAGCCTCTTCATTCTAACAGAGAAAGGAAAAAGGCCAGCGATTGCTGGTTTGTGCAAACGCTGTCGCGCTATGTACTCTGTACACTCTGTATGAACTGACAGCTTAAGCACAGGGCAACTTTCAAGCATCTCATTACAAGTCCGCACCCAATCAGGTTGCGGCATTAGTCAACAAAAAGGAACCAATATCCGAAGAAGACATTTCTACCGTCAGAGACTACACAGCGCCCTTGAATTCGACAAAAATTAACTGGTTATGTCACTGTGCCTTGTACTCGATCGACGAAGGAACAGGACACATCCGCTCACTCGACGTAGACGGGATGGGGCGACTTAGTGTGGCACTAGCATTCGTTCCAGGTAAAAAGGTCCGCATCTTCACATCCAGGTAGGGGTCCAGAACTAGCTTCAATGGGCAAGGATCCAGATGAAATATTGTTTACTGAAGACTCACCAGAACCAGTCCTTGTCGAGGATCTGGGTGACATGCACAAGGTCTCCCCTGGCGAGGCTCATCTCGTCGTCCAGCTGGGCCGAGAGGTCCTGAAGCGCCCGTGCCCACAGGTCGGCCTTCCAGGGGCCCCGGGACGTCTTCGGGGCCTCCAGCTGCCAGGCGTGGGACAGCGGGAAGATGCCATCCCGGCCCCCCAGCCGGCCCCGCCACCAGTTGTCGTCCACCGCGCTCACGCCCACAATCAGGTCGCCTGGAGAACACCGAACACGTCCAAGAAGACCGGTCACTCTCTTACTTTCCAACGAGGCCCGTGCCAGTATGGAGCCTGGAACGCGTCTGCCACTGGTGTTTTGACCGCACCTCAAAAGTGGTCTCCCAATTTCCGCCTGGGGCCTCATTCTGATCAAGGTGAGAGCAAGAGCATTCTAGGCTGCTGATTGAATGTGATGCCACAGCTTCCGTGTAATATACCATTTAGGCACTTTTTATCCGCTCGCAAGGTCACACAACTATGTTGGTGAGAACGTCTCACCACCATACAAATAGCGAAAGAGGTCTAGCAATCTCTGATGCACATGTTCTTACTTTTCTTTTGATGCCTGGTCTACATTTTCTAGCAGCAGTTTTGATGGCAATATGCGTGGGAACATGCCATCAGGCAAATTGTCAAACAATCGCCTAGATTTTGATGTAAAAGCAAGGCAGGACTGCAATATCCCAACAGTAATAGGGAGAAAACCCCCGAGAAGTCGACACCACTACGCCGCCAAACAAATTGTGCGCCTGGGTTTGTAGCTTTGTTATCGCTCGCCGAAAAGTAAAAACAAAAATGTGCTACAAGCTGCTTTTACTCTCCCCTGCTTTCTCCTTTCAGGCCAAAGAATCGTGTGATGAATATACTGGACATTTCTGGAAATACATCTGTGGTTGGTCTGCGACTGTTTACAAGACACACTGCACACGCTGGCTGCCGGTCAACACTCGTAGCGGCTACAATGTGCGCAGCGCTTTTAAGGTGTGCACGTTTTGTACCGGCGTGTACCATCTTGATCAAACATCCGCAACAGCATCACCTCCCTGGACAATCCGTCGGGACTGGCCATTCTATGTTTCAAAACAATCAATGATTATCGGCTTTGTAAACTCGTTCTTGAAGCTGGTCTTAAAGACACTTGTTGATATCTTTAGTTGTATTCGGTTTTGTAAATACTACATTCTTCATTTACTCTTCCTGGCTCGTTGGAGACAATTCTTTCGTAACGTAATAATGTGTCTGGCCTTCTGATCTCCTTGTTCTCTGCCTCGTGCTCTGCCACGCGTCACAAAGATTGTCATATTTGGGGCTCTTACCGGGCTGGGCATGAAACAACCAAGCCCTTGTCATTTATTGGTGCTCGGGAGAGGATACGTCTTTTCGGCGGTGCACACTGTAACACAAGAGCTGTTTATTCTTCTGGCTGAAATTTGCATCGTACCCAGTTTACAACCTATAGGCCAAAAAGCTTATCGATCCCTGATGTGAATATGCAGCCAACACGCTCAAAGAATGAAGTGCCGTTCATACACTTGCAACCGAATAGGACCAAGAGAGACAAGACCGGTTTCTAAGCTTCTTGCGACAGCGAAGGAACGGATGTGCTGCTGCGGAGCAGGTCCTATGCCATCGCAAGAGGCTTCAAAATTGGTCTTGTCTCTCTTCGTCACACTCGGTTGCAAGCGCACAATCTCTTCACCGTCAGCATCTGCCGAAAATTCAAACGAGGACGTGTTTAACATTATTCGAATTCGGTTTGTCGTACCGGTCTCCTTCTCAGGGCTAACCATTTTGTGACCTCTATTTGCAAGCATTCATGATAGGTTCCCCAGACAGCCAAGGCCCTCAATTCGGACAGCCCTCCACGGAGAAGCGGACGGCCATAGGAAGCCGAACTGACCGCATCGGAAGCTGAGGTCGCCGTCAACGTCCGAGGAAAAATCGGCGGTGGCCGCGAAGAGCTGCTGCCCAGGCAGGACCGGAGGCAGCTTGACCTCGACCACGAAGGCGGTGGGGAACTTGCCCCGTGCGCCACGCACGCTGCCGAGCGTCCAGTGCTTGTCCACGGACTCCACCACCTGGAACAGGGTTTCCTCGACTCCGGTTTCCTCTCTGCCCAGAGGTCGGAGCTCAACATTTTTCATCGTTTTCGCTCTTACCAGGCACGCGTCGGGAAGTACTTTCCACGTCCAAGCGAGGAAATGAGGCAGGCACGACGGCGGAGAAGCGAGGTAGGCGGAAATGCACGCTCACCTGCACCAAGTCTCCGGTCTTGAGGGGCAACTCCCCTTCCAGCCCCGAATTGAAGTCGTAGAGCGCCTTTACGACGGTCCCCGGCTCCATGCTGACCCGGTGCGCTACGATGCTTCGGTCGGCGTCGAGGTTCCCATCGGAGCACAGGGGCCGATCCAGGCATCGGACGGCGCAGAGGCGACGATCAAATGCAGTCGCTTTCGCGGCAACATTTGCCGAGTGGGCATCAGCTGATTTGGCCTCTTTCGAACGGAGCTGCTGCGCTCAACGGCTGGAATCGTACCTCGTTAGCGGATCCTTGTAAAGTCCGCCATTGGCGTGAGGTAACCGCGATTCGTCCGCGGAAAATTCAATTTGAACTACGAACCTGGGAAATATCCCCGCAACCCCAAGTAAATACAAAGCTGCCGTAACAGGAACAGTCCTGTGGGTGCGTTCGATTACAGTCATTAGGCGACTTTCTTTCTTCATTCAGCAATGACGTCATGTCGAAGGCAAACGAATCCGAGTTACTCCGGCAGGTCGTGGTACGCAGGGAAGATTTTAGAACGCCAATGTGCCAATCCCTTACGCTGGAGAAAAATAAAGTAAATTTTAAAACACGGCCGAAGGCAAGTTTCACTGTTCACTCAAAGATTTAAAAAAACTTCTTAGGCGAATGCCGATGAACGAGCAGAAACCGTGTCTTCACCTCGCTGCTGGCAGCATGTGCAACGCTCCAGAAAGGTGACTTTTTTAACGTGCAAGATGGCCGCCCGATGGTCATCGTTTGTGTGTGATTGATAGCTATGTTGGTAGCAGTTTCTAGGTAATTTCTAGAAAGAAAATCGCGATATATTTTTAAAAAGATTTTATTTAGTCGCATTTTACTTTCTTTTTCGTACGCTCGGGCGTAGCTCGTGCAAACGGTTCGTGCTTTTGTTTACAAAACTACCCGGAGCGCCATCGCAAACAAGACAACAAGACAAGTACCAAAATGAAGACCGCTTTCAGCTGGAAGCGCAAAGCTGGCGACAAAATATCACCGTCAGTTTCGATCGCTTTCGAAAGTAATGCTGCGGACGAAAATGCCGAGCCGCCGGACGGAGTGGACTGGCTGAGCGGCTACAAGCGACGCCGAAACCTGCTGCTCGAGGACTGCGCCGAGAAGAGTCGGCGCCTCAAGCGAGAGGCCAGCACCCTGGCAGAGCTCGACAGGTCGGTCCGGTCCCTTTCCACTATTGACGCTTCGGTAGTGCCGCCACTAGTGCCAGCGTGACCGTGCAAAACATGCAGGAACTGGGAGGCACTGAAAAAGTTTGACGAAGCGATACAGCTGACTCCAGAGGACGTTGCCATCCACGAGATGAAGGCGCAGGTAAACCATCGCCGTTGAGACGACGCGCCAATCAAAAGCTGCGATCGAGACGACAGGGGGCTGACGAGGTTCACCCCCGTGTCTCAGGTGTTGATGCTGCTTCGAGAGGACTTCCAGGCGGTGCAGACTGCGGAGCAGGCAGTAAAGCTCGACCCGTCCTGGTGGGTCGGCCACCAGACGCTCGGCCGAGCACGGCTGGCGCTCGGGGAAATACGCATGGTAAGCTACGCTTCCTGCTGCGGGCGCGTCAGGCGCTTTTGGAGGCAAGGCCGCAGCCAATTGCGTATTCGGCGACTTGGTCATACGCTCGAGAAAGCAGTTGTGCCGTGCAGTGCGGCTACGCTGCCTGGAATGCGTCTGCGACTGGTATGTTTAGCGTCCTGTGCGGAACGCAGATTCGTCTACTTTTGCGGGGGTTGTGGTGACGTCAGGGCGACGCAGAGCTCTGATTGGCTCGAATTGAGGGATAGTGGAATGCGTCTGCGACTGATATGTTTAGCGTCCTGTGCGGAACGCAGATTCGTCTACTTCTTTTGCAGGGGTTGTGGTGAGACGTCAGAACGACGCAGAGCTCTGATTGGCTCTAATTGAAGGATAGTGGTTAGACCTCAAAGCAAGCTGCCTTCAGGTCTACCCACTATCCCTCCATCAGAGCCAATCAGAGCTCAATGTCGTTCCGACGTCAAAAGAAGCAGACGAACTTGCACTCCGCATTCCACGAGGTGCCGAAGAGGCAATGAATGACGTTGCAAACGCCGCAGACGCCGTCGCGATCCTAGAGGTTGGCGAAAAGCACGAGCAGACGTGAGTGTCGCTGTGGTCGTGGCGTCGCAACTTCTGGCTGCCGAAACTTCCGTGGACTGTCATACTGGTGGGCAACCTGCTGCAAAACGGACTAAAGCGCCGGATATCCCGACTCATCCAAGTACCGCCATCGTTTGATCGACCCACGGGCACTCCTATTGGATGCTGGCAGGCTGATGGCTCGTCCCACATCCAGACGCGCATGCTCCTGTTGGTCTGCTCTGGCTGCTGGTGATGCGCCGCCATTTGCGAGCACGCTCTTATTAATCCACCATAGACGCTGGCACAGCACCGCCGCACCAGACCAGATTGACGGCTCCGCTCCGCCATATTTTGGCTCGGGTGCGTCCCAGCATGCACCAGCTTAACGGTACTTGTTTATAAAATTCATCCAGTGCTTTAATACAGACGACTGCCACATCCGCCACAGTGGCTGCGACACCACCAGATTCGCGGCTGGCGACGGCTCGACACTTCTACGTCATCGTCGGGCGGAAATCGAGGGACCTTTTTGAATATGGTAAACGCGGAGGTTGGCGACGCGGACACCGTAGCAATGCCTTTATTTTATTAAATTGCCACGAGTCTGTTACCAGTTTCTCGTTGACCCAAATGCAGGCCCTGAGGAGCTTCTGCCGTGCAGTCCACCTCAACCCTGGCGACGAGGAGCTGTGGAGAGATGACCTCTTCTACACGCTCCGCCTCCTTGGAGAGAAGGAAAGGGCCGAACGGAGTGCGCGGGAGATCCCTATCCGTTTCGACGAGGATGGAAACGTCGTGCAGATGGGTGACCCGCAGACGGAGGAGAACCGGATTCTCGTACGGTGTCGTGAGCTGACCTGATGTGACGCCTATGCGGGGATGAGACACTGTTCCAATGGCCGGCGATGGCTGCCGACTGCCGTTTTCTGGACCTCCTGGTAGCAATGCAAAGACGTTGTGTATCGACCGTTGACCAAACCTTGTGCCGCCTCGGCGACACTTTAGGTAGAAGCAGAACGTGCCATGACAAACGGCGTCTCCAGCAACAGTTTCGGCGGCACGGCAGGCCCGAACTGGCTGGCAGCTGGGTGCCATGTAGCATTTTAGCGGACTGCATGTGGCACATTGCGACCTCTTTCTGAACCGTGTGGCATGCCGTTTGAGACAACACTATCTGGCGACAATATTGTGCATGATGAACATCGAGATTGAACGCTGCAATCTCGTTTTTCCTGCGGTGCTTTAAGAAAATATTTCAAGTTTCCCTTAAAGCGTCTACCTTTTTTGCGGTTTCCACGTCTCTTGGGGTTCGGGCAAGCCAGCGGGCACGGAGAGAGTAACTAAATATCAGCGCGTCATATTTTAAACGGACGACGCGGAAACCTCATCCACCGACGAGGGCGACCCGCGGTACCGAAAGCGCGCAAAATGTGACGTCTTAGGTCCTCGGCTTACTACTGGTCAGAGCCGCTAAAAGCTTCGTTTTAGTTGAAATACAAAATATAAGTGGCGTGAACCGCTTGAATTATTTACAAAAGTAGTTTTTGTTTACTACTTTAGACCAGAAAAGAAACAAATGCAGTTTATAAAGTACGGAAAGAAGAAGTGACCCGTCGACATACCCGCCACCAAGCGGTGGAAAAGGCGGCGCATACTAGAAAGGAGTAGTGGGATCAGGTGCTGACACGGAAAGGTCCCGGATGTACGCGGCGGCACTGCGGTCGTTTACGGACTGGGGGATCCGACCGGCTCCGAGCGTTCCGAAGGCCTTCGGCGAGTAGCTTTGTCATGCGGTTTGGCTGTTTCGCGGTATGGCAGCGCGAAGTTGCTCCCATTCTGAACTGATCTTTACCCCGTGTTTGCTGTCGTTTGTGGCCGATGAAGTGTCATGTAGAATTAGCGTTTATTCGCGCAGCAAATGCAAGGAGAGCCGCTCTGGCTGCCCGCTGTATACAGCCTATACAAAAGATGCTTTAGTGGCGCCCTCTCGTGCCGTCTACTAGGAGTGCGGCAGCCATGAGCGCTCGCATAGCTCACTACCCCTCCTCTAGTTCACGGCCACTCAAGCAACTAAGGACGTCACGAAGGAGGTTATTTTTTGCTTGTTTTTGTAATTTTAATTTGCCTACAACTTTTAAAATAAAGCGAATTTCGAGAAAAGAAAAGTTGCATTAGGTTACTACGTTCAGTGCGCTCAGGTTCAGTGCAAATTAAAAACCAGTAAAAAAGTGCTTGCAGGGCCCCTTTAAATCAAAATTGCTAAGCAAAAAAAAAAAATAAAAAATAAAAAAAAGGTTTGCTTGACGCAGAATGTGACATATACCTATACAGTGCAACCCACTTATAACGATAGTGAGAAAACCCTAAATTTCAATCATTATAACCGATTATCATTGTATCTGGACTAAAAACTGATAATTTCCAATCTAGAAACTGATCGTTATATGTATGTGGTATCGTTACAAGTGGATAGCACTGTGTAATTTCCAGAACTTTAGGAACTTGTATTTATTTATGTATGCATAAATGCCTTGCACGCGACGTCGTTGCACCGTGCTGGTGGTCGTTCCTACTTGTTTGTTTTTACTGAGAAGGTCAAATGCGGTGGTGCGAAATGTATGCTGCGGAACACATGTGCTCGCAGCAAGCCACCGGAATGGCAGTCCATGAGACGTGTGCACCTTGGGACATTTCAAGACTGGCCAAATCGCACTCGTTCGTGTAAGTAGCTAAATAATAGAAATTATTGGGACACACTCAATGTTAAACTTCTTTCTCTAGACGACCGCCTCATGTTCACTTTGTCACAGAGGCCCGAAGACGCCACTCGTGCCATGAATTGAGTGACCACCCCGTTTGTTTCTGCAACTTAAGGATTCTGCTGAGAATTCAACTCATGTTTGGTGCAAACGATCGTGCCCAACAATAAAACGGAAGAAAGAAAGTTGTCCTTATAGACTTCCGCGCTTGTGTGGAAAGGGGGCAATCTGCAGAAGCGGGTGTCCCAGGGTCGGTGGGTGTGTTCTGCAGGGCACCAAAGAACATCTTCCGACCGTTTGGCTAGGCAGTCTCATTTACAAATTGTTTTCCTTTTTAATGCGTCGACAAATCCGAGTAAACTATCCATACACCATTTGGGGGTGAACCACGTACCGCTTCGTCGTAAAAGGGGCCAGCCCGATAGAATGCGACATTTGCGAGAAATGCTAACTGGACCGCCAGTACGGTTACCTACACGGCGGTGCTCGCACAGTTTTGCTAAACCCTACAATGGGTGTTTACCCGCATACACCAGAATGATCCAGTGTGGGAATGAAATGGTCTATCATCTGACGACAGTAGCGGTTGGCGTTACGCGCAACGGCGATAGCAACAGCTGCACAGGACGGCACCGACTGATGTTGCGGTCAAGGTAACGTGACGCTGACAACTGCTGGTGGTGCTGACAGCACCGGTTTTCTCGCACTTCAGCAGAACTGGACGCTGTTGTGAGACGACTGCATCCACCACTGCGTGACTGTCGGCATCGAGCAACGACCGTTTGCGAGGACGTGCACATGAGTGAATGTCCGCGGTCGTCCTACTTGTTGGTGACCCTCCTCTTGTCCTGCATCTTGGCGGCCGCAGCCTTCTTCTTGAGCATCTGCAGCCGCTTTTCGGCCGACATGAGCGAAGACGAAGACGCCGGCTTTCCGTTGCCGCCTCCTGGCGACGGGACGCTTGGTGTCGTGGCCGGTGCGGCAGAGCCACCCCCGTTGTTGCCGTTGCCGGGGCGCAGCGGTGCGATTGGGGTCGGTGCGGCGGGGCCGGCCTTGACCGCAGCGCCGGCGAGGCTCGAGAGGCCAGCCAGGGGAGGCTTAAGGGGCTTGGGCTTGCTCAAGTTGGCTGCGAGCCCGGCCAGGCCGATGGGCTTGTTGGGGCCGCCCGCAGACGACAGGGCTGGCACCTGGACGTTGATAGAAAAATAACAGAAGGGGCGTGCCTGTAGGCTCTATGCGAGGATTTTCATGTTTTTTTTTTTAACCTAATAACAAGATGTAGACTTTACAAATGATGTTTTGCTGTTTCTTTGAGCATGTTAAGGCGTCACCAGCGAGATGGGCTCCTTGGCACCGCCAATGTCCGCGTTCCGAAGCGGCCAAATGCATGGACCCTTCGCTCTAGATTATTATATCAACTCTATCATCTCGACAAAAAAGGCTTCATACCCCAACTAAGGGTGTATGGACTGCTCTTCGTGCCAAGTGAGGAACTTCTTTGCGATTGGTTAAAACATGAAAATATTCTAAAATGTGGTTATACAAAGACGGCTCTACTACTCTACGGCACTAGTGCTGCCACAATAAGACGCCAAATGCCTCCAACATGGCGCCAAAGCGCTGATGGCATACGACAATGTTGGTTTCGATTTTGAGTCTAACCGGAAGTGACCTCATGTGCAAGAAGCCTTTGTACCAGACTACCACCGTACTGAGCAAGGTTTGAGATAATGACTCGTCAAACACATTTTGCATTAAAAAGTAGAAGGCTGCTGAAAAAACATTGGGTAGTACATACAATACCATGGCCACTTCTATGCAGCCAAATATCGGGAAAAAAAAAAACGCAAACAATTAAAGTTAGCTTGGCTCGACATGGCAGAAGAGAGGGAAATTGGTCTCACCTTCAGCTCGGAGCGCTTGAAGGGCTGCGAGGTGAGCGGGGGCGGGGTGTCGGCCTTGATGGGAGGGGTGAGCTCTCGCGGTACCCCAAATGCCACCTTGGAGGCCGGCTTGGGAGGCTTGATGGCCTGTCAATCATTCCGGGGGGAGGAGCCGTCGGGCAATGAACACATTAGGTCCGTGCTCCCGAGCGTGAGAGTTTGGCAGTCGAGCCAAGCACCACACTAGGTGCGAGGTAGGTGTGCCTCGGTAGGAAGAGGCAAAGAGGGACACCTGCCTATGAGGTACCAGTCAATTGGTGTTATTAAAAGCACTCGATTTATATATGCGTCCATCCATTTACCTACGGGCAGAGAGCACAATCATGATCATCCATTTTAACACTTTGACGGTTGAGTTTTTTTTCCAAAAGATGTTTCCCGGTGGTCAGGTTTTGTTTCCAGATCAATAGTATACAAAAATGGGTAAATGCCCAGAGTTTCGCTCAGTTATCTACCAGAAGCATAAACAGTGCTTGTTACCTGGTCAGGTTTAGAAGCATCAAATGGATATACTGAACGTGTCCCCTTCCATATGGTTTAGTTCTGGCGCATCCGCAACGTTCCGCCGGTTTCAGATTTCAAACCTGAAGTACCTTAAAGAGCTTTTCCATTGGATGGTAAACTCTCGTTCTATGAATTCAATTCTGAGAAGTGTTAAAAGTCTGAATTGTAAGAGCCGACGCTCCAATTGCAACTACCGCCAGAGCAGCCGACACGAAAAGCGACCATCGTGTGCAGAACGACTAATTTCAGAACTATAGAAAGCCACAGCAAAGGGGAACATCGGGAGAACAGCATAACATTCATAGTTTCTGAAAGACGTGGCATATAGCTACACTTCTTCGTTTAGGTGGGTACTTTGAAACGTGTAACAGCCGCCACAGCAAAGGGGAACATCGGGAGAACAGTATAACATATATAGTTTTTGAAGGACATCGCCAATAGCTACACTTCAGCGTTTAGGTGGGCACTTTGAAATGTGTAACAGCCGCCGCACATGTATGCGGTGACCGTCCAAGGGATGTATCAGTTACGCTCCCCTGGAGTCCCTCACGGCTGGTTTTCTACCGCGCCAGCAGGAGTTGCTCCAACGGGGCCCTACCCTAGGCTACAGAGAGGCAGGCCGGCCGAGGTATCTCAAACGCACCATTTTCTTCATGTTTTTGGTGCAGTGGGCGCAATACCAGACGAGCCGAGGGTCGTTGACGTCGTAGTCGGTCGCCGGCGGCCGATGGCATTCCTTCGGAAAAGCAGAAAAACGCCGCTCGTGAGTCTCTCCATTGGAAATTAGTGATTTGCCATTTTGAGCACATCCAAAATCCCACAGGCCTTAGGGGCTTTGTATGTATGAGTTTATGTATTGATTTATAAATTGACAAGCCTATCGAGTATGGCACAAATGCTGCGCATCACACCGATATCTGGTACTGCGAGGAAGGTATCGCGAATAATAATAATAAAGCTCGTTGGGCGAACTCGTTGGGACCAAGATGGGAAATCTCTGGCTGCATGGGCTGCAGCGGCTCACCTGGTGGTAGAGGCAGTGGCATTCTTGGCACTCAATCAGCTGGTTCTTGGCAGTTACATCCAGTTGACTGTAACGTGAAACACCCAGCATCACTACCGCTACAGAGTACATTGCAGTTAAAAATTTTTCTCATAAATGGGGTTATTAAAACTTATTTAAAAAAAAAAGAAAAAAAAAGTATGCACAGAAGCCTACAGGAAGTGTGAGGCACAATTAGGAAAGGCGATTCCATCCAAATGTTCTATTATGGTCGAGAGATTGCAAGAAAACAGCTGGCCATTTGTGAGTGGTACTGTATTCCCTACGTGGCAGCAGAAGCTCTTTTTGAGCGCAGCTCTTAGGAGCCCGTTTCCGCTCGTAGGGAGGAGTAGCAGGCAGAATGAGGAGGGAGGAAGGGTATACCTTCCCCTCAGTACCCTTCCCTCCTCCTCCTCAAAAGCTGCTCTCTAGTTCGGCGTTACAAAGAGTTGTAAGCGACTTTCATTTTTTAGAGCGCAGCTCTTAGGGGCCCGTTCCCGGCTTGAGCGGCGTCGCCGTCGGCGTCGGCGTAACCGCAACCCTCGTAACCCTCGTGAGGGTTACGAGGGTTACGAGGGTTAATCTCATGAGGGTTACCCTCACGAGGATCACGAGGGCCACGAGGGTTACTTACCCTCGTAACCCTCACGAGGGTTACGAGGGTTAGTTACCCTCAAAAGGGTTACCTTCACGAGGGTTACCCTCACGAGGGTTACTTACCCTTGTAACCCTCACGAGGGTTACGAGGGTTAGTAACCCTCACGAGGGTTACCCTCGTGAAGGTAACCCTTTTGAGGGTTACGAGGGTTAGTAACCCTCGTGAGGGTAACCTTCACGAGGGTTACCCTCACGAGGGTCACGAGGGTTATGAGAGTTACCCTCACGAGGGTTATGAGAGTTACCCTTACGAGGGTCACGAGAGTTACCCTCACGAGGGTCACGAGAGTTGCCCTCACACGGGTTACTAGGGTTACCCTCACGAGGGTCACAATGGTTACCCAGGTCGTGACCCCCCCTGGGGTCACGTGACCTGGGGATACCCCCCGAGGTCACTTGACCCCCCGTTGACGTCATAGGCACTGATGACGTCGTCAGTGACGTCACCGGCATCCGCATCGTCATCGTCATCATCACTGACGACGTCATTAGTGACGTCACTGATGACGTCACCGGCATCCGCATCGTCATCATCATCACTGATGGCATCATCAGTGACGCTACTGATGACGCCATCGGTATCGTCACGTGGCCCCAGGTCACGTGACCCCCCGACGTCACGTGACGCCCCAAGGTCACGTGACTCCCACAAGGTCACGTGACCCCCCGCCCCCCGAGGTCACTTGACCCACCTTCCAGTACCCTTCCCTCCTCCTCCTCAAGAGCTGCGCTCTAATTCGGCGTTACAGGGAGTTGTAAACGGCTTTCATTTTTTTTTTCCATCCAATATTGCAATATCGCAAGGCCGGGCTGTAAAGGCCTCTTGGCACCTTGGACTACGACCATTGTGATCTCTCGTAACCACACACTGGCGCCGTCTATCGGGTGGAACACTCCCAACTAGTGTAGGCTTTGCAGTATCTATGCACTATCAATGAGAGACGATCCCTTGTGTCAGATTTATCTGGAGCCCCAAAAGACATAAGACGGTCACAAGTGTTCCGGGGCCAGCCGATCACCAGAGTGCAGGCAAAAGGTCGGCTGCCAACGTCTGAACCAGCACCGAGACTCACTTGCACATGACGCACACCTGTCCCATGTCGACTGCCAGGTCCTCGCCGTCGCTGCTTGTGGTTGGCGAGGAACAAGTCGTGGCGCGACTGAGCGGAGACGACGACCGGGAGAGCTGCGGCTGCTGCGGCGACTCCGTGCGTGCCCGCTTGGCGTCCGGCATGCCCGAAGCCTTATGCGGTGCAAAACCACCCAAATAAATTTGTTTTATTTTACGAGCTTTCTTTCGGATTTACTCGTAAAAGTCTTTTAGCAATTATCTCTGTCCTTACGCAAGCAGAAAGAATAAATGCGCTTCCAGAAAAAAAAAGTGGGCCAAATTTTAAAAAATTAAGGCTGCCATCCTTTTTTTATTTTAGTGCAGGCTGAAGCACATTGGTAAGCTGCCACTTGTTCTCAAGTGGCGATAAGTGGCACAGGCAAAGTACAGGCTAACAAGTGACCGTTCTGCAGCGGCACTGAATTGCACGCGTGCCATCTACAGAACCGGCTAAGTTACTGTTGGAAAAAGTGCCGGACTAGAACTTAAGAGCATTTAGCTTCGGATCAACATTCTTGCCGCGTCGACTTGCGCCGCGGGGACCGTGGGTATCAGAAAGAGACCAAATTCCTCGCTCCTCACTTTAATTTAAAAAATCAAAGCATCGCTGTTAATTCGAAGGAAAGACTCGCGGAAGAAGCTTCACCTTGGGCAAATGCTCGTTGCCTCCCGTCATGATTTCGCTGTACGTCGAAGCGTCTTTCACCCAGAGGTAAAAAGATTGCGCCCAGGACAGAGCTTCCGGAGATTTTATGTCGGAACAAACTATAACCCCTCGACTAAAGGGAGCGGCAAGCACGGCGCACTCACCTCGCGCAAAGGCGAGTCGCTGGCCTTGACGGTGGGCGGTGGGGGTGCCACGGGAGGCGGCCTGCGCTCCAGCGGAGGTGGCTCCTTCTTGATGCGGCCCTCCTCCGGAAGGGGGCGGGGCACGACAAGAGTGGGCGGAGTCTCGCCGACCACCATCTCCTGCTTGGGGGACGGCCGCCGGCTCAGCGACGGACTCTTCTTCAGATCGCTCTCCTGCCAAAGTGAAGCGCATTTTATCATTCTCCCGGAAAAGTTTGCCGCATCCTTCGGACAGCCAGAGGCTTTGCACGACTTTCCCTTTCCTTCGCCACTTCGAGAGAGAGTGAATAAATGGTGTTAAGGAGCCCTCCGCCAACGTTTATCGTAAACCAGCATGACGCGTCTTCCAGGAAAGCGCTTCCTTGACTCGGCAAACCCGTCCCCGTCGAGTTTGGAAAAGATCTGACCGGCGTGCACCAAAGATCTAAGCGTCAAGCGCCACGAAAAGTTGCGAGACCGGCGAAATCGGTTAGCCTTGCTTTTGAGCAGCTTTCCACAAATGGCGTCACACTTGCCACAGAGGACTTTTTGGATCCATGTGCCACACTCTTCGCTCGCTCCGCCGAGGTGGGTTCCGCGGTAATTAGGCGAGGTGGTTACTATTTAACCGTTTCTTACGGTACAGCGGGAAGAAGAGGCATAGAATTCTTCTCTGTCACCCGGTTTTAATATTTCGTCTCGCTAGGGAAACGTCCACCCACTTGGTCTCCACCCGAGGTCGATAAACGGGGTTGCTAACTTTCCTTTTAACAAGCACACTTTAAAATAAGTGCCGAAGCAACACTGCAAACTAAATTTCAGTGCATATTCTCGCAGGAATAAATGGACCTACAGCCGTGGTCCCCCTGGCTCAGACAGCGCTTGGAGGACGGTGTTTCCCCGACACCTCCCGGACAACGAGGCCACGGTACTGGGGTCTCTATGTCACGAACCACAGGGACATACATAGAGAGAGTTCGGCCATTGATTGGGAAGCATAGGAGGCAAATGAGGAGGTGCCACTGGCCGAAAGCGAACTGGGCGCATTCCGGGGTGTCTTCACAAATTCGAAAGTGGCCAACCAGAAGCCGGAAATAATACCCTGGCAGTGGTTGCAAGAAACGAAATTAATAAATGCATCAGAGTAACTCTTGTTGACTGAAAATATGGTGCACGTGATGTTTCAGTCACGATCAACCAAAATCATGGTGGAAGAGCGCGACTAGCGGAACGATCGACATAAGCCGTACGCCAGGTGCCGAAGGCCAGGAATTTTCCGTTCGAGCAAAACAGATTTCGAGGAGCACATTCATTTCTCACACCTTTTTGTACGATCATAATAGAAACATCACGTGCAACATATTTACAACCACGAAGAGTTACTACATTTAACCCTTACGCTCTTATTAAAACTGTTTTTCGCTACCACCGCCAGGGGATTCTTTTCAGCTCCTGGCTGGCCAAGAGATCATGCCAAGCCCTCTATCTGCGTCTGGTGCACGCCCTAGCTCTGCCCGCTCGTCCCAGTGACCAAACCTTCTTTGCACGGCTCCCACGTACAACACGGGGGTGCAGTGTCAGTGTTAGGCTGAGACCCGTGCTTAATGGGTAAAAACAGCAACACCAATGCAGCGCTTGCGTCCAATCAGTCGCTGAGGTAGAAAGCACTTTGGTCACCAGGAAGGTTTCCCTCACCAGCTTGATGGTGGTGAGGAGGCTGCGGGTGTCCCTGCCCGTGGCAGAGCCTGTCTGCTGCCTCTGGTTCAGCGTGTCTTCCAGCAGCTGTCGCAGCTGCTCCGACGAGTCCCTCGCCTTGGAGTGCAGCAGGCGCAGGGCCTTCAGAAACAGCGGGTCCAGCTCAAACTGAGCCATCGGGTCTGGCAACACGCCCGTGGACCCTGCATGCAGAGGGCAAGGAGATTGGTTCAGTAGGGCAAGGGGAGGAATGGGCGCTCTTGGTTTTCGAGTTAGGCGGCATCAGAGCTGTATATTGAGAGAGTTAGGCCAGTGGGTGTGGCAACAAAGGCACTGGAGAGGAGAAAAGTGGAGGAGAGAGGGAGGAGACCACGAAGGACCGAGAGGAAGGAGGGAACAAAGAGGAGACGACTGCCATTTTGACGCAACGTGCTTTCCGTGCACAGCACTCTTGAAGCTACGTGTCACCTGCTACAGGCTGACCTCTGTTTCACCTGAATAGAGTTTTGAGGTCAGACGTCGAGAAAACTTCATTCGTTAGCTTTTTAACCCACGGAGGAATAACATTATCTCATTTTCTCGCCAGAGCCAGCAATATAAAAGGAAATGACCGAAATTTAGAAGCCGATCCCATGCATTTCATTGGGCGAATGAATGAAAACGGCGGCCCTCCCCGCTCAGCTGAGAGCAGCCGGGAGTTCACGCACATCCGCTCACACCTCTCACTCTGCGCCGCAGGCCGATTGGCTCACTCGGGAGGGGGGCGTTACTGTGGCGAGATCATAAACTGGCCAAACTCTTCCAATATACGGCTCAGGGTAGTGCGATCTAACCCCCATTATAAAGGGTATGACCGTTAATGTCCACCAATCGATTTGTTTATGTGCCCAACGGCCGCCGTCTCGTGTACAGCCTTGTGCAGGGTCTGTTGTACTAAATAGCCTGGTCTACGTTACAATGCGACGGAGTGAGCATGACAAAGCAGCTAGAGAGTTATACGCAGCATCCGTCACCATATTGCGGACTAAAGCGCCAGAAAACTCACCAATAGGTACAGAGACGTACACACCGAGCGCTCGGTGTGTACATCTCTCTTCTAGTAGTCTGTTGGTACATTTGGTGCTGTAAAGGTCGCAGTACGCAGTTGCAACTAGCCTAGATACACAGACTTCTACATATGCGACTGAATCTTTTCAATATTTTACGACCAACGAAATTTTCCAAGATGAGGTTGCTCCAGAACTTAGATCAATCAAAGGATAAAAAGTTCAAATGAGGCACACACAAGCTGCAAACTCCAACAGCTAAAAAATGTGGTTTTTTTTTCATTTTAGGATTTATTTCTTTGACCTGAAAAGAGTGTCAAAGATGCCTCAGAAAAAAATGCAACTTCAATCAAATGACTCGAGGATCTTATGCGAGTAATCAAGATCGTAGATATTTTGTGCCACAGATGGGACACGAAACGAGAGTCCGGACCATGTCAATCTCGTGGCTATTCTAGGCATTTATTCTCAGTTTTTTCCAACCGCAACTAAGACACCCATCTACGCAACAAAGAGACTGGGAAGCTTAGCAATTGACACTCTGTTCTCTGCTTATGATTTCCTTCTCGTGTTATGCTACAGACTGCATTCGTTGCGTGCATGACAGAGTGCACTTGCCACCAAGCCAAGGGCTGTCGCGGCACTCACTTCACACCTAATCTGTCGTGCTCAGAAAGGCCAAGTTAAAATAATCAGGTTTGTAACCTTGAATGTCATTTAGGAATACAACAGTTCCCCTGCTCATATTAGGAGGTATCTTCCCACCAACAGCCAAGAAATCGACCTCCAACAAACGGCAGGTCGGTGGGCAGCACCACCCTGGACGAAACACAAACCACTTTGGCCCTGGGGGCAAGTGGCATGGCTGCCACCCGGATGCAAAAGAATGACGTCGCGAGCTTTCCATGGAAATGCCCGCTTTCCCTCACTACCCACAAGCTTTCATTCTAGGGGAAGGTGGCTGTGCTCGAAATTAATCTAAAGACGAAGTGGTAGCTTGGAACAATTCAGCGCATTGCGAGGGGCAAATTGCACAGTCACTCGTAGTGACAGCCATTGTTTCGTCACTTTCCTTCAGAGTGGGGTCCAGCCTCCTTCCATTTGCCTCGTCCAAGGGCCAAAAGGAACTTGACACGAGCGTGTAAGTACAATGACCAGGAACGCCTCGCTGCCCAAAAGCAAGCTCAATCTTTGCAAAGAGACTCGACTCGCAATGATCCACCGAAGGTGCTGGCTGCTCTGACACTATTGCAGATGAGCCCGTTACAGGGGCATAAATGTCGGTGCTCCCAAAAAAACAGGAAAACTTTGGTTCAATGTGTGGAAGCTGTTTCCGGGAGCAGAACTTTAACTAAGCAAGGCCCACAACATAAAAAAGATGCAGGAGCAGACGACAAGGGACGCAACTTTCTTTGTCATCCAGTTGGTGAAGTGTTGTCAAAACCGAATCTGATTGTGAATACTTAGTATGAAAATGTAAAAAGAGAGATTGGGAGTAACCACCTCACACTAGGACCAAAGTGGCCATCTTCGTGACCGCTGCGCAGTTTAACGTGACTGGCCACTATTTGTTGACCACAATTAGACGACCGAAGACGAGAACTGCTGAACTTGTGGCCCACCTTGGATGCTGCCCACAAACCCTTGGCAAATGCTGTCGCAACAGCCCTCAACTGTTACAAAGCTGAGCTTACAGCTGTGCTGAACTAATCCAAGCGCGACTGCTGGTGAGAAATCGAAGACTATCCAATCGGAGGGCATAACACAGGACTGCCGACGTGCGACTCCCAACACGAGTCAGAACCCCGAAACGACAAGTAGCGCTAGGCCCTTTAGTGGGCACGATGAACTCTGCGTCAACCACATTCTCGGGTCTTACCATCTTGCAGTGGTGGTTCAAGGTTTTCGATGAGCTGTGAATGATGCAAACAAGAGCACAGCAAACAACAATATATCAGGTCTAGTTTTCTCTTCTTTGTGCAAGCACTAACTCCTCTGCGCTACAAGTTAAATGTGGTTTGGCACCAGGGAACTTGTTTCCTGAAACAAAGGTAAATAATAGGCACTACGGAAAGGATGTCAAAACGGAGACTCAACAATGCCAATGCGATCAATCGTTTAAGGATGTTATTAGAGTCATGCGGCGCGGTCAAAGTGGTTTGCAAATCTCATCAACACTGTTCAATAGAAAGTAGCGCGCAAAAAAAAAAAGAATGAGAAGATATGACTTTTGGGAAAGGTTAGAAAAGTCAAGGGAAGATGAACAAGAGAAATCCGTGGACTGGCCCTGTCAGAGCCCGATCACGGCCGTAGTTTCCGAATTTCGGGAATTTTTTCACTTACGTGGCGGGTTTGAAATAAAAGGTTTGTGAGTTCTTCGTTTGTTTATTGCGAGCCTGGCGTGTAAAAGCGTAGTAAATTATTTTTCTCGTGAAGTGAATGAAGCTAAGCAGGCGGAACTGAAGAATCGCACAGGCGAGGCGGCCGATCGATGATGATGATGATGGTTGCTAAAGGAACTCGAATGCGCTGCTTTCAATTGCTTTAAATGTAAAATAAGTATAATATATTTTTATTTATATGTGTGAAGTTTAAAAGGCAATAAAACCTGTAGATTCAGAAATAAAGGTTACACTGTACGTAGCGCACGCTGACATAACAGCGGCCATAAAGGTGGATGCAGTTCCCGCGATATCTCGCTGTTCCGCGATCTTACGTGATAGTTGGTCAACGACAGTCGCCAGCCCATCGGATCGGAGCTCCCGGATTTTTTCTCATGACTCGAAAATGACTGTGGATTTCTGTGACTACTTCTGGGTTCGTAAGCTAGCTTTGCTGGCCGTTTATTCTACCTGCTTGTCGACGACTTGGCGCTTGCGTTTAAACCTTGGTGGGCGCCTGATTTCCGACGAAAGCTCCGATTGGCCCTCACATGAGATCGAATCTTACGCCTAATAAATCTCCAGCACGATCGCGAAAGAAATTCGGTGACAGCGACTTCGCAAATAACCTTCTTCGAGATGGGACGCGTCTTGGAACAACTGAATGTGCAACGAGTTGCAGAAAAAAAAAAGTGATATCGCGTCTTGTGCCGCTTACGCGTGTAGTGGCATTAATGCAAAAAGAGAAAATCATAAAAAAGCGGTCAAACGCGATTACTCTACGCGCTTCTGATCGTGTCACGGGGAAGAAGAAAACAAAAAAAGAATGAAAGTACAACTCTCTTCCGTCATCTTTACCACCGACCCTGTTTAGACGTCAGAAAAAAAAGAAAGAAAAAAACGTTCGTTTCTTCCGTTCGCAAATCGGTGACAATTGACCCCAACTGTCGGCGGAAAACGATTTTACGTTGCCTGGAAATTTCAATCTTCGCTTTCCCCTTTTTCTCTCACTCTTTCGCGCTATTAGCCGAGTGAATTTGGCTGCACAGATGCGAGCTTTCGAAGCCGAGTGATCCGTGTTCCAAATACTCTGTCGGTCCTGTCAACTCGGCGGAATGTATCACTGCGGCTGATGAGGCCCAGTGAGTCGCAGCGGCCGTGACTTTTCCGAGACCGCGATCGAAGTACGGCGTTGCCGCTTCCCTTATCGGCGGCCTATTCTGGGCCGTGATCGGGGATAGAACACCGCCTTCCTTTTGTCGTATACGTAATCGTGCCGATGCTGTCGACGTGCGCTTCGATAGGGCTGGCTGCAACACCGCGCGCTGTTTGACAGGAAAGCGCCCGGCTCGCCGTCGTATCACTGGCTTGGTTGCTGGTTGCACCAGCGCTGCTCCGATAACGCGGCAGTGTGCCAGCTCTGAATGAGAACGGCGAAATACGACGACCGACTGTGAAGGTGTTCTGTCCTCCTGCCGACACTTCGGTCCTCGGATTCCCTTCATCAGATGGCATCTAACTTTGCACCTAACCAAAGATACATATACTATATAGATATATTTGATATGGCGCACTTCGGTCAGCGCATCCGTGCTAGCTCTTGGTGCACAGCGCATTGAACTGGTATAGAATGTTCCCTACCTGGCTCTTTTTCATAGCAAATTTATAGCGGTGTGAACGTTATGTAGAGGGATTATAAATAATGAAGAGTTTGGTAGCTTGTTTGTGGAGCACTGCAAGCAGCAATGAAAGCTGCATGCAGGACAGCTGGTGGCAGGTTCAAATTCCGGCCCGAGTGGCTGCAATTTGACGGAGGCTCATCATCGTGATGTATTTGGCCGTGCAACCGAGGTCTGGACTGTAGTTCAAGTGGAAAGTGCAGTTTTGAACATGATGGGGCTGACTTTGTTACATGGTACGTTTTGTCTGACTGTCAATGCAGCATCTTAATAATAAGGGAGAATGAATGAAGTGCACTCAGATGGGATAAGAAGGCTGTGCAGTTCTGATTCGTGAGACACGCTAGAGAGTACAGTTGTGGTTTGAAGCCGACCTAGGGCTGCAACCTTGGACTACGTCTCGATAAGTGTAGCCCCGTCAGGGCCGTCAGTACCCTTTTTTTTCTCGTATTCTGCTTAGAAACCCACCACAAGTCCTGTATTTGCCAGCTCCGAGATAATGGTCGCAATGCAAATGACATCCGATTATAACTAGGAGATCATGTCAACTCAATGTCCACAGTCCCTTTTGTTTTTAAGTTTTTTGTGGCCTGCTTGCCAAGAAGGCATCATTGGACCAGACAGACCTTTTGCGGAGATAAGCGAGAAAAAATAATAATAACCATGGCTTCCTTCGGTGCTCACTATTGCTAAAATGTCAGCAATAGAGATTTTGGAAACAAATTCTGTCCCAAGTACATGGAGGAGTGACAAAGGGGCTCAAAAACCATGCCAGCTTAATTCAAAAGTATGTAGGCTTGAGACATTCTTAGTTTGTTTCAACCATGGGTGTATAAACATCAAAATCATTGTATAAAAGCCGCATAGAACTGAGGCAAAATACCGAAGAAGGTGTGTCCAGCCAAAGCTCAGAAATCACAGTGGAGATCATTGTAGCTAGGGTTCCATGTTTGCGGATAAATCCGAAAAACGCCCGCTGGTAAATTTTGGTCATTTCGGATTTATCCGATAAACTCAGAATTTTGATGTGCCAATGCCCCCCCCCAGATAAACTAAATAAAGATGGTATTTTACAATTAAGTTTGACCAGCGCATAGGGTCAATGGTCCTGGGAAAATGCCACCATGGTTATCTTTCAAATCCCTGATCATTGACAAAAGGGGTCTTTCCACTTACCTTATCAAGGTTCAGGACGACATGCCATTGCACTTTCAGGTTACGACAAAAGCCTCTATATTGGTTTTCAGCTAGGGCCATACTGTTTGTGTTTTAAGAGGAGGGAGAGGTTGCGTTTTTGTAACAGTGAAAGCTATGGACCATAGAGGTTGCATAAAATTGGAAGAGGGGCAGTTGAAACTTCCCCATTACATCCTTTACCACTCCACCTCGCGTAGCCACAGGGTGGTATGGATAGCATGGGATAGATACGTGCTTCCCAGTGACTACCTCCAAGAGTTTATTTTTAAGGTATCGACGTTTATCGAAGCCACAGATGTGTGCAACTTTTGCCGTGGGTCGAATTAGTATTGCCAGTGGCAGTGGCACCAACACCAAATCCAGCTGAAGAAATATTAATTGATATAAGCATGTTTTACTTTTCTTTAGCATACGTTTAGCCTATGCAACTTATTGCACACGTTTACACCCGGATATTGTTTATTTTGGCGCACTATGGCCTATGTTGCTGCTGCGCCAGAAAACTCCAAATTCATTCATTGTTTATTTTATTTTTCATAGGAAACACTGCGAAATTAAGCTCCGAATTTCTGAGATTTTGGAATCAAACAAAAATAAACTCAGAATTTTCGGGGAAAAAAAAAATTTAGAAAAACACCTTCGAATTTGACGAAAAATAAACTCCGAAAATATGAGATCCTAATTATAGCCAACTACGATCTAAGCTTCTATTAATTTTTAGAAAAAAATAGTTTTCAGGCACTATGAACAGAGAATTGATAAGCTGCCAGTTGTATCCAGTTCAAACGAAGTACTTCCCTCGCGTAAGCAGGACAGAAGCTCTCGACGTTTTCAACCTCCGCTGTTTATTAAAAAAACTACCCTTTGTGAATCGAGCATTGCAACTATCCTACTCATGTCATCCGGCTGCTTGTGCACATTTAGGGTAGTGTAAACTAAATGGTCATGTGCAGGAAAGACGAGAAAAACTGATCGTCCGTCATCTACGAAGCTCGAAATGTTTTCGAACAGCGATTTACTGTTTCACAGACATGAAAAAAGAAGTGGAACAAAATGCTTTTTAGTTTTTCTACGACCTCTCGTTTGCGTCTCGCCTCTCTTTCAAGCTAGACGTTGGAATGGAAAGAAGGGGGCGGAAGCTCACGAAAGCCAGCTGCACATCTGCTGTTTGTCTTTCCTCCTCTTGTGTCACAACCTTCCTCGTGGTCATCGAACGAACAGACCAAATAAACAACTTTTGTTTTCCTATCGGTCAAAATTGGGAAGGAACGCTAATGTTTTAATCTATGCGGCTGTTTGTCTATATAAATTCTATCCACGGAGCATACAACTAATGAAACTGTGATTTGACTCGGAGAAGTGCAGTTGTTGTCTTCCCTTTGGTCGAGCGTTTACGTGAGAATGTGATGCTTCCAAATTGGTTCGCTACAATGGAGAATGTTGAAACCCCTAAGCTGACTTGTACTCCTCCCGATGCACATCTTACAGATTAAAGGAGCTGTGCAACAATTTCAGTGCTTTGCTTAAATTTTTTATTTTAAAAATTGACAAAGATTGAGGTTTTTGGCTTCTCTTAACTCCTTCACCATCTTCCAAGTCACATGTCTTGTGATTTGAATGGGGGACGCATGGGGTTCTGGTGAAGCTCTCTCTCTAGAGCCATCAGTGAGCAGCGAGAACTTACCCGCTCGCGACCACGTGATCACGTGCTTGCGCAGCGCGATCAACATGGCGAAATAAGGGAAGTCTCGTCTGGGTCCGGCCATCCCCCTCCGGCTCTGCCCCCGTCCCCCTCTGGCTTCTGGTGGCTGTTTGCGGAAGCAGATAGAGCTGACGGTTTTGTTGGCTTCAGATAGGTGGCACCACGAAAACTTTGACTAACAAAAGTTTTGTCGATAATATTAGGTTTTGAGACATTTATATTTATGTTGGAACGGCAAGATTTATGGAAAAATTACCTTTTATTGAGGAGGTATTTGCACAACTTCCTATCTTTTTACAAGTCCCCTATTGACGTCACGTCGCGTGGTTCTCATGGCCGCCGCTCGCGGCTGCAGGTCGAGAAATATTCTAATTTTTGCCTCGTGACTACGCGGTGGAATAGCAGCATTTTGAAGGAAGGAGATGTGTTTTCTGTCTTTTGTGACAAAATAAACAATATTAAAAGTGGTAGATGCAAATTTTTTTAATGTTAAAATCGTTGCACAGTTGCTTTTTAAGAACTGTCTTCTACCGGGCTTTGGTTGTGTGTGCGTTGCATGCAGAAAGCTGAAAGTCAAGCATCTACTGGTTTCTTAACCCGCCACCAACTGTAAGAGATCCTAAGTAACGACCACTAGCATCAGCCTCTGCACTTTGTTTGCCTTGGGAGCCAGTGAGTTGACTGACAGGCTGAAAGAATTTGGCTACAAAGTCCAGAGTAGCGAAGGGTTGTGGAGCAGTCAACGAGTCGGTGCCCACGCGTGTAGCTCCCTCGGTGGTGCCGCAGAACCCACGTGACGCGGGCATCGGCGCGAGTGGGGTCTTTTTCCAAGTTGCGTTTCTTCTCTGGCTTTTGCAGGGCGACAAGAACAATGGCTTCGACGTGCTGTACCACAACATGAAATATGGCTACGTCGCGGCCAAGGAGCTGGCGGAATTTTTCCGCGAGAGGTGAGGACTCCGGTTCTGTCCGTCTCAGAGCAGGCTGTCTCTTTCGTGTTTTTGTGTTTGCTTTCCTATGAATAGTTATATTCTTGAGATGTACCAACAATTTCAGCATTAAGTTTCGTATGGCTTGGGCAGGAGCACATAGCCTTCGAGTCTAGCTGAGGCTCGGCAATAAAAGCGTCGAGACACGCAGTTGTCCTAGTTACTCTAAAAACTCTCTACATGCCAATTCTTTTGAAGTGAAGAATTTGCTGTGCTTAGATGCTGGTAGGGATCATAGATCTAATAATTAATGTTGCTGGTGTGCTTAGACGACCGGAAGACGGTGAGCCTTAATAGGTGTCGGGAGTCTCTGCTGTAGACGAGAAATTTAGCCAGTGCACTACGGCTGTTAGCCTGGTTGTTTTCATGTGCACAGTAGTGATGCACAAACGGCATGATGCACATTGAAGGTTAGCGGTCGTAGTTAGTGCACAGGTGAAATTGTTTGTCCAAAGACACAAAGATGTTCCTTGGGGCAGGCTGGACCGCGGGTCTGTCCCAGGGACCGTCTATACAGATGTAGCACACAGAGGGTGCGTGCCATTGAATGCAGACGCATAATTTTGTCGAAGCGTGCAGGGCCGTTTGTCGGTCTGGCTGGCAAGGTGCCTGGAAAGGGAAGCGACTGGATTTGAGCTTTCGTGTTTGCTTTCTGCACGCGTGCGCTGGGGGGTGAACGAACAATGGTGACAGCGGGGCCTCGTGTCGGAGCCTGCTGGGCACTTCCTGCCCTCCCCCCGCGGGGGCCATTGTCTCCGGGAGGTGTCGTCTGCTCTCAAAGGGTGGGTCGAGGACAAAGCCCCAACCCGGCCATTGTCGGGCTAATTACGGAAGCATCGCGTTTTTGGGGGCGTCAGGTAGTAGAAGGGACACTGAAAAATCATTTCAGGGTTGTGAACAATTGTTCGAAACAGTACACCTAGTGAAAGCTTTCTGCGATGCATATTTTAGTTGTAGTCTCCTGGTTTATGTACTGCCCTCCTGGACTCACTATATAATATAATAGTTAACCCCTTGCATACTAATTTTTTTCTTAAAGAGAACATACAGCAACATTTTTTTTTTAAACGGGCAATTTGCTTCAAAATGCAAATAAAATATGTCCTTAAAGTCCAGGTGTGGTATCTTGCCCCAAATCAGGAGTTCTGGTCCGAGTTCCACTGACGTGCAGATGCCTAAGTTGATAGAATGCTTGCAGGATTCGCATCGTTTTCATCACTCCTGTCACTGTCCTTCAAACTATCGTCTGCTTGCAAAAAATCAAAAAGGCTGTAGAATTCGTCGTCACATATGCTTAAGCATTATTCACTTTCAAAAAGAAAATTTTATCTCTCTTCATCGGCTAAAGTGGACCTCTGCGCCGAAGCCACGTTTGTTTTAGCGCGAATGCTTTCAACGACTGCTTTTTTTTTCCTTGGCTGAATGGAGTGTTCTCTTTGTGTCAAACAGCTAAACAAATGAGCAAACAACGCAAAGTAAATAGAGCCACAGGGGTGGTTTTGCCATCTGCTGGAGAGCTCACTTAACCAGCGCCGAAACCGAAACACGAGTCACACCCGTCCGTAATAAAATGCAGGCACAAAACCAAAACCGGTTTGTGCCTGCATAAATATTGAATTATGGCAATACTAGGGGTACTATTTAGTGACACCCAATAGAAAGAGTGAAACCATTTAATGTAGAATGAAATTAAGGAAAAATGAAACATCTAGCAGGCATTTTGATGCCACCATAATATTTTTAGTTATTGCCCCCCCCCTTCCTTGCCAAAAATTAAAAATGGTAGTTTTTTTGGTTTGGGCGATGGTCTCTGTATCTCGAAAAAAGACTAGGAAAAGGTAGAAAGCTTTTTTATGCATGCGAGATAAACTGAACTCGAAACTCCGTTACTTTCATTGTTACATAGAAACACTCATGAAAGCATGTTTTACCATTGTGATTGTTTTTTTTTTATAGAGGTGGGCTATCTCGGCGTGTTCAAAGAAATGTATATTTTGCCCCAAAAGCTGAGTGAGTGAAGACACTAGTATGTTCCAACCAACTTAGCCGGAGTTTTTGGCTGGTGTCAGTACGGTGCCTGTGTTTAGCGTCGCGCCCGTGCATTGCAGTGATGCACGTTGCCAAGTGGCAACGTGCATCACTGGAGCCGCCTGTCACGTTGTCAGATGTTACACTCCAGCCGCTTGGTCGTAGAAATTATGGCAGGCGAGCGGGCCAAATGGTTGTCGCAGCGTCTGCTTTAGTTGCGCCAACTGTCTGCCAGGAGAAGGAGCAATGCCATCGTGCATATTCATTCTTTCTAGTGATGGACCGAATCTGCTGAACTTCAGATTTGGCAAAGTTTGGCAAAGGCCGAACTTTTGCAGGAAAGTTCGGCGAAAATTCGGCAAATGTTTGTGCACGCGCGAGAACGCAACAGAGCCTTGGATTGCAAATGGACGCCGTGCAGTCGTGCGGTTACCATCGTGCAGTGTAGTACAACCAGCGGTTACGGCGCTGTGTGGTGTAGGCAACACGGTAACTGTGCGTTTGTGAGTGTGGTTCTCTTCAATATTTTCTGCCTCAAGAATAGAAGATTGACCAGTAAATTACGCAGTCCACTGTGCAAGTGATAATGATGCAGTGCATTCTTATGAGAAATTGGCCGCCAATTACTTTAAATCACTCCTCGCAATTATAACAATTCTGTTTTCGGCTCGGAGTAGTGTGTTCCAAAACTGAATAATGCTTTTTAATTAGTGTTATTTCGCAATTTTTCATGTGTCTGCATAAAACTAAACACAGAACTGTAATGCTCGACGTTGAACATCCGACATTCACTCTTCTTATCTTCCGAAATGTTTGTGTGTGGCGAATATGGAACGCACACTTTCGTGCAAAGCTGACGTCAAGTGATTCAAATCAAAGAACATGCATATTTGCAATATTATAATTCTCTCTTCTGGTGAAGGCTCAGCAACCGTTGCATTCGTTTTCGCGCACAAAACGGTGTCTCCCAGAGAAAGCAAGAACGCTGCGTTATTGCCTTCATTTTAGCAATGTACACACACATGCAGGCTTGCGCTGATGATGCCTCGAAACCGAAACTCTCGTAGCGTGATTTGTGACTGCGCCACGCTCGCTTCTACCCAACCTCGTTGTCACGCCACTTCTGCGAGGAGCCAATAAAATTGCCAGTAAACACACAAAAACGACACCGATACAATTATCTTGTAGAATATCACCTCATTTAGTAATAACTATGTCAATATGCATTACATGTTGCAATTAAGTTAAGAAAAAAGAAACATAAAAGCCTTTTTTTCGCAAGAAACAAACGAAATATCAACGAGTCTGGTAACAATGTATTTTGCCGAATCTTTGGAGAAGTTCGGCAAAAGTTTGACTTTGCCAAATCCCAAGATTCGGCGCCGAACTTTTGATTCGGCAAAAGTTTGGCCCATCTCTAATTCTTTCTAGTGCGAGTTGAAACATGGTAGTGCCAGTTTGGGTAATGGTCACTTATAGTAACTTTAGACGTAATTCATTCTTAGGTCGAAAGATTGATCCGTAAAAGATTCGAAAATATTGTCGCAGTCGAAAAATTGTATAGGAATTACAACTGAAAGTAAATGTTTTACGAGGCAAACTTATGCCCACAAACTAAAATGAAAGGTATCAGGTATCCTGCGTCGGCGACGGGAGGGCGGCACTGCCAAAGCAGCTCGTTACCGCCGCTTTTATAGAGTCGGCAAGTTCGGGAACGTTTCGAACCAGAGTACACGAGGACAGCCGAGAATGATCCAGAACTCTCCGGAAGACTACAGAATTATAAAAGAGAGAATTGGGTCGAGCAGAGCTTAAACCAATTCTTCCTCGTGGCAGCCGTACGCGTTGCCAACTCTGCCACGCACGTGGCAATATACGCGGGAAAAGAGTGTGCCAGGGCTACCGACAGATGTCGCCACTTTTGTTGCCAAACAGCTTACATAGAGGGAGCTTAAATGAGGATGCGGTAAATGTCGGAGACGCGTTCCAGGCAGTGCCAGCGAGACAATGTGCTGTGCGTTCCAGGTCGCTGGTGGAGGAGACCCACTCGAAGCTGCTGTCGAAGCTTGCCCGCCAGGCCTCGAGTGCCTGCACCCTGGGCACCTTTGGTCCCCTGTGGATTGTGCTCAGGGTCACCTCGGAGAAGCTGTCTTCCCTGCACGCACAGATGGTGGCACAGCTGCAGGACCTCGTCAAGGAGGTACCGTCTGCTCGGCCGTTAACTTCCGGCCGAGGGTAGCCCGGCATCTGCTAGCCGCCGAATCGTGTTGAAGCTCGATGCCACGTTCGTTCAACGCAGTCGGAGGGCTTGTATTTGGGCTACAGTTAAGGTAGAAGCCCATTGATATGTTGTGCTGCGGTAAAATGATGCATTATCTGAGAAGACTTGAAGGGATGCTGAACTGAAATTTTGAGCTCGCAAAACAAGGCTGGAGTGACAGGCAGGATGCTACAGAATCCATAAACATCACTCATGTGTCAATGTCTCGAACGGATTGTCATACTTTTCGAAAAGAAGTGCATGATTGGACACCGCTGTCGAGGGCGACGAAACTTCTGCTCTTCCTTTCGTCCCCTCGGACAGATGAACCGAAGCGAGGAGGAGAGAAGCGAGGCCGCTTCTACTCGTTCTCAACAGTTCGAAGAGAATCGTGACGTCGCATTCCTCGCTTGATCGCGCCCGTCTTTTCCAAGCATATGGCCAGCCATTCAATAAATTGAGGTTTGATTGATGTTTTGGAGTTCGCAGCGTCCTGTTGAACGCTCCTGCGGCCTTATTTTTCGGAATTCAAATTTCGGTTCAACATCCCTTTAACAACCGAACAAAAAAAAAAAAAAATTTTTACACATTATCACTTGCAAATGACAAGTTCCACGGTGTGCTTAAAAGCACGGTGGAAGCTTGGAGTTATTGCATTTTGAAACCAACACCGTCAAAGTTGACAATCCGACATTACTCTTATTTACGTCGATGAAAGCTAAATTAATCATACCGGCCAGTCGTGGAAGGCCGGCAAGAAGGCCGAGAAGGCTGTCGCCGTAGCTCAGCATTTATCGACGATTGCAGTGATGTGGTTTTGCTGCGCGATATACGCCGAGCTGCGTCAAAGCAGTTACCCCACTACATCCTGCTATGTTTTGCCAAAATGTTAGGAAATTGAGCCAACATTGCACCAAAACATATTTTTGCTTTATTTGTACTGAAAAGAAAATGAATTAGGCACCGTTATTACATAGCTGTATTGTTACGGCGGGCTAGTGCGAATTTCCAAAACTTTAGATCATCGCCTTAAACACCGTCATGTTCAATTTGATCTTTGTATCAAACGTATACAGTACTCGGAAGTTTTGCAATATTTCTCATGCTCGTTGTCTGTTGTGACCGCATAGCTAGCATCGATGAGAGTGCTTGTCACCACATAATAGGCGTCACAATTTTGCATATCTTGTTTCGCCGCAAACCATCCGAATGCTAAGGACAAACTACTCCCTCAAAACAAAATTTTACACATAATTTCAGAAAAAAAAAACAAAAAAAAAAAACAACTTCAGTTGCATGTGTGATAGCGATATTCTTACGGTATATTTTTTCACATCAAGAATCATCGAGAATATTTTGGTATTGCAAGAATAGTTTTATGAACTACTCTATATATATGTTTATTTTTATCTCAACTTTCCTTTAGTTATTACCCTTCAATAGGTTCCATCCATTTGGTGGCACAGTGAATATAGAAAAGTGAAACTAAGTTAGCTGGAGAAGTAAACGCAAGCCTGGGAATAACCTAAACGTGACCGGGCGGGATATTTTAAAAAATTTTTTAAATAAAACATATTTATTGTTTACTTGCTGATTTTTGTTATCATGAAGTTGTGCTTGTAAAATATGTAAAAATGTCCATAATAAAATGCCACAAGCTTTCTATTATATCTAAACTAAGAATTGCAGTTATATTAAAACTCCCGAACTTAGAGAAAACTGATTTGGACCCTCAAAATTATTATATTTTGTCATTATTTCAGTGAACGATACTATTTGGTTTACGCTTGATTTCATACTTAAAATAACCCTGCACAGCAGTTTCCACTGCCCTTCATCAATTAGCCTCTTGTAACTGTACTTCTACGCGCAGCTAAAGTAATAGCTAGGGAATCAAACCTGCCATGCTGTTGATGCCATCAAACGGTTGAATGGAAGCAGAAAGGAAAGGTAGACAAACATATAAATCTTAACTTGATAGTCTCACTGGTACGAATAAAATTGAAATGTGTGCTTACACGCCAAAAGTACTTTTTGCCGCTCCAAAATTGACTTTGGGCTGCTCCAAAAGGTGCTCCGAAATCACTCGGACCAATCACATCACTGCGATTGCATCAGATGCAAGGAACAGGGATAGCTAACCCTGCCGATCCCCATATGGCTGGGGGAACTTCTGGTTCCGGTGAAGTACTACGTCACGACCGCACGATTTCTCATTTCGCTTTTGCGTTGAGGAGGAAAGCTAAAGGAGGAAGAAGTTAAACGGTCTCCTTAACTCGGATGATCAAAAAAACTGCTCCGACTTTACTCAACAAGATTAACAATTTAATCAAACGTTTCGTCTCCCATGCAGGAAACATCGTCAGTGAAACCTACAAGCAGGAAACCTACAAGCATTCCTGCTTGTAGGTTTCACTGACAATGTTTCCTGCATGGGAGACGAAACGTTTGATTAAATTGTTAATCTTGTTGAGTAAAGTCGGAGCAGTTTTTTTTATCATTATGATTCCCGGCTTTTGGAATATTTTTGCATTAACTCGGATGCTGCCTCTCGGTGTCAGCTGCTTCACCTAGAACGCCGGTGCAAAGCAGCGAAGCCCGACGCTTGCACCAGTGCGGAACAATAAAACATGCCGTGGGCACGGAGACGATAAACTCGGAACTCTACGCAAAATGGAATCAGCGGAACGAAGGAAACCGAGCGAAACAAAAGTGTACACAGAGAAATAGAGGCGAACAGGTCGTTTGGAAAGCCGAGCAAGAAGCGGAGCTGCAGAGAGCCTCGACTCCCCTTTGTCCCAGGTGCAGCGCTACTGCGAGGAACAGCACAAACGGCACAAGCAGGTGAAGGAGGAGGAGTCGCCCACCCTGGAGGTGGTCACGGGGCTGCAGCACACCACGGGGGTCTTGGCCAAGGCGAGGGAGGCCTACGTGGCACGCTGCCTCGAGCTGGACAAGCTGCGCAAGGAAGCCTCCCCCAGGGACCTGGACAAGGCAGAGGCCAAGGCACGCAAGGTGGGCAGGGTTGTCGCCTAGGGGAAGGGTGTCCAATTAAGCTCCATTCATGCTTAAAGGTGCTTCTTGTACAAGCTTCTTTTGATGGCACATTGTTCGTTGGGTCAATGGAAATTATTAGTTGCAAGACGTCCTGATAAACGTACAGCATTATTTTCTCTTGGGGGTGGGGGGGGGGCAGGGCATCCTGAGTCCCCATCGTAGAGTTATTATAACTGTGGTCCCCACCACCTCCATAAAAAGTGACAAATGAAAATAGTGAATTGCATGGAAATTCCAAACGTTACTATGATTGCTCTTTTTAGGTGCATTGTGCATTATAAAACATCAATAATACAGTCAAATCTTTGGTTGTAATGCAGCAATTTTTGTTTGAATACGCCAGAGCTGTATATTGGGAGAGTTTGGCCAGTCTATGATTCCACCGCCGTAACGCCTCCCTCCCGAGTGAGCCAATCAGCTCGCGGCGCAGAGCAAGAGGCGTGAACGCATGCGCGTGAACTCGCGGCTTGTAGCTCCCACCGTAGTCTCGGCTCGAGGGTGAATGGAGTATAGCTCACACTTTGGCTGCAGCCTGAGCTTAACGCTGAACGGAATGTAAGAGATCAGAAGTTTGCTTTTGGGCAGGAGGGTGGCGGGGAACGCCACTTCCTAGCTTACAATCGAGAGGCCCCAGCGATGCAAGCGGCATTGACTGACCGAGACCGACCCTCGTGGTTCTTTTAAGCAGAAGCAGAAGATGGAATGGCTGGGGAATTTCTTCTCAGAGTAGTAAATTCCCCTCCGTGAAAACAAAAAGGATAATCGTTTGGATATTTGTTGACAAAGACGGTAAGTAGTAAATAGCGGGCTCATTCGATTTACCTGCTCTAGCCAGTGCAGGAAAGTGCGGGGCAATGTACTGCCAGTTGGGTTTTCAGATAGGCTGCACTGGTAAATCAAATATGGCTGCGCACCAAGTAAACACTGGTGTAGGTAAGTTGAATGAACCCGTTGCGTAGAGTTGAAAGCAAAAGCAGAGAAGTCTCGGAGGAGGAAACAGTCGGCCCTTAGAGGAGATCCCAAGAGGGCGGGGCCGCTTGCAGGCGTGCGAGGAGTACCGGCAGCTGGTGGAGCGCCACGGCACGGTGCGGGCGGACTTTGAGCGGCGCATGGCGAGCTCCTGCGAGCGCTTCCAGGTGCTGGAGGAGGGCCACCTGCGCCACATGAAGGAGTTCCTGACCGGCTACGCCCGGGTCCTCGACAGCAGTCACGCCCTCGTGGGGCAGGTGCACGCCGAGTTCCGCCAGCAGTGCGACGCCCTCGACGTAGAGGCCCTGCTGCGCCAGTTCGCCCAGGCGCGCCAGACGGGCTCCGAAAAGCCCGGTGAGCCCCACGCCGGACTCGCCCCGTAGAGGCCTGCACGGAACGGGACGCAGGCGTGGCGTCGACACCCGCTCGCGGTTGACTAAGAGCGATTCTTTTGCGGGAAGGTAGTTGGCCCCAGTGGGCGTCTCCGCTGTAGACGAGAAGTGTAGCCTGGGCTGTCTAACGTGCACCACGCGGTAGTGATACACACCGGTACGATGCTCAACCAGATGGAAATGGGCAGGGAATGAACTCTAGAATAATACAAGTCTCACAAATATCTGCGGTGCTTTCTAAAGCTCAGATTAGGCACGTGAGGCACTTTTTAAATTTCCCTTCTCGGTGCGACGTATAAATAAGGCATCCTGCTGGGCTGGGTTTGCATGCCCATGCGTTTTTCTGCACCATAAACGGTCGTGAGATGAAGTAAGGGCCACAGGTGTGTCTGTCCTTGCACTCTGCCACTTTTCAGCTGCGCCCGGAAAACCCAAGAAAGGTACGATGGAGTAGGTACTGTAAACAAGTTTATATTCCTAAGGTTTTTCTTTGGAGGGGGTTGCCATTTTTGAAGGTACTATTTTTCGGGGAGGAAATGGATTTGTGAAATGGAGCATTGTCCATTTTTACTCGTTCACAAAACGAACAAAGCCGGATATTTGGTAGGAAATTAGTTTGCAGTCCTTGCACCAATGTACGTAAACGAGGAAGGTTCTGTCGGCAAATGCACTGCAACGGAGCTTAGAACAAGCTTGCCCTCGTGTCCCGCAGAGCCCGTGACCTTCGAAGAACCGGACCCCGGACTGCAGCTGACTCCGGCAGCGGGGTCTGCCGCCCCGGCTCCGTTCTTCTCCACCTCGACTCCGGTGACGGCGGGCAGTGGAGGCCCCGAGAACGGGCCCCCCGGCGCACCCCCTCCGCCGGTGCCTCTGCCGCCCCCAGAGGTGACCCCACCGCCCTGCAACGGGCCGCAGCCCTCGACCAAGAAAGAAGGTAAAGCAGGGGCTCGCGGGAATTCCCGCCACCGCCACCGCGCCATGTCCCTCCTGGACTTGTTTTTCTCGTCAACCGCCTCGACAAAAGGGGCACCTCCTCCTCAACCTCCTCAACCTCCGCCGCCGCCACCCCCGGGTGTGGGCGCCGCCGCTGCCGCCGGTAGGTTGGGGCACCCCTCTCTCCTTCCTAGGCTCCCCCTCTGTCCGTCCCTGGTCGCAGCTGTGCGCAGTGTCTACGCTTCCCGGCAGGCCGTAGCCGCCCTCTCGCATCCCCGGTGGTCCGGGCAAATTGACGAACCCAAGTTTTGTCGACTAGAATCTTTTAAAACTGGAATTTTTCGACCATAATCTTCTTAAACGGCAATATTTTTGAAACCAGAATCTTTTCAAACTAGAATCCTTTACAAACCACGATTTTTCAACCTGAATCTTTTCAAACAGGGATAGTTTTCAAACCAAAATTTTTTTTAACCAGAATTTTTACAGGCTTCACCCAGGTTGGGTACACAAGCCTTCTGTATGGATAGCATTGCCTTTTGTGTCCCTGCATGCCTGGGTAACCCCCCCCCCCCCCCCCCCCCCCCTCCCCCCCTCCCCTCCCCTCCGAGTACAAATAAAGTGTAATTATTATTTTCAAACCAAACAAATACTTTTTTTGTGGCTAAATTTTTTTTCTCTTTATTTTTTAGTATTTGGAATAACAGGAATTTTCTGCCTTTATCTGTAAGACTGGAATATTCTCTGCCCTACTAACTTATGACCCGATTTTTTTTTCAAGAGACTCTTTCCCCGCCCACTACATGTACGACCTGTCTCAGAACTATTAGTGAGAGTGATAATCTTAGTGCTCTCGCCAGTGGTGATGCAAGAAGCAATCAAAATGCAAAGGCGAGAATTTATACAACCCCATTTTCTACTTGTGCCCCTGCATTTCAATTTGAACGAGAACATCCAAGTGCAAGACTTGTGGCAAGGCTACGAAGGGAGGGTAGCTTAGGCCACACCTGGCATTGCCAGCAGATCATTGATTAGGAAATGAAAGGGGGACGATCTTTGGAGGGTAGCTCGGAGCGAAAGGGGAGTGATGTCTGAGGTTTGCCCGGCGTCGACGCTCGTCTTTCCAGGCGACGCCGAAAATCACGGTGGCGCGGAAGCCACTGCAACGGCCACCGGCGCTGCGGCCCAACCCAAGAGAGAGTCGCTTGCCAGAAGCTCGCTGCGGTCCTCTAAATGTAATGCGTCCCGTCTGCGCTCTTGTCTCCGACCCGCTCCTCCGCGCATGTCGTGCACCCCCCTGCAGATAACCACTTCGGCAGCGAAGGTTGCGCCAAGAATTGCAGGAAACTCTGGCCAGGGGAAAAGCGCCCAATGCCGCCTCGAGATTGAAGGGTTCTAGACCCGTGCGACCGGAGACGTAGTGCAACCGGAGAAGTTGCGCACCCGATAAAGCCTTTGGAGAAGCTGTGCAACTGGAGAAGTTGCGCAACCGCAGACGTTGTGCAGATTCAAACAAACACTCGCGCGGCGGCTGTAATCACGTCGTCACCCCGATGTTGGGGAGGTTCGTTCCTTGGCTGTCGAGGTCTGTCCTTTTCTGGCTGGAGTTTCCCACATTCTGGGGCTGCGTCCGTCGGCACGTGCCACGGCGGACGGGCTTCGTCGCGGACGGCGCCGTAGACGCTCTGGCATGCAATGGTTGGTGGTGATGGCTTTTTCTTTCTTTCCTGTGGAACACTGACCGGTGACGGTGCCTGTGCACGGGTGGCGCCCCCAATTCCTCCCCTCTCTTCTTCACGAGCACAGCGGCAGCAGCGGTGGCGCCACCCCGTTTCCCTCGCCGCAACATTGCCCACCCCCTTTTTTTGTTTTGTCTATCTTTTTTGCCGCTTTGTTTCTCTCAATTCTTTTGGGGGGCCTTAGAGGTTGCCTCGGCCACTCACGAGTTGCAAATGTGCCCATAAGTATCGAGAAATAGAACCAGTTTAAGCAATAGAATGCCTCCAACAGCACCTTTGAGCCGACGGGGGCACAAAGGTCACGAGTGCTAGCTAGCCGGAACTTTGTACACCAAGATGTGCCGTTCAAGCGCGAGCGCTCATTTGGCGAAAGTATGCTTCAAAGCCACTATCTAGTCCTGTAACTTGTGCTTCCCTGTAAAAATATGAATGACCGGAATTCAGGAAGCACGATGCACCTACTCCTGCCTCTGTTTCCCCATGCTGCTCTGCTCTGTACCTCATAAAGGGTACCGCCCTAAACGAGATCAAAGGGGAGCACTCGCACCTTTAGCACGTTGCCCAAGAGAGCTACCATATTTCCTAAATTTCCCATTCTCAAGGCCGTGCAACTCCGTTGCCAAAACAACCCTCTGGCCCCCAAATGGTTTTCTAAAAGCCTCGCCTCCTTTGGAGGTTGTCGTAAAAGTGCTCGCGACAGCAATCCCTCTTGCAGCCATCTGTTAGCTCCGAAATGCCTCGTTGCTTGAGCAGAGCTTCCGCTTCGCTTGAACGAGCTATTGCCCAGATCGTGCCGTCACTTGTCGTTCCTCCTCCGCTTTTTTTTCCCGGTCTGAAACCGTCTAAGTCGAGCAGGTGGCTGCAAGAGATGGGCCGTCTCACCGTTGCTAGACTGGAGGCTGAAACGGGTCGGCTAACCTGGCGGAGCCAGGTTTTAAAATTAACAGCCACATTGCGTCGCCCTGCCTATCGGGGCTTGGCTCTGGTCAAAATTGAACATCCACCTTTTCAATGATCTTTGTTCAGCCTTAAAAGCCGACCTGCAAAATATTTTTTATCCAGAGTGAGAATCCTCCTTGCCACCCTTCCCATTTTTTTTATCTTCCACTGCTATCTTGACGGCAGGGGGACTCCTTTTGTTGTTGCTTCTTGAGGCTGGATAAGCTGGGTACTTATCCCGGCTCATCCAACCCCAAGATGCAGCGACTAAGGGAGATTACCCCCTCCCTGCCACTAAGATAAGAGTGGGAGAGGTGGAAATGGGAAGGATGGCAAGAAGGATTTTCATCCTGGTTGAAAAATATTTTGCAAGTCGCCCTTTAAAGGGGCCATGAAACGATTTTTCAACTTTTTCCTTTTTAGCTTTTCTTCTGAAGTCACAAATTGCACAATGTACCAAACAGTTCAACCCCTCTTGCTCAGACCCTCATTAGTGTACCCGGATATCGCCATTCTCCCCCTTGAAGATTGGCCCGTTGTTCAAAATTTGGACAAAAGTTGCTTTCCCCGCCCTGTTCACCCCTAAGCTGGCAGTGCTGTGGAAGCTACGTGCTTCTTGGGCCAGCCAGACTTCTATCTTTTGCCACGTGATCATGCTCCCTGGCGCATACCCACGCGCAAAGAATGGAGTCGGGTGATGAAAGGGAGGCGGCTAGTTGGTCCGGCAAACACGTAGCTCCCACCGCGCTGTCAGCTTAGGGGTGAAGGGAATATAGTGAGGTCATGTGACATGCTTTGGATACTGCGTATGTATTCCAGTGAAAAGGCAGAGAGCTTTCGAAGCAAAGGAGGTACGAAATAGTCTGCTTTGTTTTAAAATTTTCGTACTGAAAATCGGGCTTTTGACCTTCTACCTTCTTTGGCCCACTAGATGATATGCTATCAGTAAAATCCTAATCTAAATTCATTTATTTCAACCCAAAATTCGTTTCATGGCTTCTTTAATGGAAAGTGTACCTCATCAAAACCAAAAGGAATTCAGAACACTGTATCTTTTGCCGTCAACTAGAGTCGATGGTTTAACATTTGCTTAATAACCGTCTTGACCATCCAGACACGCTATAACTTGCACTGGCTTACCAGAAGCTTGCCGCAGCCCACGTGGCCGTGCCGCTTGCGAGCGTATGACGCCCAGAAGTGAATCTGGGGCATCACGCCCAGTCTACGAGGCCTAGCCAAACCGAATCAAGGCGCGTCTTTTAGTCGTAATAAACGACCGAATGCGCGACACCCATAAGCGTTAGCCGTCGCTATTGAACTGCGCCGAGCGGAGCAAACGATAAACGAGTGTCGGGGTTCTGTTGCAGGGTTTCTGCGCACAAAGTGGGAGCGCCAAAAGGAGAAACGCAAGCGCAAGAAGGAGTCACTCAGGGACACCGTGGGCAGCGGCGGCGAAGCGTGAGCACCTTCAGGAGGAGTGCTCGCTCGCTCACTCACTCCCTGTCGCGCACATCTGCTGACAAAGCGGTCGAGACGCTGCACTTTCGTGACTTGTCTGTTGTCGGTGGATGTTGGTGTCCGTCTTCCTGCATGCCCGCTTGCTTGGACTTGCAGTAGTCTTTCTTCCAAATGTCTGAAATGCTTTGCAGCCACTATTTTGAAGCGAAGAACGGGGCAGAGTTGAGCCCCATCTTTCCTTCCTTTCCACGAGGGGAGTTCAAACTTGACGAAGCAGGTATCCTGCATGCGCGTCAAACCCTGTACGGAACTCGGTGCCGCGCCAGCACAAGGTGCACGCCTCACGAACGTGCGGAACAGTCGCAACTTAAGGCTCTTTTATATTCCTATCTTTCTGGCACGTCGCCACGCGGCGGTCGGCGGCGGCCATGCTACGTCGGCCAAGCAAAGCCGTTCGGAAAGTCTAGCCGAATGTAATTAAACTCGTCGGATGCCTTGCTCTGTTGCACGCCGTCCGAAGAGCACATGCTGACTCATCAGCTTCGTGTATGCGTTCTTGTGGTGCCCTGGTGCTATTCTCTGCATTGGCCCGGTTGGAGCACACCAAATGCCACCAGTCTCGTCAGCTACGCTGGGACGTCGTACGGCAGATGCATGAAGTATAAACGAGCCTTTACGGCAGTTGCGGCGTGGCCTGCGCACGGTCTAGCCAAGAGTTGCCGGACACGAGGAACCAGTGGTGAGTCTGGGCCGCTCTGTCTAGGGTTCGAGGCGCTCCGGGCAGAGGCGTTGCGGCGACGCACCGGGCGTCCCCCTCGTGCGAGCGTAGGCTTTCGATCGAACAGTCACGGGCCGCCGACCCCGACTCTTTGGGCGCCGCCCCTGCCCCGGCCCCCGTCCCCACGACGGCAAGGTCAGTACGCTCCCTTCTCTCTGGGGCTCTGCCCCTCGGCTCGGCAGAGGTGCTGGAACGCGTCCTTGACCGGCGCGTTTACTGCGTCCTCGAGAGCGCTCCGTCGATTTGGACGTTGTGCAAGTGTCGCAGCAGCGGTTCTGGATGTGGCAGATGCCCGTCCTGCTCCACTCGCGTTCGCTCAAACTTTCTGCCGGCTTTTGTAAGGCCGTCCGTCGCCGGGACCGCTTTGGACGTACAGGCAGGACACCCAACGCGCCGTTCAAAGACACGTTCCAGGCACTGTAGCTCTGCCCCTTGGCGCACATCTTGATAAAGGCCCCACGAGCTAAGTAGTTTCGGCGTCGCCCTCCCCGCAAGATAGCCCACAAGTTTTGTCGCTTGTTTTGCATTTGCATAAACTTGATTTTCCCAGTGACTGCGAAGAGTTCCTTGAAGTCTCGCATTGACGGTTTTGCCGCTAACCTTACGGGTCGTGTAGGAGTCGGACATCTGGGTTACGCTGTTGCCGGAACACTTCTTTATTGCGTCGGGATGTTGCTATAAAGCAAATACTTTGAATCCCCAAGTGAGGCGATCTTGGACCTTGTTAACTTGCAAAGTCTCGAGATTACCTAGGCTGCCGTGCATCTTTTTTTTCTCACTTTGGTCCGTGTCTGTCTGTGTGTGCTGGCTGCTGCTGCTATTGTCACTAACTCCTAGCGGTGTGCTACTCACTGGTCTGGGTGCTTTTCACTGTTATGTGCCAAACTCTCACGCTGCGAAAATGAGTCCGACATTCCGGTCGATTTGTTTCCTAGCTTCCGAGGAAGAAAAGTTGTATTTTGCCAAGGTCTGACATAAGCCTAACCCCCTTCAACAGTATCCTAGGATAAGCTTTAAAATCCCCGAACAAAGTACTTACTATGTCTCGGAAAATTTTATATAGGTTCTAGTACAGTGCAATCCACCTATAACAACAATGAGAAAACCCAAAGATGCAATCGTTACAACTGATTATCGTTGTGTCTGGAATAGAAACACCACGCAAAAACGCATGGTCCTCTATAAACTGATCGTTGTAAGTGGTGCATTGTTGTATGTCGTATAGTTATAAGTGGATTGTAGAAGTTGCTGCTATACACCAACTCGAGGTGGTTACGTCACGCCGCGGTGGTGGTGCTTTGGTCGCACCTTCGGTCTGGGGGTGTGGGCAGAGGTTGGGAGAGCATTGCTGGCATTGCTGTGTTGTTTTGGCAGAAACCAGTAGAAACCTGCCTACTGGTAAAACACTGGACAGTTCTGTAAGCTGGGGCTGCACCGTAAGAGCTGGAAAAGGTGTGAAGATCGGTTTGAACATGTTTCTTACCTGCCTGATCCGTTCGAGAATGTGAACATGTGCCGTTGAAAGAGACCCTGTCGAACCAAGTTTGAGCGCGCGGGAAGTGCTCAGGATTCATCAATACATATTGCCATGAGGTTACTTTGTGCTGTTCCAACATGAACTGGGGAGAACCACCGAGCGATATTCGGACCACCCGAATTACGTTCGACGCATATTCACGTTCAAACAACTGTCCGCTGTTCAAATAGGCTTATGCTCGTGCAGACGACAGCTGGCGGTAGACCATATGAAGGTTATGCGCTGTCAACATAGTGATTGTGATACAAAGAAATTGTGGACCTCTAAAAACTTGGGAGCTTGGAAAGTGTCTTGGCTAAGTCAGCTCGGTGTAAACAATATATACAAGGCGATCGCCGACTTGTTATGCCTGATTCACTCAGTTTCATTTTGTGCGCAATTTTCAGTTTCAATGTCGAGTACCGGAGCTTTCGATCTCGCTTATTTTGCCGCCCGAGTGACGTCACAACTGAAAATAGCAAGCAGACTGTCATTGCGTGAATCAGGCTCTATTCTACGGCATCCACATGGAATCGATCGCCATGCAAATTCACATGTTTCGCGCTGTGACCAGCCTCGTTCATTTCGTAGAGGCCACTGAAGCAGTCGGACATTACTAGGAAGACTCGGAATCAACAATCCCAACACGAAAAAGAGCACAGGAACTCACACCAATGCCGACAGCACTGCATCCCAATGGTTTGTCGACGGAGGACGGCGCGCTTCTTGCCCACACCCCATAGCAGATGTGCGGCGCCGCTCACCTCCTATTTTTTTGTAAACATGAGTTGGTGTGTATTCTGTTGACTCCAAAGTCGACAGTGCGGTGGGAGCAACATGCTTGCCAGACCCAGCCAACACTGCTCTCAGCATGCGGGTGTAGGCAGGAGCGTGATCACGTGGTAAAAGACAGACATATGTTCAACGAAGACACTAATGCGCTGCCCGCTTAGGGGTGAACCGTATTGAAATCGAGGAATTCCAGAATGGAGTAGCTCACAAAGATGCGTTTGTTTTCACGCTCGCCGGGACGCCGCAGGGACAGCAAGGAAGCCGGGGAACAGGTGAGTTTCGTTCACGGAGCCAACCGTTCGGTGCGCGGGCAGAGGCTCGAGAGGCCGTCCTTTGCAGAGTGCCCAGGTGGACGACGAAGGCTACACGGTGCGTCCGTCCGCCGAGCATCACAAGGAGAGTATCCTTTTCGGCCCCACCAAGTCTCGGAACGTCGTTTAGGAAAGTCAGTTGCTAGAAGAAAGCTTTCCGGGCAAGCCATTAGGCACTTGTTTTGGGAATACGCTACGCACGGCCCTGACGTTGGCGCTTTGTCACACTTTGTTCGAACAGATTGTTAACGAGCGCTAAATTCCGCCGCTTAGGTTGGCGTCCCGAAAGACTACTCTCTGCTACAGCGGTAGTTACGGCAGTTCTGACGGAAGAAATATAAATGGCCGCTCGTTCGCACCAACTGCGTGGCACTTCGTCAGAGCCCTTTGCCAGGGCACTGTAGTACTTGTAGCAACGAAGTCAAACTTAAGTGTAAGGAAGGCTCGGTGGGTTTTGAACGTCTACTTGGCCTTAGTTTCGTAGGCTCATGGAATCGTCTAAATCCCCGCTTGGGAAGGTGGTGGTGGGAGGTGGCCACTGCGTCTCTTCCTGAGCTGGATCCCCAGACGACAGAGACAGCTTTTACTCAAGCTCGGACGGAGAGTCAGGTGAGTGTCGGGAGAGAAGGGGACGCGCGACGGGGCCAACTCGCTTCCTTTTGCAGACGAGGAGGAACGCAACCGGCGCATCCACATCGAGATCAAACCGCTGAGCAACGGCGCCCCGATGAGCGCCAGCGTGGACGAGCTGCGGGCCACCATCGGATCCTTGTCGCTGTCGCCCATCCCACAGCATTCGGTGGGTTCGGCCGTGTCTTTGTTCCGGAGCATTCCGTTAAATATTAACCTGGTCGAAGTTAAAAAGGTCGCTTTCTGCAAATGACATGCAATTTGTGTGTGTCGAGGTTTGTAGTAGTCTAGTCCAGATTGCAGGCTGGGTTCTGCAAGAGATTGGTAAAATTCTTTCGACTAGTGGTGGTTTCACGAGGCACGTACAATGGTATAAGGAAATGCGCAACTACGTCCGGGTCAGCGCCGACCGGTTCGTTAATCGCATCTAAAACCTGGCGTGGTTTACTGCCCCCTTATTTCATGGGGCGGTAACGACGACTCAGTCACGTCTTGGCAGCGTAGAGAGTCGACATAAAACGCTCGCGTTTCCCGCAAGCAGTTTGTCACTCTGTTACTTTCGTGTGTTGACAAAAAAAAGAACTAAAAGCCAGTTTGTGTGTGCGATTAGAGTTGACTGGGAAACTCTCTGCCTGAGTGTGGCTGTCTTCTGTTCCTTGTTGTGCCGCTGCCACTGTGCAGAGCTGGAGTCGGCCAGAAACATTGTACTTCAGGCACAAGGTATTTGCCCCTCTCCCCTTCTACGATGTCCCTCCTCCCCTCCGTGTTGTTGGAGCGTGACGCGCAAGAAAGCCGTCGACGACTTTGCGCTCTCGTCGCGTTACAGACGCGCCGGGCGTACAACAGCGCCACCTCGACGCCGGACGAGGCCCCTCGGCGACCGGCCAATCAGGTCTCAAAGTGAGCTCTCGTCCTCTCTTACCTCGAGTGGGAACGGTACTTAAAGCATTGGATTACTGTTGGCAACGTACCGAATGCAATGAAAAAACTAACATAATTACAAGAAACCCATAGTCTAGGGTAATACAACAGATAGGACAAACTCAGTCACTGAGTTTTTTACCCTTGTCTTTGGGTTTTTCCTAATTGTATGTTCGATCTATGCCAACTCGTTTGTGCACTTTTTGCTAAAATAAACTAGCTGTTTTCGGAAGAAAGCTTTTAGATCTGACCGTGTTAGTGATAGAAACTGAAAAAATTGTAGGAGTTATTATTCTGTCAAGATGGTATTGTCCTTCCAGCAATTGATTTTGAGAACCTTGAAGGAATCACAAACTTTAGGTTCTTTTTACCTTTACATTCGTAGGTCAAGTCGCAAATTCTTCACGCAGTCGTTGGTCACCAACTAGACTCCCATCACTAGATTATTTCTCAATTTAGTGACTTTCCTGCCCTTTTGGGAACACGGCGCCGAACCTGGAACTTTTTTGCAACGTGTTTGTCGACGGCGTGCCCTTGGGAGCAGAGATAGCGGCGGTGGCAGCGGCACGGATCCGGACATGCTGGGGCTGTTCCCGTCCGACTCTAGTGCCTCGACTCCGACAACAGTGTTCCAGAGTCCGCCGTCCGGAGGCAGAGACTCCGTCGGACCCACTTCTTCTGGCAACGCCGCTTTCTGGGACCGCTACGCAGGTGCGCTCAATACTTCTTACTCGGCCACTTTTTCCAGGGCCGGTGTCCATTCGAGCACCTCTTGGCGTTTACAAGCAGGCGAACATTTTTTGCTCGAGTAGGAACTTGGAAGTTTGCTGAATTTCCCAAACTTTGGGACGTCACATTCGTCGGAAATTGGAGTTTGAAAAGTTTTTGGGGAGCTGCATGCAACCAAGAAATAAAAAAGTGCAGTGAGAATTGCATTATTTGGGGAAATTGACTAACAACTCTGCTCTCCTCTCTTTGCTCTGGCAGCTTTTTGCTTAAGCTTATTGATTCCCGCGTTGGCAGTGGCTGCTACGTTGAACTCCCAATTTTATTTTTGGTGCGGTTTCTTTTCAGCGCTGAGCGAACTGTTCAGTGAAAAAGCATCCGGTGACATGTCGGGCCCGGAAGCTGGAAAGGCCGGCACGGCAGGGAGCCGAGGAGGAACGCCCACCAGCGCTTTCGGGGTCGGACCGGCGCTGCCAAGACCGCCTTCCCGACGCTCAGAAGTGAGTTCGTTGTTTGGCGCAACGTTCCTGTCTTTCCGTCACGGAGCTGGATGCCAAGACTCGGATTGTAGAGTCGGGTCCGGCCAATGCAATGAACGGGTCAAAAAACGGAAATGTTTTGGATTTTATGATGTTCTATTATTTTTGGATCTTTATATTTGATGTATAAAAATAACCAGTGCCCGTTATGATCGTGAAATTAGTCAAATACGCATTTGAAGACCCCCAGACAACCCAGAATGGCGTGAATTGAGTCATTTTTCTGCGCGTAGTTCTTCAAGATGCGACGTCGCCCACCATCACAGTTACGTTGACAGGTAGACCTAGCCAGAGCCGTATATTGGGAGAGTTTGGCCAGTGGGTGTGGCGACGAAGGCGCCGGAGAGGAGAAAAGTAAATGAAAGGGAGGAGAGCGCCGAAGGAGCGAGAGAGAAAGAAGGGAGCAGAGAGGAGACGACCGCCATTTTTGAGCAACGCTGTTGGAGACCGGTCGGAGAAGAGCACTGCTGAGGCTACGCGTCGTCTGCTACGGGCCGACTTCTTTCCCGCCTGAATAAAAGTTTGTGGCCATACGCCGAAAAATCTTAATTTATTAGCTTTTTAACCCACCGAGGAATAAAAGAATGTCATTTTCTTGCCAGAGCCAGCGATATAAAAGGCAATAATAGAGATTTAGGTGCCGATCCAACGCATTCCGCCGGGAGAATGATCGAAGATGGCGGCCCTCCCCACTCAGCTGGGAGCAGCCGGGAGTTCACGCGCATGCGCTCATGCCTCTCGCTCTGCGCCGCGTGCTGATTGGCTCACTCGGGAGGAGCGCGATACGGCGGCGAGATCATAGACTGACCAAACTTTCCCCATATACGGCTCTGGACCTAGCAAACTCTTCTCTGTTGCAGTCTTCTGTAGCTACAATTTCTCGCGAAAATTTATGAACAAAATATTATTTTTTGTACCGCAAAAGAGTATAGCTACACATGTATGGTAACATTCGAATGCGTTTTTCCTATGTAATTTTGGGTCATCTTCACAGTTTTTGCGCAAAAATTTTTGTTCCTAATATTGTCCAATCACAGCCAAATTTGGCATGTGTACACTTTGGAATATGTAGAATGCAACTAGTATCTGTGTTTGGTTAGAATGTATATTTTATTTATATTTATGAAATATTCAGGAACCATTTGTTAAAGGGACCATGAAATGACTTTTTACTTTTTCCAGATAACTTTTACATTAAACCGTCAATGTTCACTGAATGCCGAACAGGCATCCGTTTTCGTCTCGGTTTATTAACTTCTACACAAAAAATTATTGAAATATCGACTTTTTCATTCTCTCCAACTGACCGCAAAAGAAGCCGTGACGTAGGCCGTTTCCGGAACCGGAAGTTCTCTCGGCAGTAGGAGAATGGGAGTGTTAGCGGCAACGAGTTGGGGTGCGCCGGTAGGTTTTACTGCGCTGATGTCACCGACGTATTTCCTGAATCGGCGCCTCTCATCGCCGCATCGCAGCTGAGCGAAATTCAATGAGATATGTTGCGCTACAGCGACAGCATGGGACTAGTCCCATACGCCGGTATGCCTGTTGGGAAGTGCAGCGAGTCTTCCGGTGAAGACTCCAGAAGTCAACCACCCCGTCATTGTTGGCAGAAGGGCCGGCCCGTGTCAGTCGTTTGCAAAGCGACGTAGATGGCGTTTTTCGCGGCCTCGGAGATGCAGGAGCGAGCCGACGTTAAAAAAGATACGTTTGAACTACGAGTGTCAGCAAGAGCCACGTAAATACCTGTTTACACTCGGAGCGGACGCGCGCGCTTGATGGAAGTCTTGTATTCGCGCTGTTTGTAAGGCTTTGGGACCGTTCTTTTACGATTGCAACTCGATACTGACACGACACTCGGCAAAGAAAGGTTGGACCGGGGTTGTACGTATACCTCCCACGAACTGTTATAGCTCGACAGTGACGTGCAGTCTTTCAGAATAAAAATGGCATACCAATAACAAAGTGTACATACCGTGTTACGAAGGTAATCCATACGGCGTTTATTTCAGCTCTATATCACACAAAACAAGAAGATAGAATCGACGAGAGTCCCTTTTCGACGAGTGTTCGTCAACACTGCCTCGGAAAACAAGGGGAAGAGATTGACCTCACCTCTTAATCTAGAATTGAGGTCAGTGATCAAATTATAATACGGGAAGGGTCCACAAGGGTCGCGCGGGCATATTCCATTTAGCACGCCAGCCGATCGTAGGCAGACGGTCTTGCGACGAAGCAACGCAGCGCCGAGTCGGAATGCCTGCTAGGCCTATACGCTTCGTCGGAGTCGGTGGATCCAGTGCTCTTGTTCGTCGTGGTCTGTTTTAAGTACTGTTTTCTTGCTGCTTGAAGTCGGCACGCGCGGGAAGAACACATAGAAAAATAAACGTTCAGTCAGTCAGAGTTTTGAGAGGAAGGAAAATAAAAAAAATAAATGTTCGTCGCTGGCCGCCACCCAAGTAACTGTCGGCCCTGCCCTACTGTGCACGCGCAGTAGTTGCTTCGTTTACCACACGACAGATGGCACCTGGCTCTCAGCATTATCAAATTTGGCAATTTTCGCCACACATCTCTAATTATGCTACAAAATGTGGATCTGAATATTATTTAACAAAACTTTTAGGAAACATTCGCCGGCTATTTATTGTTTACGATCGCGGTGCTGGTGAGGTAGGCTCTTACCCAATAGGCGACCTGGATTTGGCTGACGTGCTCCATTTCCGCGGATGCATCGTAGTGAACAGGCGAAGGAAGGAAGGCGCAAAAGAGTCCAGTTTTCTTTTAAAAGTTCTATAGCAAATAATTTTTTTTGGCTCCCTATTTTTGTGTTTTTGTGTTTCTTTTCACACCTTTTATGACGTGCGGTGGATGAAACTCGATTTTAAAATCATTTCATGGTCCCTTTAACCCCTTGAATTGGCATTTTTGGTAATTTTAACTTTTAAAATAAAATAAGCGTCGCACACATTACATTTGTTGTCTAGTGCCCTCAGTGGTTTAAAAGGATTGAATTAATTGATTTTACTAGGCCTTTTAAGCGTGTTACCTGGCCTCATGTGTACAGAGAGCATATTTTTTAATGTATGTTCATTTCATTTCGAGCATAAAAGAAACAAGCTGTATCAAATCTAAAACCACATTTATAAATAAAAGATTAGGCTCCATAAAGTAAAAATTTCACTTCAAAATCGTAAATAAAAAAAAATAAAAACTTTTCCTCTGGTGCAAAGAATTCAAATTACACAATTCAATGGCCTCCCGGTCTAATGGTTCGCTCGTGCGTGACAAGGTCGGAAGCGGGCGGAGAGGCTGCACCAAGCTTCAAGCCTCGTCCTTGCAGCCTTAAAGTGCCCTATAAACCAAAGAGGGATTGGCTGTTGACACACTACAGCTCGGAGTGCGAGCTCGCGCTACAGGACGCAGGAATCCCGGGTTCAATCCCCATCCCTGGCCGTCCGTACGAGCATCGTACTGGCACTTGGTCGCATCTCACTACCGCACGCCGAACGCCCAGGCTGGCGGTCGTACCGCACCAACTCTCACCTACACCAGAAGCCCACTGGGGCTGTCTAAACAAATGTACGATAGAACTACTGTCAAATACCTTTCAAATCTACTAGGCACACTGATCGTGCGGCAACACGGTTGCGCCGTCACCCGCAGGCGGCGACGCGCGGGCGCGCCTCCCCGCTGCCCATGAGCCGCACGGAGAGCGTGGGTAGCCTGAGCAGCAGCGACTTCAAGACGACCCCGGTGCCCTTCGGCTGCTCTCGGGGCCCATCCCCGCTCACCATTGGGGTGAGCGACTCGATCCCGCTGGCGGTGGCCTTCCAGGAGGTGGTGCACGCCCGCTTCAAGGGGGCCGACGAGGCCCGCTGCCAGGTCAAGCTGCTGGGCGACATGAAGGTCTCCTTCCCGGCGGGCATCGTGCACGTGCTGGCCAACCACCCGGCCCCGGCCACCCTCGCCTTCAGGGTGCACACCGCCCGCTTCGACAACGTCCTGCCCAACAAGAACCTCATCTCCCTGTGAGCCACCCTCATCTGCTTCCGTATGGGAAGACGGAGGGGGACGTAAAAAGAACTAAGATATGTCACCGTATGCTATATTAGTAGTAGCCGATTTAGGCGGGCGATTTGGCTGTGGTGACGGAAGCCAGTTCCAGTCTAAGGGGGTTTTGGGAACTAATACTCGTCACAGTAAAAAAAAAAAAAAGCCAAGTTTTACGCATTACTCGTGCGCTGCTGCACAAAATTTCTACAATATTTCATTGTCAAAAGAAGGAATGATACACATTTGAAACGTCTCAATAAAATAATGTAAAGCCATTCAAAGAAGTACCTACCATATTTTCCGGACTATAGTGTGCGGACTATGCATGTTTAAAAGTTGAAATTTTAGGCTTGTGCGGACTTCACAGGAATTTTGTTTTTCAAGGTCGTTCACTATGATGAGACGTGACAGGTTTTGTGAATGAAACAGTATGTTAACAATGATTTATGTGTAATACAAGCTTCTTTGTGAGCTAGGAAAGCAGACATTTGTCAAGGTGTGCCGTGTATGAGAAGATTTTCGTGTCGACTAAGCACCAGGTGCAGACTATGCACGGTGTGTGGACTATGCACCGGGTGCGAACTATACAAGCAAAAACTTTTATTTTTGGCCCCAAATTTGCCTCTGCAGACTATGTATGCACTGGATGGAGACTATAGCCCATAAGTTACGGTACACGTATCAAATTCGACGCACGGAAGGGGAAATTAGTAACCTTCCGCGAGGACTTTTATTTTAACTAAGGTTCTCGAGGTTAATACGAGTATAGAAGGTCTGTGAATTTCCCCACCAAACGTCGTCGCTAATGGATTCACGCAGCGCTGCCTAGCTGCGTTAGCATTGCTGAATGCGCATCTCGCAACCAGCGCGACATTAGCACGCGACGACTCCGCGACGGATGCGTTTGCCGCTTTGCAGCGACTCGTTGAGGTTGGACGCGTTTGCCGCTCGGAAATCCATTCACGATGACAACGTGCGTGGGCCTCGTCTTCTAGGCGGTATTGGCGGGTGTCACCATCCGGCGCAGCAAGTTTGCCAACTCAATTTGCATGGCGACGTCGACAAGCCAGTTTAGGATACCGGCATTAACTAACGGGCCTCACGAGCTTACCAGATAAAGTGCCACCAGTGTCTACACCCGTCGTCGTATTGAGAAACCTTTTGCGCATTACTCGTGCTTTACTCAAAGTATTTCTTGCGAGATTTTTATGTAAAGAAAAAAAACAATGCTTTTGGTGTTTGAAACATGCATGTCTGTATTAACTAATATGCATCTAATCTAAGATGCACCTACATATATCTTACTTCAAGTAACATTCGGGGAGGAGCCGTAATTTTTTTTACCGCGGTTCTTGAGGTGACTACAAGGAGAAAGAGACCAACTGAGACCTCCTAAGACTCGGGGCATGCACTGAGCCCGGCGGGTGCAATGCAGGGACGCGAGCCAGTCGACGAGTGAGCGGTGCGTGTACGAATTCAACATGTCGCTCCTGACGGGGCTGCTGCGGCGGCAGCACGAGCAGACGCCCTCGGCGTCCTACTTCAACATCGACATCCTCAAGTACCACGTGCGGGCAGGGCCCGGGGCACGCTCGGCGCCCCTGCACCTGGTCGCCTACTGGAAGACCCAGGAAGACAACACGGACCTCAAGGTGAGTCCTGTTTCTCATCACTTCCTTGTTGAGTTGGGAGGGTGCAAAATTGCCCTGAAACTTACACATTCATTTTCCTAACAACAACGCAAAAAAAAAAAAAAAAAAAAAATTTTTGTGTTTAGACAGCACAAGTTTCTCTTTGAGGTGCGGCGACACTGGTTTAGGCTGGAGATGATGAAGTTAGCCAGAGCAGTACGACTGCTAGCCTGGGGTCGTTAACGTGCAGCACGCAGTAGTGACCGCAAGCCAGTCCGATGCTCATCCAAAATCGAAACTGGCAGGGGTGCCCGGATCCCTGGGCTCTGCAGCACAAGCTTTCGCTCCACGAGCCGCAAGCACACTCTGCCACTGTAGCATCGTTGCCACAGGAAGAGTGCGGACGTCTGTCGCTTCCCCCACAGATTTGGTCCATTTTGAATTTCCCGACTCGTTTCTCGCCAACTCGATGTAAAAATTTTTATGGTGGCACCGTAGAATCAGTAAATTTTTTCACTGGAATGTGTTGGAACAGAATTAGATTTGAAACATGTCGCCTACCTGCTGGAAACTCAAGCCAGGAGCCCAAATTTCTTCAACGACTCTAAGCAGCTGCGTCAAAGTAAAGGCAGTTCAAGGTGGAGGCCCATTCATGATGTAGCCACGTTTGACAACATTACGGGGGCCTCGTCAAGTTTCAACCTCGAGTCACTGGGGCATCCGCGCTTCGAATGAAGCGTAGCGAGCGACTCGAGGAGCGGTGCACGAATTGCAGTCGTGTAACGGCATAAAGTAGTCAAACGTAACTGCGCAAATGGGCTTCGAGGCCGATAGACCCGCCGCAGAATGCACCGTGGTGCCAAAAGGAATTCTGGGAACTGGCTGTAGTAGACGACGGAGGCAATGCAGGTGAGGTACCTCTCTCTGGTGTCTCGTGGCAGGAGCAAGGGGAAGTTTACAGGATGTTCTTACGGTTCATCGACACAGCCTTTTCTAGAAGCCGCACGAGATCTGGGGTATTAGGTGGGACGACGCGCTTCCCGCAGGTGGACTACGAGTACAACGGCAAGGCGCTGACCCCTCCGGGCGGCCAGCCGCCCCCGCTGACGGGGCTGTGCCTGGGCGTGCCCGTGGACGGGGGCGTGACAGGGGTCCAGGCCAAGCCCGCCTGCGTCTGGAACCCTGACACCCAGCGGGCCCTCTGGCGGCTGCCCGAGACTCTTGGGGGCGGGGCAGGGGGCCGGGGGGGCTCCCTGCTGGCCCGCTTTTCCACCATGCGGGGGCCCTCCACCCCCAAGCCCCTGGAGGCGCGCTTCCTCTGCGAGGGGGCCACCCTGTCAAGCGCCGACTTCGAGCTCGTCGGCCCCGGCTACCGAGTCTCCCTAGTCAAGCGCCAGGTCATGTCCGGTGAGTTTCGCCCGGCCTTGCACTCCGGGAATGGCCGTGTCCCGTTTTGTTCACGAGTGCCAAACTATCGAAGTGTATTTGACTCCTAGAGTCATTCAGTTTTGCTCGAACCTGAAGAAATGTGGTATTTCAAATCGGTTAGGTGGAACAAGATTCTGTCAATAAGTAACGAGTGTCTCTGTTTTTTTGTTTGGATCTCGGAACGAAATAGATGTTTGAAACGGCAGTGGAGCGTTTCCTGGTTCAGTTGTCCATATTTTACGTCTTCCCCTATTCCGCACACCTAATAATATATTTCCTAGTCTTGTGCGAATAGTGGATTTTGAGTTCGAAGCGAATACGAAGCGAATAGTGGTTTTGCCCGAATTTTTTCGATTCGAATATCGAAGTTTTCCGCCTTTCACTACCATTGCATAATACTTAGACGAAAACCCAGCTAAACTTGTGAAGGTTGTTCCACTTGTTTATTTATAAACTAAGTTTGATCTATCTATATTTATGAACTGTGACCTCAGAAGGTCTGGTGTCTTGGGATGGCAAGTAAACGACAGATTTGACATAAAATGAATCCTGTAGAGATGGCCAACTATACCCAAAAAAGTGAATTTACAAATCTTGTTATATAAAATATACTTTCTTTAGTCTTGAGTTAAAAAAGAATGAATCGTGCATGATGAACGCAGGTTGTAAGGGCATCTCTGCCTAACATAGTATACTCTTGCGTAAAAGTTTAATTTTGAAACTTTTACTGCAATGTAGATATCACACAGTCGGCACAGGTGCTCCATCCCGCTTTGAATGTATGCTTTACTTCCAAGCACGCAATTACGATATTCATACTTTTCCAAGTGTTTATTGCGGCAGGTTACCCTTTGAGTGCGCTTCTTACCAAGCACCGGTGCGCTGCGGAGAAGCAACATCCGCGCACTCGCTTCCGCGGGTATTGCTTCTCCGCAGCGCACCGATGCTTATTGCGCAAATTTATAAAAAGCCTCTCGCCTATAGCAGTCTTTCCATTGTAGTGGGTTTCTTTATGTCCGTAATATGGCCACACTCTTTGCAAGCTGTCCATTTAACGAACGCACAACTTTCCCCAAGGTCCACTCGCACATGATGTCCTAATGAACCGTGCAGTCTGTTGCAACGTCAAGCGAAGCTTGGCCCCCCCAGAAAGAAAGGGCATCGCTATACCACTTAGTACGAGGTGTCGCTGTCCCTTTAATGTTTTCCAAGAGTGGTGCACATTAAAACGAGGCTTTGCCCCATTGGGCATGAAGTAAAGCATTGGGAGTCTCTTGCCGCCACTAGAGCCACTAAATAAGCTATGCTTCAGAGTAACGACACTTTAGCCATTTTGGTGCTTAAAATCATGGTTGCCAGTTATCTGAAGCTTTGTCCGAAATCGCAGGAAACGCTTTTCCGTCCACCAGAAATGTTAAAACAGTTTGCAACAGAGCAGAACAACTTGACCTGAGCTTCATAACATCATACCTAAAGCCGAGGAAGTCGCATTATTGAATTTTGACGATCGACACTTGCGTCTGCTCTGCACGGAGCACCAAGATGGCGGCGTCCACTAGCAGATCGGGGAACGGAGTGCCGAAACTCCAAGCCTAGCTAATTTGGTGGCTCTAGCACACTACAGTTCTCACGCCACAGGAGACCATATCGAGCCGCCCCCGTTGCTTGCAGGCAAGTACCTTTGCGAGCCGTGACGGTGCCCGGCGAAAACAACACCCGGTGGAAAAGCTCCTGGTTCCGATCGCTGGTTCGACCGGACCCCAGAGACAGACGTGCCCAGCAGCCGCCTCCGACGGAGGGCCCTCTGAGACTAAACCCGCGACTAACAGCAACGCCTTACCGCAAACTCCCCCGCGTCGGAGACCTCCGGAAGGAATCCGACGCGTGCCCTTCGTTCGCTGTACATAAGAGTTATTTTTTAACGAGGTATCCCCCCCCCCCCCCCGTCGCTAGTGGTCCTGTATATACACGCACCTTGGAAAAAAGAAAGACGGGGAATAAACGCGCTTGTTGGACCACCTTACCTTTTTTTCTTTACCCGTTTTTGAATGAATGAGTCGTTTACGCCGCGAGGCCCTCTAACCTTTACAAATAAAACCCATTTGTTGTTGTTGTTGTTGTTAATGACTGAAGGAATGCTTGCTTTACGAGAGATGATGGGAAGAAGCGGCTCTCAACGAGAGGCAATAAAATTGCTCGCGAGAGAACGACACTCAGACTCCCGTGTGTGCTTTGTTCGCGCAGTGTTGCCCAAGGGACGTTTTAATGACGCGTGGGGTACAAGTAGAGGAAAAATGCGGTCAAGCGCTGCTGCCACCAAAGTGTAAAAAGTTTGGCGGGAGTTTTGGGGGTGGAGAACGATGAAGGCAAGGTTGCAAGAGTCACGCCGGACGAATGTGCGACAAACTCCGCTCGCAGACAGGAAGAGACGACGGCGGTTGTTGGGGAACTTGCAACCACTCGCTTTGCTGATGTCCATTTGTTCGCTGCACGTTTGGAGAGGCACCAAAAAGTGACTTTCTCCATTCGCTCCGTGGTCACGGGCGAAACAAAAGCGCCTCTTTAGATCACGGAGCTTCCAGCACGTGCTCGTCGGCTTTGTTCGTGCTTTGGCTGCGCGTGCACGCTAGAAGCCGACTTGGAATTCAAGGTGGGAGGCTTGTGCTGGACGTGGGATAACTCTCCGGCCGTCGGCAACTGCAAATGATGTTTTGACGTCGTTTGCAGTCGGCCGACTGGCCGCAGACGAGCGCGTTTGTAAACGATTATGGTGCCTAGAACATGTCTCCGACCACCGCGTCCTAAAAACTGTTCCCTCGATTTCTGCCCGACGACGTCGTCAAAGTGCCGCGTTGCCGCAATCCTGGCGTCGCCGCACCGTGGTGGATCAGCACAACCGCTGTTCGCTCTCCAACTTGACAATCCGCCCCAGGACGACGGCGACACTCGCAGTGGCTCGTGCTTGTTGCGGGGACTTGTGGCCCCAACCGCCAGGATAGCGAGACAGTCTTCCGAGGTCACTTGTTGCCACTTTGGATGCGAGCCAGTCGCTGAGCGCTTCTGTCGTGTCTGGGAGCGTGGTCGGTCGCACGTCTGCCGGCGGGGTGTTAGAAAGAGCTAGATGTCAAGGGCCGGCCGAAGGAAGCGACGAGGTAGAAGGCGACGTTCCCCGCCATTCACCAGATGCCAGATGAGCGGCCGCCGGGGGGGTTGTTGACGCGAATGGCCGCACGCGCGGCCTTCTCGTCGTCGATCTGGGCTCCTGCAAGAGTCGTACATAGCAATGGGAGGTCTCGACACAATATAAATCTGAGGTGCACAAAGTAAGGGTCGCGGGGGCCTAAGAAAGCCTGACCGCCGATGGCTTTCGTACTGCTCTAAAGGGGCGTCACGGGCCTGAAAAGTTTGCGCAACTCCGATATAAACAGACTACGCGAAGGACAGGGCCATCTAGCTGATGGTGGCTGCACATTCGAGCACACTTTGCAATGCTTATCTGTGTTGCCACCAGTAGCTCGATGGTTCTGCGAATAGGGTGGCTGGCACACGCTTTCTTACCCGCATCATTTTGAGAAAATGGCAAAAGTGCCACCGGAAAAAGAAGACATCTTTTCAAAGAGGAATAAGAAGGGAAACAAGCACATTGAGACACATTATTTACGACGAAAAGGAGCACCACTGGTTCTCCAGAAGTGCCAGCTCCCGATCCCGCGCACACCCGTGCGTCTGTGTAAAATCGTTGGTGGCGGTGCGCCAGAGTTTCGCTCCTGCAGCGGCGCGTGGCCAGGCTACAGTATCGTCGGAGGAGAGGGATCACTCCGTGGCATTTAGACTTTCGACGCAATAAATTTGAAGCCGATTAAAATCTACAAGACTTGGGAAAGGACAAGGAAGAAAGAAAATATGAGAGGAGGAAAGACTTCTTTGGGAAACCCTAAAGAGTAAAGGTCGGGGAGTGCCGCAAAAAAGGCTGGGGGACAGGCTGCCAGCGGGGGAGGCGGGTGGGCAACTTCTCTATCGAAGAGTAAGGGAAACACTCTAAGGGCTCATGCATTGTGTAATACAGCTTCCCTAATATGTCTCCCTTGTGCAGCCTATTTGCAGCTTGAGTTGTCTGCTTTGGGCACTCCCTGACCTTTACTGTTTAGGATCCCCAAGGGAGCAAGTTTCTCTTTTCCTCCTCTCACAATAATTTCCTTCTTTCCACCCCCTACATCTCTTCCTTTAGTCCTCTGGGTCTTCCAGATCTTTGCTGGCTTCAAAATTAAGATAAAATCTACGTAAACGATTTAATTTTTGCGAGGACCTCATTTCCCCGATTTGAAAAAATACTGGTCACATAAATACATAACTACAATTAGGATTACATGGCATAACTCTCCCAACTGCGAAATATTCCTGAAATTCACATTTCACAAAGTATTCAGCTCGCAAAAGTGAAGTTACAAAAATGCTACATTTCTTGGGCACTGAAAGATTCTGTATATAGGGGAAGAAGGGAAAGAAAGCCGTTTACAACTCCCTGTAACACCGAATTAGAGTGCAGCTCTTGAGGAGGGGAAGGTATACCCCTCCCCCTCGCCTCATCCTGCCTGCTACTCCTCCCTCCAAGCGGCGTCGCCATCGGCGTAACCGAGAGGTCATGTGACCCTCGTGACGTCGCGTGACCCTTGTGACCTCACGGGGGTCACGTGCCATCACCGGGGTCACGTGACTTCACGGGGGTCACGTGACTTCACGGGGGTCACCAGACCTCACGGTTACGCTGACAGCGACGCCGCTCAAGCCAGAAGCAGGAGCCTAAAAGAAGAGCTGTGCTCTAAAAACATCTCGTATTATTTGGTGGAGGTAGGACGATGGGCAGCTCTTTCGGAGCACATGCTTTTGGGCTTTGTTTGTGCTTTGGCCATGTATGCACACTCCAAGCTCGTAGGATGACGTTGTCGAAGGTTGGAAGCTTGCCCTGGAGGCAGGACAACTAGGACTTCCTGCTGTGCCTACCAATCCTATCCTGTCGCGCATTGAAAAATGTGTCACTTTGTCCCCGTGTTTATTAGTATCACCCACAATATTCTAGTGTTTTTTTATTCGTTTATTTGTAACGCCATCGAGGCAAACCACTTAAACGAGAATTGTACACAAAAGCAAAATTTAATAAGTTCCTTTTTATACAAAGCAAATATAGCAATCACTCAATTATATTAAGAGCAGCAGATCATCCAATGAAACTCGTGTAGGTAGTTTGCTTCACTTTATCTGCAAATGAAGTCGAAACTACGAGCACGTCCTGAATGATGCTTGGCAGGGTTGCCGAAAGCCTGGAGCTCGCACTTAAAGTTGAACCTTTTATAGCTACCGAAGTAATTTAGCATTTCATCACAATATCGTCATTACCTTTTTGTTCCAGAAACCCTGCTGGCTCGATCTCATTCATATTTATTTCAACTGTCCCAAACAACCCAAAACGCACTGCCCTTGGAAGCTGTAGAAGGCAGCATCTGGTAGAGCAAATCGTCACTTTTGAGAAGGATCGTCACCTGTGCGAAGGAGACGCGCCAATATGATTTTGAATCGTCCGAGACTCTGGAAACTATGCTGTCTTAGCTCTGGCTGCCCCTTTTCACCAACTTTTTTATACCCTGCCATTACGTCGTTGGCAAAAAAAAGTAAAACGAGAGATAGCTACAGTCCTACATTGCTGGTTTGCTGGTCACCCATTGGGCAGTATTACTTATTCAAAACAACATAGTAATTTACGTCTTAATTGAGTGCACCTGACTTGGTCAGTCGCATTCTTGATTAAAGTGCTAATCTGAAGACAACAACAACTTCTGCTTCTCAGTAGCAACGAGGCAAGCGCAGCAGATTTGCGTCGCTCGTCGCTTATGGGCATTTAAGTGGATCTGTGTCCTTGCTGTTAATGTTTCTCGAGTATATCTTGCAACCCAACTGGCGAAGTAATAGCAATGCACCGAGAAACTGAGGGAGGGGAGGAGACAGGAGCGCGCGGGGACGCCAGAATGTCGAGCTCTGGTTGGAACGATTAATGGGTAGACCTAAAGCTAGCGGCCTTTGTCTCCACTGCACTCGTCGAACGCGTCAGAACGTGGAACGCCGGCGCCCGGCGTTTGGCTCTTGCATTCGAACGCGTTCAACGAATGCAGCGGAAACAGGCAGCTAGCTTCAGGTCTACCCTTTAATCACTTGAATCCCAGCAAGCTCCCATCTCCTCATCTTCCTCACTTTCTCGGCGCATCGTCGCAAAGAGAGCAGAATTAGATGCAAAAGAAACAATCCTAACCAGCAAAACAATAGCAGATGACATTACGGGTATAACTCTATGCGGTGGAGCCAGGAGAGAACCTGTGGCTACGTGCACCTGAACTGAGTGGTTTGGGTGTATCGTACAGAGTTTATCTTAATATTTGGCTCTCCATTGTGCCTAGGAATTCCTGTAGAAAAGTAAGCAGACATAGGTAGAACATTCCTGTAAGCGGTGAAGGATTCCCAGATGTCTATTGCAGCATTTGTGCGGGAAGGGCTGACCGTGCTCTGGAGTAGAGCCCACTAAATAAGCTACGCTAGAGCGTGAAACACATGCGAGCAAAAATCGTGCTGCCAAGTGGCAAACCATAGCAACCGACGCCATGACATAGCCTGCCAAGCTACCACATGCAGAAATGCATTTTATCTGAAAAGAAAAAGATTTATGACTGCAATATCTGCACTGCCAGGTGCAATTTAGACCAGCTGTGGTCATTAGGGCCATCCTCTCCAGGTTTCTTCTCTCGTGCTCCTTCTCAGCGCCTCTCCTCCGCATTCCCTCCAGCCAATGGGAGAGGCTTACGACACGACTTCTATCTTGACCTCACTGTGATGTTGGGTTCTAAATAAAACTCGCGTTTGAGCCGGCGTGTGGTGGCAGACAAAATTGGCTTCCAACTTGTATTGAGCGTCGTGGCGTAAATACTGCGTAAATTCACCTTTTCTTTTCTTTTTTTTAGGGAAAGTGCATTTACAGACGTGTCCTCGCAGTTAAAAAGATTCTCGGCTGTATTTCGATGAAATTGTCGTATGCAGAAATGCATTTTATGAGAAATATACCCGATGCTAAGTTCAATATCCATCTTTTCTAAACGTCACCTCGACGTCCCTTCTTGCGAAGACGTCCGGAATGCACTGAGTGAGGCGAGGGACTATTGTGTGGGGCGACTCGCGATGGACGTACAGTCAATATGAGGGCATGCGGTTCAGAGAACCTCATTTTCGCCGTTTTTCCGACCCCAGTTTATCGAATCGCCTCGTAAAGAAGCTAAGATTAGAGAAAATGCCAATGAACCTCCTTTTTGTGAATTCGGCTGCGGTTAACATTTTTGTAATGAGCCGAGCCGCTGCAGACTGTCACCGCGAAGTGGCGTAAATGGAGGGGGAGGGGGGGGTTTGACATGCGCCCTAGTGATACGTGCGCTAAGAAGGAGAGGCTTTTTTTAAGCAGCATCCCCTTTTCGATAAACGGCATTTCTCTAAACTGAGGTTCCTTTTTCTTTAAACCGAGCTTCGATAAAATGTGCCCAGTCTGTAAAACATGTTTCGATGAAATGGCGTTCAATCAACTGCAGTAAACTCCGGTCAATACGCGATGTATGCAAACATGCGAAGATGGTCAATGGCCGCTCGCAAAATCTGGCTTAGCTTTGGTAGGAGCGCAACTCTGTATTAAAGGGCAACTCCCGGTCAAAAACAAAACCAAAATAAATGACTGGTATCGCTTTAGTGGCATGAAATATGATCGCAGCCGAAATGTTACGTCAAAGTGAAGCCGCACACTCCACTAAAACCTATTTTAAAGATGCGACCAGCTGCTCTTCAGCGGGCGGCAAGCAGGTTAGCTTTCAGTCGAGGAACACTGGCACAGCACCATGGTGACGTTGTGTCGCGGCCATACGGCGGATGATCAGCGTTGCCATCCCTCTAGCAGATAGTTTTGGTTTTGCCATAGACGCCCGAAACCAAACTTTGAGCCCTGATATTTATATAACTACACACAATATCGAAAAATATATTATACCTTGTAATTCAATGACACTGTTTTAGCAGAAGACTGTCGCAATCCCAAATGAAACGATATTAACCAAAGTTGCCCTTGAAACAAGATTTTTGGACATGCAGCGTAAGCAGCTACTAGTCTCCAGACGTCCCCAGGATCACGGCCACCCTCTGCCCACCCTGTGGTTTTGTGCGGTCTGGGGTGGCACCCACCCGATAGGCTGAAGGTGGAGTCCTGAAGGTTTCTGCATCCCCCCCGGGTCAGAGGCCTGCTGTGGAACTCTCTCGGCGTGGCGGGAAACAGGGGCTCCATCATGGGGCGTGGTGCCCGGGGTGTCGCCTGGGTGGCCGGCACCACCGTCGGAGGCGGCACCTCGTTGTCCTCGGGCACCGAAGGTGGTGCACGGTCCACCTTCAGGGGCACGGCCGCCTGCAACCCGGCCACGTGAAGGTTTGAGCTACTTCGGACAGTTACGCTCCATTCTGTGATGTCAGTGCCGTCGCAATGCCGAACACTGGCGGGGCACACACCAACTGCCGAGTCATTGCAACATTTTGTTGTAGACGACGGTGAAACGCCGACGAAATGAGGACATTTGATGTTGCGGCTTTTGCTGACTAAAAGTAAGCGCATGCGTCGTGATAATACGCGGCATACAGTTTTTATAATTGGCACGTAAGGTGGCGGTGCAAAGGTCTGTATCGTGGGATCAGCATAATGAATGTGATCTTCCGCAGCCATTACCCAAGCGCTGTTGGGAAGAGGGTGCCCACCTCTCTCTGCCGCATGGCAGAATAGACGTAGGGGCAGTTGGGTGCCATGGGGATGAACTTGCCCACCCCCTGGCTGGCGTGCAGCTCGTCACCCTCCACCACCACCCTGCCCTGGGATATCACGTAGGCCGGCGCCCCCTGGCACCGGAAGCCCTCGAAGATGTTGAAGTCGCACGCCGACTGCTGCGTCTCCGACGAGAACACCCGCACCTTCTCCGGGTCCCAGACCACCACGTCAGCGTCGGAGCCCGCTTGGATACGGCCCTGGAACACCGGCGTGGGAAGCGGCCGTGAAATCCCCAATCATCCAGCTGGATTTGGTTGGATCAAGCTGGATAAAGTCTCGTTCCAGCTGGATCCAGATGGATCAATCTGGTTAAGCCTCATTCCATTGGATCCAGCTAGGACCAGTTCCATAATCCAGCTCTAGCTTGACTGATTCTTTTCATTTGGGGCTGCCTGCCCATTTTCTACATTCAACACACTGGTTTAGATCCTGCTTAGTAACACCTGCAAACCAGATAATACTACCATTGTAACAATCAACTGACCCAGAGGAAACAAACTTTCCACCTTTGTTATCGTCGGGTTCCTAACAACTTACAGTTGTGCTAGCAATGAAGCACATCAATGTTTTTTTTTGGCAATGCGCCCGCAACATCGACCCGCCCGACACATTCTGTGCAGAAATTTAACTCGTTGGCAGAAGGCTGGCTCACCTTTCGGGGGTAGATGTTGAAGATCTTGGCAGCGTTGGCACTGGTCACGGCCACAAATTTGCATGGGTCCATCTTGCCAGTGTTCTGCGAGCAAGACCAGGGGGAGACTTGGACACCAGCCACACAACCAAGTCGAAGGCTCGTATGCCTCTTGAAGGCATTATGTAGTGTTTCAGGTTAAGCCACCCCTACAAGTAATGCGGGAGTTTCCTAAACTATAAAAATGGCATGCATGGGCATCGCCCACTAAGGCTCCGCCAATGAATTTGATTATTTTGTGACACAGAAAGTTGAATGAAGCTTCATTGTAAGGCTTGTAGCAAGCTGCATAACATAACTCTGACATTCATGGAGAAAACACCCGTATTGTATGAAACAAGACATCCCTAGACTGCAACATAGAGCACAGCCTGCACAAGACTGACACATGCCTGGTGCTGCATTCCTTCTATCATTGGGGTTCATATGGTTCATATGAATTCATAACTCTGTCCCGAATTGGTTGCCGGCAGCCCTCCTGGCAGAATGAGTGAGTGCAGTGGCGCACAGTATCTTGGCTCTTGCGTCGTCAATTAAATCGAAAAACAAATGGCACACCGGTTCCGCCATGCTTCACTCCATTTTAGGAAGCTGCACATCTGCTCTAGCAAAAGTCTCTGTCACCCCCTCCGAGTGTCCTTTCACAGAGCCCAGATGGAGCATCGTCAAAGCCCGTTCGTGTGCCTGTTGATATCGTGATGCAGCTCACTAACTGGTGCGCATCTCTCGATAGCGCTCACGTCCCAATAAAGTACACACCCTTGGTGGTTAGAATGGCGTCTTGGCAAGCTGCTAGACATAACAAAAACGGTGCGAGAATGAAGTAAAAAGTGACAGACAGCACACAGCGCTGTGTCCAGTCTGTTACCTTTCTAATGTCCTCGTGCTGTTTTCGTTTCTGTTATGTCTGTATACCAACTAGCCCAAACTTCAGCTCTAAGTTGCTAAGTTGCCACAGGAGGCAGAGCAGCGGGGTCTGTCCGACTCACCACCCCGTTCTGCCAGACGACCCCCATGCGCTCCTCGACCCCGTTGACGCCATTGGGGATGCGGGTGAAGTCGTCCAGGCCGGCCGCCTTCTGGGAAGACGTGAAGGTGCAGTGGTCCGACCCCGTCGTCTGGAGCTCCCCGCTGCAAAGTTGACCGACGCTGTCAAACACGCTGGCCAGGTGGCGCAAGCCGTCGGCCAATTAAGGGGATGCAGCTGTGTGCGCTGTCTGACCCATAAGTAGGGTTCCATGTTGTCGGATGAATCCGAAAATATTGGAAAAACAATCGCTGGTAAATTTTGCATCTATTCAGATTTATTGGAGAACTCAAAATTTCGAGGTCACCCCTCCCCCCCCCCCCCCCCCCCCCCCAATGAGAAAATAAAAATAAAAAGATGGTGTTTTACAAATTAACTTTATAAGAGCACAGGGTCTGTAGTCCTGAGGAAATGCCACTTCAGTTTCCTTTAAAATGTCAAACTACTGACAAAACGGATTTGCCGTTTAGCTCGTTCAAATTCCTTCACAACAAATCACTTTGTCCTAACGGAATGTTTTATTTTCTTTTTGAATTTTTGAAAATTGCAAATATAGTAACACAAGCTTTGAATTTCAAAGAACAGGGAATCTTAAAAAGAAAAGCTCCAATAAACCTTCAGCGAAAAATAAACTCCGAAAAACACCCTCCAAATTTCAGAAAAAGTAAACTGAAAATATATATAATAATAATAATGTTACGTGCATGTTCATACAGCCCGAAGTTAGTCAGCCTCAATGGGCGTCTGATGTCTCGGCTAATGTCTCGGCTAGTGGATGAGCAATTTAGCCAGTGCAGTATAACTGCTAGCCTGGAGTCTTTAACGTGCATCACGCAGTAGCAACGCATGACTGCACTCCGGTACGATGCTCGTCCAAATTGAAACCGGCTGTGGTGGGGATTGAACCCAGGTTCCCTTTGCTCTGGAGCATGAGCTTTCGCTCCACATGCTCCGAGCTGGTGTCCACTAGCCCGCTCAGCCACCGATTCCCCTCTCTGAAAATACAAAGTCCTACTAATAATGCAGGAAACAAAATTATACCGTATAATTGCCCGTGTGAAGCGCACTAGCATATATTTAAAGAAATTGAAAAAAAAAAGATTTTATTAATTATTTGGAACCCCACAAGGGCCACAAAGTAAGCTACCGGTACTCCATTCCCCGAGCTGCCGTTCCTGTGTTCAGTGCTAGAGTGGGTACAAATGGCGACCATTCGAAAACCAAAATTCCTGAGCACTCGACGCTGCAAGGCGCCAGCGCGTGTTGCAGCCCGCGCAACGGATACAATGCTAGCAGGCGGTGACTCCAGCATGGACGCGTCTGCCACTCTATCTTATAGAGCTTCAACGTGTTTGCCGCGAGGGGCGGGTCGGGAGTCTACTAACGACGACGTGGTGCGCATGGTGTGATCTTCTGGGTGGTATTGCTCCCACCTGGCGAGCAGGTCCATGAGGTAGCTCTTGGTGTCCGGGTCCGGCCGCAGGGGTGGGGACATGACGTGGGCGGCCGCGTGTCTCCAGCAGCGGCTGAAGTGATGCGAGCCGTCCGTGGCCAGCCCCGAGGCTACCGGCTCCCCGAACACCATGCAGCCCTGGGCACGCTTGCGCAGGATCACGTCCGCCGAGCTCTTGCTCATTACGTGCACCACGTACAGCGGGCAGTGCACCTGATTCGCCAACACGATGGCCCGGTGGGTGGCTTCCGCCTCGATCTGCAAACAAAGCACCCCCCGGCCTCACTGCGCCGTCCGGTCCCGAGTCGTTCGCATCTGACCCTGTACCTTGTCTCGTCCTACAACCACCCGAAGCTGTCGGTGGTCAGGGCCAGTTATGAGCCATTAAGAAACCATGTGACACATCACGTACACTATCGGTGCACGCTTCTCCAAGCACCGATGCGGCCGGGATCGAGATTGGCAGCGTGTAGCTTTGGCTATGTGCAACTCCAGAGGAGGTGACACTATCCATCCAGAAGCGGGAATACCAGTGTGCAGCGAAAACTGCCATGGTCTGGTGGCCAAAATGTGAAACGAAAGAAAGTGGACTAAATGCCATGCATTGCAGTTGCGAATAGTCCGTCGCCGAGCGAGCCTCTCTGGCATGGAGGGCACATCATTCCAGTCGAGCGACAACATTCGCTGCTCCTCTTTCGTGCGACCTCGAGAACTGACAAATTTGTGGATTGCCAGAAAGCAGCAGTGCGCATTTTTGTTTAGAAAAGAAACCGGATCCAGGAAAAACAAAAGGCTCATTAATGCACTGGGACAATTTATACCCAGCCTCGTAGATTAAGGGTTTGCATCTTATATGGCTGCACAAACTACATGAACATGAAGAGTGTGTATTAGAAAATTATTTCCCAAGACGGAGAAAGATTTTCAATTGGTGATATCTTGACTTGAGCTCCCAGCGTAAGAATCGATTGAGACGGAACCGAAAAAACTCGGTGGCCATCCCAGAAAGGCCTCACCTCTTCCTCACGACTGTACAGGTGGCCTTCGGGTCCCGTGATTTCCATGCAGAGCAGCTTCTTCTGGTTCTGTCAATGTCCATTTATTGGACAAAACAGAGACATTTGAAGCTCATCAACAAAGCCCGAAAAGCACTTCATTTGTTTCATCTTTACATGGGCAAAAATATGCCCGTCGTTGCAGATCACGGCACATTAACACTCTAAAAAACTTTCAATGATACAAAATAATTTTTGTTCTATTATAGTATTATATTCTATTCTTTATAGTATTCTATTATATAGTATTCTATCATAGTATTATAGTATGGCTCTTTCTGCTGAGTACTTTTTTCGTAACGTCACATGAAATGTGTTCAGTGTTCCTCTTTTTTTAAAAATACACCAATTTAATGGCAACCAGACAGTAATAGGAAGTGCCAACATTAGGCATGTGCAAATAGTGAATTTTGAGTTTGAAGCAAATTCAAAGCGGAGAGTGGTTTTGGCCAAATATTTTCTAATTAAGTATCAACAAGTTTCTAAAAGCCTCTTACTCCTGTGGACTATGCTTAAACGAAAATTCAGGCGAACTCATACAGGCTGTTCCCAACCTCCCACTTACCCACTTCTAAGCTCAGTTAATTTTTAAGTACCTATATCTATGAATTGTTGTTGCAGCTATCCTAATCAAGGAGATTTATAAACCTGCTTGCTATATGCAAATATTCTTTCTCCAGTTTCAAAGCTTTCACAAAAAAAGCAGGCACGAATGATGAACACAGTCTGTCAAGACATCGCTGCGAGTAAGCCCCGTTGAGTGCGCTTCGCACCGAGCACCTATGCATCGTGGGGAAGCAATGCCCGAGGGGTTCTGCGGGTATTGCTTTTCAGCAGGGCACGGATGCTCTCGGTAGGAAGCGACTATCGAAGTTCATAACGAAGCGAGTATCGAAAAGCATAGTTTTCGAATATACCCAGCCCACAGATCAGCCATATTAGTAACAGCACGGCAGAAACGGCAACAACTTCCTTCTTTGGTATGGCTGCAGGTACTCGTGAATTCTGCGGCCTTAGTAAGCGTGCGCAACAAAACATTCTCCCAGCTGACAATGCGTGTGTGGTGTACCGACATCGCTGGGGCTGACATCGCCGAAAAATTGCCAACGGGGTGGCCCACCTCGTAGATGATGTCCCCGTTCTCGGCGTGCACCCGTGCCAGGGCGCCGAGCTTGCTGCACGCCTTGAAGGCCTGGATCAGCTTACTGTCCTCCATCATCAGTTGGCCCTTGTATGCCATGAACATCTTGAACGCGTTCACGCCTGGGGCGGAAGACCCCATCAGCACCCCCAAATCCACAAAAGCAGCCTCACCCCCAGGTGCAGTGCCGAGAAACGGCACCTCTCTACTACCAGCTGCACTGCTACGAATGCGATTGCATATTTTTCACTCTGTCATGCAAAAATTAAAATTTCCTCGCATAAGATAGAGGGAGGAATAGGGAAGCAATGGAATAAAAACAAACGCTCATTCGAGCAAGCTTAAAAAAAAAAAAGTGTCCATGCAGCTTTTTCTTTTCTTTTTTTACTATAAAAAAAAAACAAAAAAACAAGCTAGCCTCAACTAACTTGAGGCTAGTTCAGAAATGCACCTCAGCACTGAGATAATGCAAAGTCATCACTACATGAGTGCTACTGCCAGTGTTGACTCAGCATTGAGTTAGCGCTGCACTGCGTGTGTAAGCAAAGGCAGGCGCACATGCATCGGAACGCTGATATGCTGCTCACATGGAGCAAAATCAGCGTCTATAGTGCCGCAGTGTGTATGCGAACAGGCCTTTGGAGATCAGCTGACACGATTATTTAGTAGGCATAAACGCTGGCAGAAAGCTTCAAAACTTAACATTCTTCACGCACGCAGTCATGCTTGTTTTCGAAATGTGTCAAACAAGAGCCCGACCTTTCTCCCTAGTGAGAATCTCCATCTCCTTGAAGACCTCGTCGTTGTAGTCGTTTAGGATGACCGCAAGGCCATAGTCGCAGCAGATGCGCTCGTCTGCCCGGCTCCGGTAGTCCTCAAAGGCCTCCAACACCGACATGCTGTGCGACTTTTTGCTCACAAAGTCAACTGCAAAGACCGTGAGACGAATCACTCGGTAAGCCTTTCCTTGCAGCACTGCACGCAGCTAATATCCGTGCATTTTCGCCTCTCAATTCATTGAGAGATCAAACGAAATTTGTAATGCCTTCAAGTAGGCAGTGTTTAACCTCTTCTACATATTAACGATGAACCCTTTCAAAAATGTGCTCCATGTGGTGCAGGACGGGCAAACTGTGGGCAGTTTGCCGTTGCGGTGTGGCTCACTATCTTGCCGTACCAATGAGCCGTTGCGTGCCACACCGCTCACGGAGTTGATCCACTCGTACGGTGGAAACGAGGTTTCTTGTCCTTTGAATTCTTCAATACGGAAGAAACTTTCCAAGTTTAGAGTCATATTGTACTTAAGTTTTCTTATTCACGGGGCTACAAAAGTTTTAAAAGATAAAGGACAGGTTTGTGAAACAAGCTTTGCTCAATCACACTTGCCAAGTAAAGACTGTCAGGTAGATTCTTCAAAAAGCTAACCAAATATATAGGTAATCCAGCCTCTTTTCTTGCAATGCTTTTTCGGCCCCAGTCTGAAACTTCTTCATGCGCTCTCTCTTTTGTACCACACGTTGTATCGGGAGAGAGAAACGATGGTGAAGACGAGTCGCACACTGACTGACGCCGACAATACTCACTGATCATGGTGGTGCCACCGGCGAGGGCTGCCTTGCTTCCCGTGTAGAAGTCGTCGGCGGTCCTCGAGCTCATGAAGTAGAACTCGAAGTGGGTGTGCGTGTCGATGCCACCTGAAACCAAACACGGCCTCTCTAAGTGGTCCGGACTAAATCCAAATAATGCAACGGATGCTCGTGCAGTCCAGCCAATCGCAAAAGTGATGCACAGAAACTCTGCACTGAGCTTATATAAAGTAGCCATGGCTATCACGAGTTCCTTTACTGTTTTACGCCATAGTCAGGTACAACCTAAGAGAGACGGTGCGAAAGGAAAAAGGGCACGCACAAGAAAAGCGGGAAGGAGGTATCAATTAGATTTCTCAACAACCTATAGTTTTGTATGAAGCCTCTTTATACTGACCCACATGATGTGCTCGTGCCTATATAGTACTAATCAACAGTAATGCGGTTTTTCAATCATAAGAAATGTAAAAACAGATATTCCAACGTAGCTTTACTAATATATTCCCTTCAATTTTAGATATTTGAGGTGAAATATATATAGTCATAGGTAGATTATTTATTTAGATAATTGAAGAGTAAATACTTCCATTGAGTCAAAGTCTTACATTGCATACTCACATTGTAGTAAAAGGGGATGAAATATTTGTTCCACAAAACATCTTATTTTTTTAGAAGACGCTTCAAAAAATAAATATAGAAAAAAGTCCTTATCCACATCTTTAATATAACACTGAGTACTTAATGAAAAAAAGTAACCCTCCGAATTTTAGTACTACAGAAGAAAAATATTAGACTCATAGTAATATTCAACAATCAATTGTTTAAGAAAATAATCTACCTATGGTAAACATATATTGCCTTAAAATATCCGAAAGTATGACTGTTGTTTGTTATGGCATTTCTCAGTGGTGGTTTAGGCAATTAAGCTTTTGGAGCAATTTAAGGAGCACAAAATACCTAGTTTGAAAGCACCTTTGTATAAAAATACTTTTAATTTTCAAGCAGCTGTAGAGCAGCACAGACATAGTTTTGTAGCCGTTTCGTGCGGTTTCCCATTAGTGGTACCAGCATGCGGTCATGTAATCACAACTGCATGATGGATGTTAAATTTCCCAGAATAGCAGTCATACTGCACTGAAACCCCTTTGCAGTTTTTAAATACTGCCAAAGCACATTGCAGACTAACTTGAAACATGCAGCATAAAGTTAATGTAAATTTTTTTTTTTTTGTATGTTCTTAATAGTGCTAGCAAACAAAAGTTAGCAGGCCTCACATAAACGCAATGTTAGTAATGAGAGATTACACCGATTTCTCGTGTACTAACACAATGATTAGCATTTTCTTGACATCATAACTCATAAAGAAAGGCAACATGTCTTGTGATTACCATTTTATTTTAGCTGGCACTTCCTTACATTTAAATCTGCACCTTTCACTAGAAAACTATGATGAGTGTAAGGCATTTCTTTAATGTTTGCTACATATTTCCTCATTGAGTAAGCTTAGAAAGCGTACAAGTCACAGCAGAAAGCAGAGAAAATGTAATGAACAGCGTGGCCACCAGAGCATCTTCCAAGATCACAAAAGGAGCGTCATATTAGCATGACGTCTGATATTGAAGGCAGTCAGAGTAAATTGGTGCATGATTATTGATGCCTCCCCAATCACAATCAATTTACACCGGCTGCCCAAGAAGCCAAAACATTAGCAATCATAGTTTTTAGCTTTATCAATGAAACAATTAGGAGCTCTTGCAAGCACGACAATCGTACATCCATGGCACATAGCAAAACAGAACAATCTATACAATTTATAACAATGCAATTCCCCACCAAGCTCGCTAACGAAATGGAAACCATGCACAAGCACCACTTTTACTAGGCAGTTTCTAGAAGGGTTCCTACTATCGTTTCGTGGAATTACGTTTCGTGGACAACTTTTCATGGACGCACGTTTCATAGACACTTGTTATGCAAATTGCACGGCGTAAGGATATTTCATTGTGCGTGTCTCACACAGGTGCATGTTAACCCATTCCAGCCACCCCGTTTACGCTACTTCGCACTGACAGTCTACGGTGGCTTATTACAAAAATGTTAACCCATCTGACCCACCTGCCCACACCGCTTCACGACAACAGTCTGATGCAGCTTATTACAAAAAAAATAGCTAATCTGAGCTGTCCATGAAACGACTTGTAGATGAAACAATCTGTTGATGAAATATTCCATGTCGATGAAATGATCTGTCGATGAACTAATTGCCACCGTTTCTAGAATGACTAGCATTTATTCATCTTCACCGTTGCCAAGAAACGTTTAGAGTGCACAACAGGAAGCCACGAACTGCACCTGGTTACGGCTGCAAGGCATGGCACAATCATGACGCAGCAAAAAGCTGCTGAGCTGGACGTCAGAAAGTACTGTCAGTAAACCTAAACTGCCGGCCACAGAATTTACCTAGATTTCTTTTCTGGTGTAATGTGACACAATTTGGACCATTTTTTTCTTTTAGGCACAGCAAAGCACAGACAACTGGCATTTGTCAAAATAGCACAAGTGGTATAAATAGACAACCGATTTCTCTCAATAACATAAAAATCGCTAGGTTGTCACTCAAGATGACCACCGTTGGAATGAAAAATGCTTTGTGTGGAAATAATTTAAAATGCGATGAAACTGGCACAACAGAGCCTTGCTAACCACTCAGTTCACTTGGTCATTATTGCATGCCCCTAATGAACTGTCAACATTTGGCTTCCGCCTCTGCCACTTGGCTTCTCACCTGGCATGACAAACATTCCCTTGGCATCGATGGTACGTGTGCCGCCAGGTACCGCAATGTCCTTGCCAACCTGTCTGCATTCAGAACGAGCAGTTGTTTTTCGACAATAATAACCAAAACTGGAACGGGCATGCCACCATTAGTGCAAAAGATCTTTTTGCCTCGAGGAAGCCAGGTACGCACGCCAATGCAAGCTATGTGCACATATACAAGACCAGGAGTTCCTGACCCCTGAAAAAACAGCTTTTCACAGTATTTGAAGAAAAAGTGAGAAGGTCTAGCTCAGATCGACTGTTTCAGCACTACTATTAACACCTCAATGATTTCTCACTAAAAAGGCAAGTGAGATCTCACTTACATACGTACATCACCCACCAAATGCCATCATCCCACTTGCGAATCGTTAGACGGTGGTACAAAGGCATGAGTTTATTTTACGAAAAGGTTGATGGTGCATGAGACTGTCCAGGAGTACGAAGATGTTCTTCTTTCTTACCGTTCTTGGCAGTGACACAAACACACGGATCAATTTCTAGGTTTCTCCAATTGTTGAGGCATGTAGCTGCAACTGCAACACATTGTTCAGAGGAGCCAACTCACTTGATGACTCCGTCCTCAATAAACACGTCGGCCTCCATCATGAGGTCGTCGTTGACCACCCGGCCTCCCTTGATCAGCAGCCTCGTCTGCGTACTCTGAAAAACCAAAGGACGGAAAGGCTTTCGAGCAATGCAAGCTTTGTCTCCACAACAGGTTGTTCAAATACAGTGTATGACACTGCCAAAACTCCTGGCATATAGCTTCATCTAGCACCTTGTTTACACGAAAGATTAAATCGCACTCATGCTATAGTCTATACAAGTTAAGCGCTGACACTTTGGGGTCTCATGAACACACCCTGTAAAAGCACAAAAAACAACGAGCATGTGCTAGAGGTTGTGCCTCCAACACAATCCTGTACCTGATTATAGTAGCGTGTAAAACATTTTAAATTGCGTATGAAATTTATGAAATAAGGTATAGATATGGTATTTGTTTGAACAAATTCGCCTCTCTGCAAAATGTATCGTCCAGTTTCATGCACTTCAGAAGTACAAAAGCTCCAGGCTTGGTACAATTAACATGCCAAAGATGATCTTAATAATAATAATAATAATAATTCCAAATACATTAATAACAATAACGATATTCATGATACTAACAACATATTGGCCTGGATGTGATGCCATCATGTTGGTGCTGATTCCTACTTTGTTCTTGCCGAGAAAAACAGACCAACTCGGTAAATGTCTACTGCTGAAGGCACACACAGCTGCTGATATGACATCTGTGCTAGCTACGTATTTTTAAATGAAAAAGTGAAATTGGTCAACGTCACGGCAACTGCAATCAGTGTGTTTTGCGTCCTGACAAAATTCCAATTTCCTAGATGATTGTACTCTAACTAAATCCCAAAGTATGGAAAAAAAAAAAAAAAAAAGTCTGGCAGCTGGTTGTAACGCATGGAATCCTGTAATTTATTCTCCCGCCGTAGCAGTCGGACACAGTTTGCAGGAGAACGGAACAATTGCGTCACAATAATTATCCAAGCAGTAAAGGTTTTATACGTTGCAGGAAATAGCTCAAAGAAAGAATTGCAATCAAAGCTGACATTATATAGTACCCAGTCTGCTATGATTCTCCGCAACCAGATGATACAGGAAAATTTTTGTCCATGACTCGTTTGCCGCTACTCAATGCTGGTCAAGATCATTTATTTGCCAAGCCACGCCAAATGGAAGTAACAAAATGTTCCATAAATTCTTTTTTTTAGAGTCTTTTTTTTGTGTTCATTTTTTTTTTTTTATTTCTAAGTACAAAAGGATATCTCTGTTCCACAACTTTGAAGGGTAGCAGAAGTATTTTAGGAAACACCGAACGAGTTTTATTCCATGCGGATGATTTCTTACCCTGAAATCAATTAAACGGAAGACGGGCTGAGCGCATGAAATCGAAAACACGAGTCGCCCCGCGCGGCGTCAGCGGCGCGCGGGCGAAACCGAAATTACCGGTGTTGGTTAGAAATAACCGTTTGGAAAGCAAACGAGGAAGTGACGTATGTATCTTTCGAGTCGGGACGTTTCGGTTTCGGTTTCGCGGATGGCGTTTGTGTTACTTGCTTCATTTTGCGAGTGGTTAGGAGTTCAGGGAAAGGAAGTACTTGGGGTAAGCTCCTCAACCACCTACATCTCCCTCCAGCGTTCGCCCTGCTAAAGAGATGTCTGGCACCGACTATGCATAGTTTGCATGTGACGTCATTCGCGGCCTTGCCGGTGTTTGATGCGCCGGCAAGGCCGCGAATTCGGTTAGCCGTGTTAATTTCACACCGCAGAAGTTGTAGTTTCAAGAAACCAAAGAGTTGGAATAACCGTCAGTACACAACAATGGGAGCACCTAAAAAGCGACAAAAGCTTTCCTTTTTTTCTTCTTCTTTTTAATATATTTGATGTCAACTGACGCAGGGAGCAAAGGGGGATTCATACAAAAAAGTGCGACCCGAAGTGTTGGCCTTCCACGATTGGCCAGCCGCTTGCTATGACGTCTTTAGTAGGATTAATCCTTTTTTTTTCCGCCTTACTGAACTTTTTTTATTGCGGCTGATGACCCTGGTCGTGACGTCAAGTGCAGAAACCATAAAAGAATGCAGAAAAAAAGAGTCAATCCGCCATTTTGTTGTTAGTTTCTAAAGTTGAGGCTTGGGCGAGTTGGTACCGTTGGTACATACTTTGGAATTAAAAACAGCGCGGAAAGACGAGAACCAGACAAAGAAGTGACACGGACAGCGCTACGTCCGTGTCAGTCCTTTGTCTGGTCCTCGTCCTTCCGCGCTGTTGTTAATTCCAATGTTGTATAGTTTGTTTGTTTTTTAAACAAATTTACTAATATGAAGGATTACATCGCAACCTGTTGAGATGTCAGCGTGGTAAGACTTAATTATCACCCCATGCAAATCCTTGGAAGGCTCGCCTTCGGCGCACGCCCAAACAGGTCACAACAACAACAAAAAAAATTACTTCAGTGAAAACACCCTATACCATTGCATTGCGTCAACGGAAAAGTTATGGGACGTCCAACGCACGTCAGAGAGCTAAATGACGATGAAAAAATATCAACTGTAACAGCTCGAAGTTTTTTTTTTTCTTTTTTTTTTTTAGCTATTTGCCAATAGATTTCTTTTAAAACTCGAAGCGCCCCATCGCGGCGAAATGCCAGGCAGTGCACTCTGGGAACTAGATGGGCGCTCAGTTTCGGTTTCGATTGAGGAGCTCCAATTCATGCTCACGCCGTAACCCAACGCGCTGCTTGTGTTTTCGATTGTCCGACTTCCCACGAATGTACAATATACTCAAAGCATTCTCGAGCGATATAGAAGGAAGACCAGGGCACTTTTCTTGGTTCCCAACATGCCGGATATTGTGCCTGCGTGTCCAAACGTATGTCCCCTCCGCCCCGGCCTCCGTCAATTTGATGAGAAATACAGTTCATCTACACGCTTTCGGCGATTATTTATGCGATCGAGGACCACTCCGCTTAGAAGAGCAACCGGAGCATTTAATGACTTACACTCGGCGGCACATTTAAAACAAGCAGCGAGTGTCCGCGGGGGATCTGCGCCGAGCCCTCTCCTTTCCCACCTACAATGCGGTAAAAGCTACGTGCTCGCGCAACCAGTCCAACTCCTCTCTTTCTCCACGTGATCGAGCCATACGCAAAGAGCGGGGGTCACCGGTAACGCTTACAACACAAGATCCAGCGGTCGTGGTAGCACCGACCGCACTGTCAGCTTTAGCGGAGAGTGGCGGCGCGCGTCTCAGCCACCCACGGGCCCGCCCCCGGCTCGAGGGAAGCCGGGAGGTCTTCGACCCCGGGCGAGCTCCCTCGCGTCGGGTGTGTCGGCCAACGAAGCGCGACCGCTGCAAACGGAGCACCCTTCCGGCTTGACCGCGCACTGGGGTCCCCGCGGCGGCAGCGGCCTGGGCGTGGCATCGGGGAAGGGCAACGTAACCCTTCGATTACAGCCAAACCAGCGACGCTGCCAGTGTGGTTCGAGCTGCGTGCACGCGTTGTCGTATCGATCGCCACCTGCCCACGCTCTCGCCGCCAGAGCGTTTGTTTGGCCTGGCTAATGCGTCCAACCGTCCAGGACACGCTCGGTGTCTTTCGGCGTGTTCGGAGAAAGAGAGGGAAAGCGTTGTGAATGCAGATTGGGGGGGGGGGGGGGGGAAGGTCCTTATGGACTTATCGCCCAATGCCGCGATATTATTGGCTGCGGAGCCAGGTTAATAATCGTAGGGATGGATGGATGTTAATGGCAATTCCCTATGTAACAGGCGGTAGCTTGCGCCACCTAGCCTAGTTAAAATTCATTGATGACGACGACGCTCAGCACATAACGAAAAAAAAAAAAAAAAAAACGCAAAATGTTAAAAAAATGCTTTGTGGACATTCTTTTTTTTTTTTTTTTTTTTTTTTAGTTTTGAAATCGGACGACAGAAACGCAGAACTTGATCTATGACTACCTCGAAGCCCGTTGATATCTGGAAAACTATTTGAATTGTTTCAGTCCCTAATGGGAACTGCCGCCAATACTTCAATAGCAACATGACCTGTAAATCCAACAATTAGAAAGCCAATGACCAGATTTGAGTGAGTTAACCAACTTTCCGTGGCGGTTATTCGCTCGTATAATGTCTGCCGACTCCTGATAAATACATGGCGAAGACGGCACCCGCAAAACTCAAACATTAAAAAAATAATAATAATTGTTTTAATTAAAGTTAGTTATTTTGTATAAACTGTTGAATACATTAAAATACAAATTTAACGTGTGAACTTCAAACTGGAAATTAACTAACACAGTGGAAAGCGTTTAAAGTGTCGAAATATTCACTTGGGACCGTTATTTCAGTCTGCACTTGGTACCATTTTGCCGGTGTCCACCCGAGCCGTATTGTCCAGGATTGTACGTCTGGTACCCCATGAATGGCTTTTAAATCACCAGCGTGCACATATTTCGATAATAATAGTAAAAAAATCACTGATCCTGGGAGACCGCGCCCTATTTGGCTGAGCCCATCGCGTGGTAGCACTCAAGCAATCGATACACACGTGCCACGTGGAAAAACCTGCCTGATCCATATTGATTGTGTCATCAAATTTGAACCGGTTAAACTTCTGTTCCGTGCTATCGAAGGGGGGGAAACAAGTTTCTAGCGGTAAAAGTTACTGCATCTGTATTCTAAGCAATCTCTTTCCTCTCGTAAAAACTTCGAAGGCCAAGAGAGAAGATAGAAAAGTCATACTCGAAAGATACCCCGCCGATTGTGTGCTAGACGAAACACGTTAGCTTCTAAATAAGCAATTTCTCCACCGGTCATGACTGATTATGGAAGGTAAGAATTGCAGCACCGATCAAGTACTCTCGTAAAGCTTATTTTATAGTCGGCTTAAAAAAAAAAAGTAAAATTCGCACCTACATTTTTTTTTTCTTCCCGTTTTCAGACGTCAAAAAGAGATACCCGAGAAACCCAAGCCATCCTCTATCAGGTCACCTAATCCCACTGCCCGCGCTATTTCCGACGACAGGCGCAAACGTTGCAAGTCCTTCGGAGGACCACGCAATAACAGCAACTACGCCAAAAAAAATTTTTTTTTTTTACGCTTACATTTATACCGAATCACGCGGAAATTACGGTTGCAAAACGATACGATTTATTGTTTCTTGGGCGGATAGAAGGAATCAAGGGTCAACGGCACAAGGTTTCATTCAACAAAACTGTTATTATATGGAGAAGTTGAAATATATATACATATATATTGTGACGAATGGCAGACGAAGAGGCAGGATAAAACGAAATGAACTAAAGATGTAATGGAAGCAAAATTGTGCAAGAAAAAAAAAAAGAAAAGACGTTGAGAAAGCAGCAGCGAGCATCGGCGGCGGCAGCAGCAAGCGACGGTGCGTCGGCGTAACAGCCGGCTATCGAGAGAGAGAAGCAGCGAATGAATCGGCAATACGGCGCTCGGCTCTTTACCTACTATGCTCGTCATCTAGAATATTCCACCTAGGATCTAGAATGTTCGGGAAAGAGCTAGGGCAGACCGACTAAGCAAGGTCATTTTAGCCTCCCTATCGTTTACGCTCGGGGTTTCCCAACTCCAGCGAACTTTAGAGGGCGCGCTGCTCAGAAAAAATGGCGGACGAAAGGAGGTCCGTTTGGTCGTTCAGCACGCGGACCACCACAAATCCCTGCACTGCAGCTTAAAATCAGTGTTATATTTGAAGGCAAAGCGATTTTCCGACGGTAGAAACCTTCTTCTAGAAAGTGCGTAGGAATGACACTGCGGAATCATAAAAATAATTACTGGAAACGATGTTTGTTTCTATGCTGCCTACGAGAACCAAGCCGCGATAGCAGACGACAGGGTCGAAACGACCTCCTCTTCTGAGCTTCTCGGCGCTGCCGCCACGCGGCGTCGATTTTCGCTGGAGTCGCGAATAGCAGACGTAAGTAACGACGAAACATGAGACACCGGAAAAAAAAAAAAAAAGACACAAAAGAGAGGACGACATACACAACATCTCGTCTGTGCCGGCAATTCACCAGCTTGCCTGTACTTCTACTCTTTTCTCAGTTAACTTTCTATACTCATTTTCACTTCAAGAAAAAAGGAAGTTGTGCACACTGTTCATACGTTGGTTGTCGGGGGCAAAAGCGATGCTTTTGACGTTTGAAGTGTGTACGTCTTGACAAGATAACATATATCTAACCTAAAATGCGCCTACCATCGCCAGTCTTTTACTGTGAGGACTGTGACACACCGGCGATCATTAGCATCTAGTTTCACCCTGTACCCACTTACGGCACGTGACGAAGTGAAGGACTTTCCGCCATTCACTCACATTGCCTTGGCGCGAGTATCTTGTTGATGTTCATCTTGTCGCTATTTATTCCTTTTAAGTTGTCTTTGTCCAAGTATTGTATTGCCTTTTACTGGATTTTTTATTTATTTTTTGTTAATTAATTGGAATGGATTTTTGGCCTTTCTGCTCTTCTCCCGACTGTCCTGAGCCAAATAAATATATGAAATTAAATGAAATAAAGGGGGAAATTAGTAATAATCCGCGAAGAGCCGATCTTTTCTGACTACGGTTCGTGGGGTGAAAACGAGAACAGAAGAACGCATAAGCGTATCTTCTCGACCATGCACGCGGCAATATATTGGCATAAACACCTCGAGAGCTGTCGAATTTTGGGCTATTATGTCTTGAGCCATGACAGGGCCCGTGTTGGACGAATGATCGCTCGGAACCGTTCGCCTCACAAAAAGCTAAAGACTGTTTTTTTTTAGGCACGTTCGCCTCACAAAAAGCTAAAGATTGTTTTTTTTTTTTAATTCTTTTTGGCTATTTGATTGTATAAATAAAAAAAAGAAAAACCGCGTAAACAAAAACAAAAAACAAAACAAATAATCTACTTTTTTTTTTTTTTTTTTTTTTTTTTTTTGTGTGAAACTGAAACGCTAGCTGGAAACAAGTCCCCCGGCTTCACTTGGGAAGTCGAACAAGCCAGAGTTTTAAAATAGCGACAGAGATGGGAGCATTTTGGTCGTTGAAAAGGCAGCAACCCACGAACACAAAAACCCACTATACAAAAACGGCGTTTCAGGATTTCCGGATTAGAGAAGAGCTGGCGCGGGACTGGTGACCGTGACGGCCGCTCAGTCGTGACAGTCGAGAAGTCGGCATCACGCGCAGAGTTCTTTGGCCGAAGAGTTGGAAGGCAAGGAGCGAGCCGAACTTCAAACAGCTGCCATAGCTTCGACGACAACATACGACGTCACGGATAACTGATAAAAACCACAAGGAGAGAATGAGAGAGGTGGGGGCGCCTTGATGGCCCCGCCAACGGCGCGAAACGCGAATTAACGCTTCATCAAAACGAAAAGCCTATTTCGAGTGACGTCTTTGAAAACCGGTTTTTGCGAACCTTTCAAAAGGAAAATAAATCTAGTAGACCAAAAACGGCTGGTCAGTGGTCAGCTTCGAGCCAAGTTTGCCCAGAAGCGTGCGAATGGGTCTCGCGAAACGCCGGTGGAAGGAGGAAACTGTCGGCGGCGCGCTTTGCATTTCAAACGAGACACAAGTATTGACCACCGTGGCGACCGGTCTCGACCACGCCTCGAGACTCGGCTGATTCTCCGACGACGACGACGACAAAAATGGAGTCGGACAATAGTGTGACAGAATGCGCGACCCAACTTGCCCGGGCTCGCCGCCCAACTACCTTCGTGTCAACCGATGACCATGCGATCATTCAGCGAGAGACCGGTGCGGCGACCGATCTCTCCCCAACTGTGCGTCTTGTTCAGCGGTACCACGTCGGTTTTAGGAGTGTTTTTTTTTTATTATTATTAAAGAGACCCACCGTGGTCACATCTGCTCATGAAGGAAGCCGCAATTCCAAGCCCCGGATGCGAAGCGAGCGAAAAAGAACTACAAAAAGTCTTACCATGTCGGACGTCGCAACCGGCCGGTCTCGGGTCTTTCAAGTCGAGTGCTGGTTCAGCTCCAAGACTCCACGTCGAAAATTTTGCTAGGATATTGAATGGAGGCGTTTTCTTTCGGTGTCTTCGCACGCGAGGTTTGAAGGCGGTGCAAGATAGAAGCTCTTCGAGGCGGTACAGCGGAGCGTCAGACGGCGGCGGCACTAGCGACGCGTTGCTTCCAACGGGTTGCTGCGGCCTTTTTTCCTCCTGCACCTCCGACTTCACTGCCGGGCGCGGCCCCTGCGGGTACAGAGTTGCCGACCCGATCCTCGCGAACCGCCAGTTTCGAGGGGTCCGGGGAAATGTTTCCTCCCGAACGACCCGCCGAAACCGAAACCTGTTCGACGGCGCGCGTCTTTCTATTTTGGAATCACAAAAGGCCGCAGTTCTTTTGAAAGCGCTACTGGGTAACGAGTGGTGTCAAAGCAAAAAAACAAAATGGGGTGGCAACATTTTTTCGCTTTCGTTCATCGCAGTTCATCTCGTTTTGAAACGAAACTTCGTGTGTGTCGACCGAAATTCTTCCTCGCACACGTTCTATCCTCACCGCAACGTATCCGACTCTCGCGCACGGTTGCGCTGTTAAAAGAAGAAGTGAATTTTGAGTTTTAAGTCGACGATGGAGCTCTTTCCAGGCGTGCCGATGGAGCTACACCTTCGAGACGGACTTCGGAACGTCAGAGGCCCCTAAGAATAGAAAGTGGGCGGCTAGCTCGGAGAAGTGTTTTCGCTGCTTCGCGCGTTTTCCCACAGATTAACATTATGTAGCAATATTTTCGTCGGATTGTTCAGTGAGTTTTATAAAACCACTTGACGAGCATAATTTTTTTTTTTATGCGTGTACGTTTTTTTTAAGCACGATTTCACCACAAAAATATCTAAAAAGTTCTGATAAAAATACTCTAAATTGATCGCAGTAAAAAATGGTAGTAATAGGCAATTATGAAACTGGGTCTTTGATTTAAGTCATTAATGTGCGACGCTAGCGTTTAATCAATACCAAAATCACCTTACTGGGATATTGATTCGTGTATCTTCGTAAATCCAGAAAACATTCAATCAATCAATGTTTATTTTTCTCTTGTGCTAACAGATTGATTTACGTAACGGATGTTTCTTCCCTGCAGCATACGTAGTCTTTGTGTAATTTCTCTTCAATCTATTTTGTACCCCAGATCCCCAACCCTTTGGTGTTGATGTTTCCTAACAAGTGTACCAACGTGACAATGACGAGGCACTTGGAACAAAACCTTGTTCCAAGTGCCTCGATAGCATACGTTTGTCTCAAAATCAACTTTATTATTATTATTATTATTATTATTATTATTATTATTATTGTTGTTTTTCACGTCCACGTTGCTTTATTTTTGCGAATTTTTGTACTGACTTTGTTCTTGGTCGTTTCACAATTGTGTCTATATTTACTACATTTGCATTTGTGTATATATTAGTCATCCTGTCTTGTGCACTCCTAACTGCTTTATGATAGTTTTCTTTCCCGTTTTCTGCTTTCTTTGTGCTAATTTTTTACTCTCTGTGTTCTTGGACATTCAACCTCTGTCTCTTTCTTTTTTCTTTTTTTTTTTGGGGTGGCGTCACACAAGCCGCCGTTGGCTTTGATTGCCCCCGCACTCCTGTATGAATTTATGAATGTTCCTTAATACAAATTTATTATTATTATTATTATTATTATTATTATTATTATTATTATTATTATCTCTAATTATTATCTCTAATTATTATTATCTCTAATTAATATTATCTTTAACTCAGAATCCCATGGAATTTTGGAAATACGTTCGGTTTACTAAAGAGTTTAATAACCCTAGTACTTTTGTCACACTGTACAGTGCTTTAGGTCGACCACACGTCAAGTATGCCTCTGTTGCATGGAATGGAATCTGCGCGACAACCTCGGCTAGAATCGAACGTGTTCAGAATAAGTTCTTATGTATCTACAGACATCGTTTCTCGTCGCGCAATGCGTCCACCTCAAACGATAATCCAGCAGTCCCAGTCCAGCATAGCATGACATTGCCCACCCTGCGGCGTAGGAGAGAACATGCCGACATCCTATTTCTGTACAAACTTATTCATGGCATCACTGACTGCACATCATTGATATCAAATGTGCGTTTGAAAATTCCCGTAAAAACTACAAGGCAAAATGCATCCTTCTACAATGCTCCCGTAACTAATCTTCACGACCCCGTGTCGAGAATTGGGCACACCTACAATTCCTCTTTTACAGACTCTATTGATATAGTTAACAATAACACACCGGAGTTCAGCAGAGCGCTAAAGTTCCTCACCTAAATTTGGCTTCCCATTTTTTTTTTTTGCACCTGATTAAGTTGCTCAGAACCAATTTTTATACTCTCGCTTTCCTTTCCTTTCGCTATCGTGGTGGTATAGCCTAGCGAGTTTATGTGACATATGCGATCTTTTTTAAGTGTTTTATTGCTGTTTGTTTGTTGTGTGTAGTGTTGTTTTTCATGTTTCCTGAGTGCACCTGTACTAAGACCGCAAGGTTGTTCCTGGGCACTTCAATAAAAAGTGATTGATTGATTGATTGATTATTCACTTCTGTATTAAGAATATGAAACCTAAGCCATTATCTGGTCAGGATGGAGTACCAGCAGCTCTCATTAAGTCCTATCGTGATTTATTCACCCTTGTGCTCTGTGAAATATTTAACAACTCTTTAAAGTCCTGAATATTTTCAGACATGTGGAAGCTCGGAGTAATTGTTCTTCTGCTTAAGTCTGGAAAAAGGGGCGATGTTTCCAATTATAGACCCCCCGATCTCCCTCCTTAGTTCCCTCTAAAAGCTTTTCGAAATGGTTATTCATAAATGTTATCTTTCTCATTTAGAAATATAATTATTCCTAGTCAGCGTGGATGTTTCCCGGGCAGGTGGACAACAACAAATTTGGTTACTTTTACGCCTAAGGCCTCCCGCATAGTCTGTAAGCAAGGTGAACATGACATAGTTTATTTTGATTTAAGCACGGCCTTTGATGTGGTTGACCATGAACTGTCACTATCTAAATTGCCTTACGACGGTGTTGGGGAAAACGTGATCCGAGCGGTTTGGTAGTTATCTGTTGAATATGAAGGGTTTTCTACGAGTTAATAATGTGACGGTCCACAACCTTTAAAATTAACTCCGGGATTCCTCAGGGATCTGTTTTTGGCCTTCGTCTCTGTTCTATACTTGTCAATGATATCCCTCTCTTTATCTCCTAATCATTATTCCTCCAGTACACCGATGATATTAAAATATACCTTGAAATTCGAACTTTTTACGACTGCGTAAGACTACATGCAGATGTGAACAGATTCAGCAGTTGGTGTAAAGAAAACAGGCTTCGTCTGAACCGTTCAAAAACCATTTCTTCGAAGACTCAAAATATCGGTTTTCCTTATCGAGTTGAGGGGACGTTATTGACTCGTGTAACCGTAATTAGAGACCTCGGCGTTCTGCTTGATTCGAACCTAAGGTTTGATGTTCACGTGGGTAAAATGGTCTGCGCAGATTCACGAGTGCTCGGCTTTCTGTGTTGCCTGACTAGAGAATTCAACAATCCACGAACGTTTTTAACCCTTTACTGTTCAGTGTTCACTGTGCCGCTCGCAGCTAGACCATATGTCGGTGGTGTGGTACGGAATCTGTAAAACCAATTTACTGAGAATCGAACGGGTGCAGCACAAATATTCATCTAAAATTTTTAAGCATCGCTATTTGGCTAGAGATGAGCAACATTTGGATTGTGAAGCCCTTTTGGAACGTGTTGGATTATTTGACCTACATCGACGTAGAGAAAAAGCGGATTTGGTATTTTTGTTTAAAACAATTCACAACCTAATTGATTCCCCCAAGTCTTTTATCTGAAGTGAATATTCGGATTCCAGTTCACCTTTTTATACATCTAGAGGATTTAGTCATTTGTGCCCAATTCCCAGGTTATTGGATTGTTAAAACGGTTATGCTGAAAAACGGAACAGATTTGACTCAATCCAAAGGAATTTCGACCACTCAATCAAAAACCTGTTCCAATTAAGGCAGATCTGAAAAGTACTCAGATGTTACAGTGAATCGCAGACGACTTTTTATTCTTTCTTGTGACCTTGTAGACACGTTAATTGTTTTACGTTTGAAGCTCATGTAACCGACATTTTACTATCACCTTTGAACTACTCTATAATGATTACAAATGGCATGAGGGCTACATGGCCACTAATACCTGCAAGAAACTTTGTCAGTTTATTTTTTATTTTTCCTTCTCTTTGCGTGATGTACTCCTCCCGACTATATACACCATCTTCACGGCCTACCCACGTATAAACTTCCAACATAAATGTGTACCTTCTAATTTTATGCTTTTATGCGTCACTGATTCTGATGTTTGTGTGTTTTTGTCTAGTTATAGTTTTAATGTTTTATCTTGTAATGCGAGTGTGCTCCTTGTTTTTAAGTGTTTGATTGTCGAGTGTGCAAGTATCCAGACCAAATGGTTGGTCCTGGACACCTAATAAAATTTATTAGTAGTAGTAGTAGTAGTATTAGTAATGGTAGTATTACAAACTTGGTTTCTTTTATGAATGTTACTTTTAAGGCGGTTTGCAAGAGAGGGCAGACTGATGTTGTGCACTTTGATCTTAGCAAAAATTTCGATGTAGTGGACAAGTCCATTCTGTTGCCCAAACTGTCCGGATATGGTGTTTGTGGGTCCCTGTACAATTGGCTGTGAGATTACTTTTTGGGCAGAGGGTGTCTTGTTCGTGTGAACGAGGAATATTCACTGAGATTTTACGTCACTTCCGGAGTTTCTCAGGGGGTCAGTGCTGGGACCACCTCTTTTATCTAATTTTGTAAACGACGTGCCTTTGGCTGTACCTTATTCTCTGGTTCTTCAATCTGCGGACGATACTAAAATATTTCGAGAGATACACAGTGTTAGAGATTATGAGATGATATATATATATATATATATATATATATATATATATATATATATATATATATATATATATATATATATATAGAGAGAGAGAGAGAGAGAGAGAGAGAGAGAGAGAGAGTGGGGAAAGAGAGAGAGAGAGACAGTTTTTTTAATGACATGACGCATTTTTTACAGGTGCTTGCAAAAATGTTTTCGGGGAGTAAAGTGTCCCTTTAATAAACACAATGTCACTGTCTCCCCTACATAAAAAAAGGTTTCTTTTCTTACTGTTTGCAGCTGCATCATACTGCAACGTCTTATGATTGTTTTATTAACTGTCCTTTTTTCATTCTATGCTTTGCGCTTTTCCCTTTCCATGCAGAGTAACCCACCGAGAGCCCTTCTGTTAATTTCTGCTTTCCCGACACGAACCAATTTTTTCCACTCGCTCCGGTCTTTCCTATGGTTGTTTTTTTTCCCGCTCAGCCGTGGCACTCCGAGGTCCGGTCTGCCCTAGACTCGGAGGCCTCTGACTGCCCCGACACGCTCCGGCGAGTGCCAACAAACCGATTCTATTCCCGGGAGAGAGCGCAATTGTTTTCACCGAGCCGCAGAGGTCGACGCGGTACGAGAGCGTGCTGAAGAGAAAAAACGGCCGACCGTAGCAGAGCGAGCAAATTGAAGTCGGTAACATTTCAGCTCCTCCGCGTTTTCAAAGACAGGCAGAAGGAAAGAAAACAAGATCGGACCCGCTCAAACCTCAAATTTTCTCCACGTTGAAACGGCTTCCAAAACGCCCCCCAAAAAAACGAGCGACAAAGCCCAAGGTAGTTTTCCGCACTCTTCGCGAGGCTTAAACATCTGACAGACGCCATTGTTGACAAAACAAGTGCCAACAAACAAAATATTTCGAGTACGCGCTCATACGGCTCACGCAGTCACGACTCATAACAGAAAACCGCTCGCTCCGCTAAAAATAGCCACCGTACCGAAGTTCGGACGGTTGCCCCGTGGCGGCGCGGCGGGCGGCACTGACGTCATCGCAGGCGTCATTCGTGACGTCACGGTCGTATTTGAGCCGTCGCCATGACGACGGCCCGTCTCCAGGGGGGACCCGGCGGGCGGGCAGTGCTTCTGGCGGCCCGGGTTCCGAGCCCGAGCGCTTCAGTTCCTCGCCGCTTTCCAGCACTGCCCATGCAGGTGAGCTTCTCCGCACGACCCCCCGCATCCCAAGGCATGCGTTCCCCCGCCTGGCTGCTTTCCCCCTCGCTCCCCTTCTTCCAGGCGCGTAGTTCTTCCCCATTCTCCCGGCTTGCTGCCCGAGAACAGAAAAAAAGTCCTCCCGTCCCGGCGGAACCACCCCTGCGGCAGATCAATCAATCAAAACAGGAAGGAGAAGTGATAGCAAACTTCGAGGAGAAAAAGTCACGAAACATAAAACACAAAAAAAGGAACAAGAAAAACGCCCGGTGTTTTTGTCACGCGCTAGACTCTCCGTCTCGCGACGTAGTAGCCGCAAAGGAGTTTCTCGCGGGAGGGGACGCGTCTTCTACTTTTTCCCCCGGATTCCCTTCGATAGTGTAGAGTTCCTCGCTAGGCCTAAACCGCCCACCAGTTCGGGGTCAGTACCGCCTCGGAACCTCCGCTAAATCGGATAGAAGAGTTTGTAGTCAATCGTTCCCAGCCCCGAAGCCACTCCCGAGTGAAGCGATGAGCTCGAAACGCTCTTCCGGCTGAGCTCCTTGACATTGTTGACCACCAACCACCACGCGTCGCGAGTTTAGCTGCAGTCGCCCCGTGTCGATAGGTTTGGCCGAGTTAGCCGAAGAACAGGCTCGATGAGAGTTTTGTCCATCGAAGGTTCGAACCCAACTGGTTCGTTCGAAGCGCTACGCGCGCCGTGAACTCCCGGTGGTTCGGCGAAGCCCTCCGCGACCGGCTCAAAGGTCAGGGGTTGGCGGAAGAGCGCGTACACACGGACCAGGGAAGGGAGAACCTTTGGCCTTTCACGCCCGCGCTTTCTCCCTACGTTAAAACTTTTTTTTTTTTTTTTTTCTTGCGGTTCGCGTCGAAGAATTCCGTCCGCTTTATGTTTTCTTTTTTTCGACACCAGCACTTCCTGTTTCTCGCGAGCTCAGAAATTAATTACGACGACAATATAGGCGCTCCATTACTTATACGTGATCCAGCTAACCTTTAAATAAAAGAGAAAACCGAAGATTAATATCGCGCCAGAAGTTCCGAGCGAGTGGCGGGAGGGTGGAGCGAGCGGATCCTGGTTCGGTCCCGGTCGGGCTTTCCTGAAAGGTAGGCTCCACCTGTTACACGCGCGCACTGTGGGGAAGGCCACCCAAGAACGCCGTAGGGGCAAATGCCTGGAAAATGCCGATGGAAGTTAGTGCCGCGTACCGGCGATGGCTTGCACTAAAGCCCTTTTTGTTTTTAACTGGAGCAGTTACAACGGATAGAACGTTCGGAACGCTGCGCTATCCCCCAAAACGCTCCTTTTGTAAGGATTTGGTGGGGTGTTCTCCGTCAATCCATTTCGAACGGCCAGCCATTTTTCTTTTGGTCTCGAATATCTGGTTTTCGCGGGTTTGTGGTCTCGTGTGTCCATGGAGAGCAGAATACTAGCAAAAGGGTGGACGACATAACTTTCATTATCAGTTTCTTCGAGTCTATACTATATTTTATTACTAAATTCGGCGGGGGTGTAATGCCCCGATCGCTCACTCTTTGCGTGGGAGGCCCGAGTTCATTTGCGGACGCTGAGCAAACAGGCGGACTCATTCGCTCTCACGTCGTCAGCGGAGTGCATAAGCATCCATCAGCGCTTCGAAAGCAGACAGCCAAAGAGTGTTTCCCGGCCTAGCTCCCAACTTTCCCTAGCCGCTTTTTCCCCGAAATCCTTCGTAGTCGTCTCGTAGTTGCTAACTTTTCGTTGCTTTGGCCAAAAAAAAAAAAAAAAAAAAGAAAGAGAGTGAGAGAAAGTGTTTTACTAAAACTGCGAGTTTTGCTGAATACGCATTTTATTTCTTTGCTTGAGAAGGTTTTAGTGGCAATGTCATTCTTTCTGCTAGCGTATCGCCAGCTACGTAGACACGCATGTGAAATTTGTCGTAGTGCTTGAGATAGTTTTTTTTGTAGATTTATTTTGTATCTTTTTTTTAATTTATAAAATGATTAATCTAGAAATCTAAAGGGGTTTCGCTTGCGTAAAAAAAAAATAAATAATGGAGTTAAAGATTACGTCCTCGGTGTCGTCTGCTCTGAGGCCACGGCGATGAGACGCCCCGGAAAGCTGACGCCCGTAAACGGAGACGTCAGAAATGAGAACTCGCAAATAGTGACGTCATCAAAGCGCCCCCTCTTGAAAGAAAAAAAGAAAAAGAAGAAATTATCGATCTTTTGAAAAGCGTGTTTATAAAATAAGGAAAAGAAAAACGAGGAATTACTTTTCTTTCTTTATTTCGGGAAGGAGGCAGAATGTAACCATGACCTTTACGTCACCGCCTCCGCGAACACAACCCGATATGTGAAACCCAAAAGGTCACGTGACCTTTACGAGTGTCAACCCACTAAAGGAACGGGGCGCCGCGTTCGTTTTACTTCTCTCGGGCGACTTTTTTTTTTTTATTATTTTCTTCTGGGCCGTTTGTTTAAGGAGAGCAGGTCGGGTTGCGTGTCTGACCACCTTAGAAGTCAAGGCCTGCAAATTACGTCATCGTCGGTGGAGCCAAGCGGCAAACAGGCTCAAACTCGGTGACGAGGGTCGCCGTAAAGAACTGCGGCAGGAGCACCCGTCCCGGCGTCGCAGCGTCGTGATATATAGCGTCGCGTTCGCCGCGAAACGCTGCACAACACGAACCACTACAGTCGGGGACACTAGCGATGACGTTTTCTTGGGGGGGAGGTGCAGGCCTCGTTTTCCAGGTGGCATGGGTCTGACGGTTCGCGCTCCGCAGTTCTCGGCCACTCGCCCACGGCATAGCCAATAAAAATAGTCGGGTCGGCTCCTGCCTGGACGGCCGGACGAGTTAGCGACGAGCGCTCGAGAGCAGCGCTTGGCAAAACATCGGGCGTTCCGGTGCTGCCTTTTTTGTCTTCCGTTCGTCTTGCCTGAGCCTGTTCCAATACCCGTGTTCGTGTCATTTACAGTTTTTGTTCTTTTTTGTTGTTTATTGACTGTGTCCTCGTGGTCGTCGAATCGCGAAAACGCAGAGGACGGGGATTGTATCAGAACGTTATTGCCAGTCTTTAAAATGGGAGCAGACGCTCCTGAGTTGTTTGTTGACCACAGCATTCCAGGAGAAGGTTGGTGCTCGTTATTTAACACGCCAAGTTCTTTTATTTATTTATTTATTTTTAGTTTAAGCTCGAAGCATTAAGCTTTCACCTGAAGATGGCGTCCCGAAGTAGAAACGTACAAAAATATAACGTAGACATATTATAAAATAAAATGAATCTTTCTAGATTCATTATATTATCCGGTAAAATATTTATTGCCAATTCCTCTCTCGACGTAAATTGCAATAAAATTATGTGAAGCACAATCCAGATTCTTTTTTTTTTTAATTCTTACGTTGCTATTTTAAACTGAAATGTGTTTGTTCACGCCATAACTTCGAAGATAGATGAGTTGGATCGAAGCATCGCGTAAACAGGACAAATAGGAAAGTGAGACCTAAACAAACGGTCATTTCCAAGAAACAATAAATTTGCTTATCTGTCATCGGCAATGGGGCTCGAAGATGCTGGAGATGGACACGGCGTCGGTGCCGGTGAGAGAGAAGTGGGCGCTTCCCCTGTCCGGTGCATGCATGTCCCATCAACATCCCCCCCCCTCCCCCCCCCCCCCCCCCCCCCCCCCTTCCCCACTCGACGGCCGTGTCCTGGACTCCGAATCCCGCATGCCTCTGTGTCACCAGTCAAGGCCGCCTAGATGACGCAAGGCCCGCGCATCGCTGTTCCCCACGCTCGCCCTGGACGCGGAAGCGTGAGAGACAAGGCCCCCCCTAACACGTCATCACCAGTGGATTCAGGCGTAGCTTGCGTCGCCGTCAGCGCGTCTCGAAACGAGCGCGACGCTATGTGTGCGGTGTCGCCAAGACGCGTGTCGAGCTTCCGGATGCTGCTTAGTGCGGATCGGTCGGGGATCCACGAACGATGACGTCATGAGCAGGCCTTGTCTTCCAGGTGGGCCGAGGCAGCGTCCTCGACGTTTTGGTTGAACGCGCGACTTCGTCTTCACCAGAAGCCTGGCAAATCAGCGGTCCCTTTATAGCGATGGGAAACGGTTCTACTTACGTTCGAGAGTCAGTCAGTATGAAGCAGGTGACAGCTCTTCAATGTACGAGTGCACACCGACGGTGCGTTGTCACGTGCCTCGTTGCGATGGCCTGAGTGGCTTGTTGGGGCCGTAGCCTTTACCGTCTGCCAAGTTAGGCTGAAACGCGGTACAGAAAAAAAGAGAAAAGAAAGCGGTTAACGAACTAATCGCGCCCATAGAAGGAGCGACAAATTTAGAACTATTATTATTTTACTTTCTCACTTTAAATAGAGCTGAATGGCCGACGCGGTTTTAGAAAACACTCTGTTTCAAAGTCCTACATTGAGTGTCCTTCCTCCGCGCGTGAGAGCATCGAAATGCACAAAGTGCACGCTCGTCACAGCGTCCTCCTCTCACTTCTGTCAAGTAAAGCCAACGTACACCGATACGCAGTTTGAGAGACAACACTCTTAGCTGGCCGTTTATTGCGACTGTGGTCCCCTCTGTCCCCGCTATCTTTAGATTTGCCTATTCGCCTCGAGACCCAGATCGAATTTGGTTGAAACGTGCTCTCGTTTCTCCAAGGCTATCCACGAGGCACGTGGTGATTCCCTCTGTCCACAATCCGGATGCGGACAAAGCATCCGTACTAACGGCACAGAACACGGGCAAGGGTACAGAGTAAGCGAGCTCTTAGCCATAGCCGATCCTCTATATTCACAAGGCCTGGCAGTTGGACGCGAGGATCTGGTAACACAGAGCAGCGAAGAGCCATCTCTCGGGGAACCTGGACTCCAGCGCACAGCTTTTGCAGCGGCGAGGACCCGAAACACATTTGTTCGTTCAGGAGAAGTGTGTTTCGGCGTCTCGCCGCAGCGGGGCGCCAGTCACGTGGCTCTCCTCTCGTCCGTTGTCTGCCGCTCCACCTTTT